ACACACACACACACACACACACACACACACACACACACACACACACAGAGAGAGAGAGAGAGAGAGAGAGAGAGAGAGACACAGACACACGGACGCAATCGCTTACACATGCTTACGTAACCATGTAAATTTAGTTTGTATTTTTACTACTTTTATACATGTCTTTTTTAATTCAGATGGTGGGAGGCCAGGTAACTCATAGCACAGCTATAACCTAGTTTGCGCTCCTGTCTCCCAACCTTTCACATAAATTGTATTACCTACATCTTGCACTTGTTGGGAGAAAAATAAACTATTTTATTATTATTATTAACTAAGAATCCCTGAACACGGTTCTAATTTTTTAAAAATTAAATAAGCGGGTCATTTCACAAAATTCATGAAAATCCGACCCGAACGTTTCATTCAAAGCCCATAATCTAAATCCCTTTCTGAGTCAAAATATGACGTCCCGACCCGTCATCTCTAAATTACCACTCGGTTGACATGAGACACTGTGCAAGTTAACTGAATTGACCAACCAAATTAAGCCGGGTACTCACTAGCGAGTTGTAACCGTAACCGTTGCATGTTATGTTACCAAAAATCATAGTGTGTACGTGGTTCGCGAGCTTGCTGCGAGCGGAACGTGTGCGGTTCGCAGTGAGCCGTCTGATTGAAGACTGTTTAAAGCGTACGCAATAGAATCTCGTTACTGTATCTGTCACGTTACAGTTACAGCTCGCTAATGAGTACCCGGCTTTATGGGATTTGAAAACACCCGGCGGACGATGAAAGCAAATGCCGAGAATGGTTAATAAAGAGAAATTCGTGGGACCTTTATTTTGTACCCAGTTTTACCAATTGAATTATGAAGTCAGATATTTTTTAATCGGATTAAGTTTACACGAACGAGAAAAAGTATTTTTGAACCACGATATTTTTTATTAGAATCTATGAAATGATCTCGCAAATAGTACATTTAATATGTTTATAAACATTAACAATTTTAAAAACAAGCTACTTTATAATTAAGTATAATTATAAAGTCAATAAATTAGAAACAATATGTATGTTATATATAAATGCATAAAATACATATGTCGATTAACTTTTTTTTACAAATATGACATCCTGCTAAAAACAAAGAAGTCATTCTTGCGACAATTGTTCTAAATCTTGGAGGGTGGAAAAAAAATTGTCTAAATTTTAAATAGTAAACTACATACACACGCTCTGACCCAACAATGCATCATATTCTCTGTAAATTTGTACATATGAATCATATAATTATAAATCAGGGTGACGGGTGCAGCGGCAGTGCTCCTCAAATCTTTGCGATTTATAGCTCAGAGCGGCACTGCAACTGTTATGGACAGGCGTGTAGTTTACCATCAGGCACACGACTTGTTTGTCCCGTCACTTAATATTATAAATAACAAAAAAATTAAATTGTAAATAACGTGCAGTGTATTAGCACTACCACTTGGTGTAACGGGCTGATGTCCGCAACACTATATTTGTATTTATATATGCATACATGTTACTAACAGTTTGTGTTGTCTAATTTGTGCTGTCTCCTTTGTTCTAGCCCTCCGAGTCACTGAATAAAATTTCTATTTAAACTCCCTCCATGCTGTTTGAATTGATGTTAGCATGAAATGGACACGGCAAAATTGAGACAATTAGTCTCACAAACCATTCATTTAGAAAAAACAAAAACTAAACTAAGTACATCGGTATCGAGTACCTAGATCAGATACTTTGATTTAGATGGAGTAGTACGATGGCGATCGAAATGGGCGCAAATACCATTCAAAATATGTGCGAAATGGTTAGATTGGTGTACCGTACATTGTCAGCAATTTCCGTTGCAACCGAGGGAATGCAAGCGTAGCAATATTCGTACAAACTATCAAACATAAATGAACAAACTGCAAATTTTCAACATTCCTTTAAACCCTGCCAGGATAACGCGACAAGATAAAGATTTTTTACAGTTCAGATATAACATGCGTTTGCGTAACAATGTATGTCAAAGAACTCTCGTCACCGAAAAACCATGAGAAGCGAAATCCTTAATAGCAAAAATCAAACAAATCTTGAGCAACATTTCGAATAAAATTATTTTAGTATGCTTATTAAGTACCTACGTACGTACGTTGGAAGGTCAATACTAAAAAATGGAACAGAATAGAATAGTTTAGGCTTAAGTAGAACTATGTTGAAAATAGTATTCAGTGCCTCTATCATGAGATTACAGTGCAGTTATCGCTAGCGAGAGCGTAAAATGTTTATATGTATACAAAATGTTGTTTCATCTTGTGACCGATAGGGGCGCTGTATAATTTGCCATTTAAAATAGTGAAGTAATTTACGCGGTGGCTAGCGACAACTGTTACAATAAACTCGTGGTAAAGGCACAGAACTAATTACACACACATATTTCGTCACTTTTCACGTCGGAATAGACAGAGATCGCAGTATATATAATAAAACTTGGATATTTTTGCTATGTTCGCTCGGTCTCAGACCTTGTGACACGTTCTCTGGAGCAACTCGGGGAGCCGGAATCGGTTACCCGTGTACGTATGGAATGTTAGCAAAGCACCCCTGACGTAGAACAATGTAGCATCCGAAATAATTTAACATTCCTTATGTGTATCCGGTATATCCTTAATAACTCTTGTAAACGCATACATATATCTAAAGGTGTTTCAAACGCTGTAATACAAAATCGTAGCGTTGATCGTTGTTTCATTTCATCTATTATTTGTCACATATTATTATGTTATTACGTAAGTAATAAAATACTGTTGTCGTTAAATTTATAGTCTCTTACTAACAGCATGAAAACGGCATACGGAGCTAGATGCGTTATGGATACGAATTTAAACGTCACTATGACGCGTTGGATATTTGCATCGAGTATATAACCAAAAATAGAGACGAAATGCGAAATGTCATTTAATTTGTTTGAAAACTATTGTGCCATATAATTACTGTGACAACTGCGCTCCGATTGGCTAGGCCGAGTTCGAAACAATTGACGGGTCTCGTCAATTGTTGCACTTCAAATCGACCAGTTAACTTGAGCTTTGCTATAATGGAAAATTTAAAATATATATAATTGTACATAATTGTGAGAGTAATAAATTATCATTCATACATTCATTCATTCAATGGAACAGCACGGCTTTGTCACAGATATTATCCTTATTACAATACAGCATATTTTTGGAATATACGGAGACGTACACACAGGTCAGTTGTTGGCGCTGTCTATATTTTAGTACAAACGAGAGTTGTTATTTATAAGTGATGTATCACTGATGTGTTTTTTTTTTAGTTACTCGATGGATATTTGCTGTGTAATTAGAGAAACCAACTGTACATAAACTTAGGTTTAAATTGACTTAATTTTGTTGACACAACGTAAATAAAATGTCTTTTATTCTCTTACCTAGTGCCAGCAACAGGCTGCCAAACGGCATCTTGCGGTGCCTGTGCAGGTAGCTGCTTTTCAGTCACCCCCTCGTGGGAGGCCTTGCCATCCCAACTCTGAAAAAAATGCAATAAGTTACAAAAATGTATTTATTATTATATATTTACCGTATAATGTATAATACACAACGTATCTAGTTCCATTTTAAACCACTAGGGTTCGACGTAAAGCGAAATGTAGAACCGCGAAACTCAAAAGTCCAGATTTTATAAAAGCTGTACTACAAAAATTACCAATCAAAGGTATAAGTACTAAAGCTATATTTTTATTTCTTTGGAAAACGTGATTTAACACTACCAGTTCACAACTAACAATCAATCCAACAGATAAAATTCGACATTGGCTTTCAAACTAAATACTTTGAAGACAATCGCATTTTTTCGAAGATATACAACTATACACGATTAGTAAATACCGAAGATTCAAGTTGATTGTTTGCGTAGTCATGTGGAAAATTTTAGTGATCGAACACATACACAGCGTACAAGGTGCCCGGGGTTGACGGCTTAGATGAAAAACGAATAATATTATAGATACTATTATAGATAACTGCCGGGAGAAATATTTGTATGACCTGCATTTATTTCTCTCGTGAGTTTGGGTGTAATTTGTGGTTGTCTATGTGTGTGTCCATGGCACCCGCGACACAGGGTGCGTGATTTAAAAAAAAAAGATGTTACTAACACTTTTCAATATTCACAGAGAAATGATACCACTGTAGAGAAAATGCTTAGGAAACCCATTGACCTGTGGGTCAATGAGGAAACCTCATATATGCGTCGTTCAAATGAATTTGAACATTTTAACTGATTTAAAAAAAGAGGAGATACTCAATTCAACCGTATTACTCTGACATTTGTGATCCGATTTCAGTGTTTTTTTTTTGCTGGAAAGGGTGAACTCTCATGCAAAAAATTTTATAATATATCAAAAAATCCTTTACAGGATAAACTCGCCTTTGTACACCAACGTTTTATTTCTTTATTAAAAAGTTATAATTGGTCTTGTTGTGCAATAAAGCGTTGACGTACACACAAATTTACAGAAAATATTCCACTCTAAGGGTGACAAGTTAGGGGATGAATCAGGTTTAATAGATTTCACCCAATTTCCGTTAACCGATATCACCAGCACCCTTACCCTTACTTACGGAACACAGTAATGCTGACATTACTGCTGGGCGGCAGAAATAGCTAAGTTGGCAATACTTCTCTAAATGAACTCTTTCACAAGGAGCTCTACTGCTACTAAACTGGAAGAGTTCGTCTCACCCTACCTATTTCTGCTGTGTTGCAGGAATGTGAACTTTAATGCGTTTATTACATATTTTTTTCCAACTTGATTCTGATCTGTGTCTTTTGGGTAATGTCTTAGAGTGAATTCTGTTACTCTACTACTCATAGTACAACAAATTCCCTAGTTTGAGACCAAGTAACATTTTCGTAGCAAGCACTGCCAAAGCTAAAGGCATTGCCTTCTGCTTAAAGAGCATACCTGTCCCATCTTTTGGGCAAACACTTATGTTGATCATCCGCCTGGCCTCTCCGCTGTGCCCTCTGCTGATCAGAGGGACACACGAAAGGGCCCTCCGTTTGCTTTTTAGCTTCACTACAGGCTGGATTGGCTGCAGCTACTGGGGGCACCACGACAAGGTGAGCAAAGACTGGGGCATAATTAAGGACAAAGATGTCCTCTGATTATGCATAAAGGTCAATGGCATTAATATACCTTATTTTCTTTATGTTGTATTAAATTTTATATTACTATCTTAAATAATATATTATTGTGATGAATATTCTTAAAACTTCAAAAAACGTATGATTCTGAAAAAAAACAGTATCGAGCGAAAATCAACGTACTAAAAAAAGGTTTAATGAAACCTATCTGGCATTCATAAAGTGTGGGTGCGACTCAGCATATACGTTCCAAATGGTAGGAAATTTGGGAAGCCCAGTTTTAAATTAAAGTTATGGACAGGCGTGTCGCTTACCACCAGGCGCATGACTTGTTCGTCCCGTCACTTGGTATCATGATAACAAACCTTCATTCAAGTCTGACAGAAGGCTAATGAAATATTACAAATCTTGGAAAAAATCGTTATACAAAGTTAGTTAGAATTTTTTCTGAATTTAGTAAGCGAAATTTGTCAGCGTCTACAAATCACGTCATACAACATAATTTATTACAAGCACGAAAAGTTGTCCGCGCTCAAGCGAGAGCTAATAGAAACTGAGTCTAGTTTCATCCCTTTTGATAGAAAGGATGAATGCAGAGAATTTTTATTCGTTGGCAGGGCTTATAAGGCTGACGGCGGGCGGGGCCCGTCTGACGCTACAGCAAAATAACTTATGTAAAGCGTACCGAATGTAACGACACTGCGAGTGTGGACCTTAGTACATGGGCCTTTTACGAATTGATTACATAAAAGGCCCATCTACTAAGGCCCATGGAGGGATTTTTTACTCATATCACTTTTGTCGTCACTAAAAGACAGTATGAAAGTGTTAATTATAAAACGTCTATCAAGCGTTAGGCTTTCACATTTATATGGCAAATGGCTTTGAAGTGGAATGCCTTGCCTGCAGACTTATTAACTGAACGCTAGAGCTTGGGCGTTTTCCAGGCGACATTGAATAGATATTATTAAGATGTGCATGCTCCATCGTCGACCAAATCATCACTTTCCATCAGGTGCGACGGAGGTCAAATGCGATCTTGTTTTACCATTAAAAAAAGTTTTTTTAAAAACTTTATGTGCCAGAGTGACGAGCGTAGTGACAATGGCCTCTGAAATTTTTGTTTTTTTTTATAACACCAAGTGACGGGACGAACAAGTCGTGCGCCTGATTGTAAGCTACATACCTGTCCATAACACTTACGGTGCCACTTAAAGCTTAAATAATCAAGACAATAAAGTCTCATGTGCCTGTAATTTCACCCTTACCCTTCAAAACCTTCTCTGAGTATAAACATTAACTCTTCCTTCCCATCAATGCGGCTTGCGATTTTGTTAGAAAGCACCCCCATTCCATACCCCTCCCGCCCACAAAACTTAAGACCACAGACGCGGCTTGCCAAGCCCACATCTAAAATTGAAATGTTTCGAAGTGGCCTGAACCGTGCTAAGGATGTTAGTGAAAATTTGTAACACGGTACCCAATAATATTAAAGCTGAAGGAAATAACATTAAATTTAAAAGAATGTTAAAAATGTACCTTATTCGAAAGTGTTGTTATTCACTTCAGCAATATCTAAATAATTAATTAGAATGTCACAATTCTCTTTGTAATTTTAATTTAATTAATTATATATATCCTGTAACTTAACTAGTCGTAACTTACCTGGTCACATAGAACCCTAACATGGAAGACCGGGGTCTCCTAGCACAAGCCATTATTTTACTTAAATGGATTTATTTTTTATTTTATCTCTTTTTTCTTTCAATTTTATTTCATGTTTATTTTTGGAGTTGTATTTAAATCAAATATCATAATAATATGCCTAGTTAAATTTAATTTTAATTTTATAATTTATTTAATATGTTTAATTTGCCTAAATGTATTGTTTATTTAATTGTTTTGTAATTCAATTTAATTTTTAATTTAATATGGACCAATTTTATTTATTTTTTGCATATAAATAAATGAATTCAATTTTTAACATTACAGCGCCCTTCCAAGGTTCATGTTTGGTACGTTACAACATTTTAATAACTACAAAATATATACAACATGATGAACAAGGAATTTGAATTTGAATATTTAATTAGCGTTGGATTCTTCAAAATGAATCACTCACTCATTATTTCATTTTTATAAATCGTTAAGTGAGAACATTGAAGCCCAAGTCCGGGAGATTATTTTCTATAGACAACCACACCAAAGGTAATAGTAGAAGTTTGACAAAAATTGTTTCAGAGGGATGTCGGATGGAGAACAGTAGACTCCCTGGTTTTCCTTTTTTACAACTAAATGATGGGACGAACTAGTCATGCGCCTGGTGGTAAACGACACGCCTGTCCCTAATAGTTACAACTTTAAATCACAAAGAACTGAGGGGCACTGCCACTGCGCCCGACACCCCGAGATTAGAGCATGCAAACCGGTTACCCGGTTAACCGAAAAAACCGATTAACCGTGTGACGGTGTGACCTCCTTACACCGTCATTTCACCTCTTTGTATCGCCTCTCTCCGCTTGTATTTTATCATTTTTTTAATTTTATATGTATTTAAATTTTAAATGTTCCATCTTCCTTCACTTTCTCATTTTGTTTTCGTACCACGGTCACTCCCAGCTCGACCGCCACAACAGTCGGAGCTGTTAATAAGCTAATCATGTGTAACAATTTATAAGTCTACAGCCTTCATGTATCTATTTCTGTAATTCAGTTTCTCGGCCCATTTAGGGGTAAGTGCCTTAATAATAAAGTGTAGGGAGTGTTTTATACTGTTATACCTGTTTGATTACATTTACCTTTATATTGTTACAGCTTTTCTTTAAACTTTACTTCTTTAATAAATTTTGTGGACCAGAAGTTTCCCATTTCATTGCCGTGAACCTGTTCACGGCTAGTTAGGGTTACAACCCTTTCAACCGTCCATTTTGGAACCCGGTTTACAGCTAGGGAAAAACCGTCTTTTTCGGGATTTTCGATTTTGTCTTTAAACTATTAAAACGTAAGTTTGGAACTCATAATATCATTGCATCCTAGTTAATAATGGTAAATAAACGTTAATTAAATGCCAGGAACTTTGGTACCTAACTACAGGACAGCGATAGCGTTCTCGAGACGGAGACGGGTAACTTTTGGGATAGCGAGGGGTGAGCGAGGTACACGAGCAGTATAGCAACAAATCCGAGTCACCTATGCTCTTGGCAGGCTTTTCAACTGAATCAAGACGGCTAGTTGATATTCAGCAGAACTATCCCATAGGTGGCAACAGTACTCTATACATGACAGGATGTGTGCTTGGTAGAGCTTTTTTGAAGCAACTGTCCCGGTGTAAAGTAACACCTCACCTTGGAAAGAATGTCAAGGTTCCTGGTAGCATTTTTGGCTATGGATTCTATGCATCTGCCGAAATTCATACTGGACAACAGGTTCATTCCAAGTAGCTGGCGATGGTCGTCTATCGGTATAGATGTATCACAAACAGTCGGAGTCAGGTCAAAGGGACTCCGTTTTGTGGAAAATAGACACGCCTGTGTTTTAGAGCGTTCCATTTTGGAAATTTGGCACCACCCCAATCAGACACAGCCAAGTGTCAAATTCAAACGAGTAATCGTAGACTCTCGACAAGACTGGATTTCTTTTCCACTGACCCTTGCATTGATCGAGTACCTATCTACAACTGTGCTGTAATCAGTATACCTGAAGGTACCTGGAACTAACATATAATTAATATGCGGCAGACAGAGAGTTGCGGACAGTACGGAACCCTGATGCATTCCGGAACTCTATCGCCCAATGTAATGTAGCCCGATCGAATCGAACAAATGAAATGCAAATGTCATTGAGAAGCCCATAAGACTGAAGCTTGCTTAAGGTTTGCATGCCAGATATTGTCAAAAGCTTTAGAAATGTTCAACGACATTGCAAGTACTTCGTCTTCCTATTCCATAGCCTCGTTCCATATGTGAGACGCATACACAAGAAGATCACCCTCGTCGAAATCCGTACTGGCGGTCAGCATTGTTTCCTTTTTTTGACACAGGTTGCACGTTTGCCACGCTTCCATGACCTGAGAACATGAGGCAACTCAGGCACATAGTTGCGTAACTATGTGCCTGAGTTGCCTCATGTTCTCAGTCCTGCGTAGGACTATTGCTGGAATACCAATTGGCACGCTAGCTTTATTCACGTTAAAACTCCGCAGAGTTCTGAGTACCTCTTTTTAGCAAGACGCAAGCACGTATTCTCTGCAAAGGGTGAAGCAAAAAGATTCGTCTTCTCTTCAGCAGTATGGGCCAGCGAGCCGTCCGGCCTCAGCAGAGATGGTAAAGAAGGACTATTAAAGTTTTGGCCAGGGACCAATAGGACTTGCTAGTTGCTGGAAAAGAGGCAAACTTAGGCCCTATACGGCGCACATGGTAGAACTTGACTCTGCATAACACTCATTTATATGTCTTAACTGTCTAATTAAATTCTTCAGCTTCAGAGCATTCGAGCTTTACGCAGTCGATCATACTTTATTTTTGTACTTCAGTACAACTACAATCAGCGCTAAAACATGGACGAGCTTAGGGTCTGTTGGATACAGAGTATGGTATGTAATATCCACACCTAAGCTCAAGACTTCGACAACAGCATCAGCACAGCTCGACGAGTTCCCTGAACTAAAGCAAGCCAGTCAGGGATATAAAGCGAAGAAATGTCGCATTGCGTCTCAATCTGCTAACCTGTTTCGACACACCCGTCCCATACCGCTATCTGATCGGATGGGGAGAAGTTTCAAAAGACAATAGACAGAACAATTATTCGTATGAGACTTAACATCTGGAATCCTGGTGGCGCTACTGTCAAGCTAGGGAAGGCTTAACGTCAACGGGTGAATATACAAATACAAATATGGACGTTATTCCAATGGAGTAAAAATTTAAATTAGAGTATTAAGTCGTTTTAATAATTTTAACTTATAAATATCTAAATGTTGTAACTGTTGCAACAACTTATTTCATGTTTTCATTTTATGTTTAAAATTTGACAATTAAAGCCTACATTTACACGATGTTTAACTTTTGACACAGTAAATAATTCATTACCAGAACGTGAAATTTGCAACTTTCATGTGAGCGACAAACGCTTTTGGTCTTGCCACCGATCATCGCTAACATTTCTGTGAACTTTAATGTGTCGCTGAGATTCTGCGAGATAGACCTCACGTTGGCTTTCTCGCCGAAAATGTTTCAACCAGTTCAAGTCTCATTACAGGATTGCATATAATTTGGTACGTACTCGCATTATCTAATTATTTATAAAATCAAAAGATTAACTTTTATTTCTGTTAATTAAATAGACTAGATGGTAGACCTAAGTGCTAAATACAAGTGAGTTATTCTACAAATCTTTCACATTTCTCACTTCCGTGACCTTCATTACTGCCATTACCGTAACCTTTTTGGGATTACGGTAATGAACCAAAAGTTTCGGTAATGTAATGAATGTTGACTATAATAATATTTTCTGCAATTTTCTATTTCCTTAAATACACATTGCAGGTGTCAGAACACACAAGATGCATTGGCGCGAAGAAGATTATCCAAGCGCGAACGCTATGCCATGCCAACAAAATGAAGAATTGTATGCCATTGAGAAACAAACGGAAATAATACGATACTTAAAGAGTAAGGCAGAAAAGCAAACGAATAGTAGAGATGAATTGACACCACGTGCACTCTGTACAATCTGTGTACGTGGTGTCAAAAAGACGAGAAAGAAAGTCAAGAAAGAGGAGATGGAGGATAGTAAAAAATATCAACAAACAAAAAAGTCAACCAAAAAGAGATTGAACTTTTGGACACAGAAGGTAGCAACAAGATCAACTAGAAGAGCAAAGATTAGATCGACTTGCATCTGATTTGTCTTCATCATCGCAAAAAAAGTGACGAAAATACGAGTATGAAAATCAATTTGAGTTTCAATTAAGAGCAAAATTAAAACGACTGAGATATCAACGATACAAAAAGATAAAACTACTGAAAATTTTTATACGAGATGTGGAAAAAGAGAATAACAAGTTGAAGACTTTCTACATATATCAAAAATAGTATACAAGTATCAAAAACAACTGAAAATCAAATAGCTGGAAAAATTTATAGAAGAAAGATCGGACGGTAGTTTAACACTAAAAAGAGACAATAATTTTGAAAAGTTGATATAAATTCTTTAATTACAGTAGTAAGAAGCAGAGACTAAACTAGCCAGAACAAAAGAAAACGAAAACCATGACGATACTAATAAGGGTAACATAAAAGGAAAAGGTAAGAGTAAAGGGAAGATGGAAAGAAAACGAAATAGATTATTAAAAATAGTGTTTGAGTAGTACTAAATGGGTATAACTTTATAAAAATATAAAACTTTTAAGTAAGCGATTTTTTCCACTTTTTTTATTATAATTTTGGGTTTTAGATAACATTTATTTTGTTTTGTTGATTTAGTTAATAATACAAGGTTGTTTACTAAAAACTAACTATTAGCAAAGAAAATGTTAATTGTTATATTGTTACTAGTAATATAATTTACACATTATACATACACGTACACACAAATGTACATGAACACGCCCACGCACATATATACATTACATTTTATGTCTTAGAAAAATGGAGACTGATTGCAGTAACCCAGAGAACCAATTAATAATAATTAGCACCTAAAGAACCTGGTGAAAATTTGGTGGATTTATGTTAAAGTTTTCTTACAATTTTAAGTTTAAGTTTCAGTCTTTAGGTTTAAGTTTAAATTTTCTATTTGTCATTATGAATAGGAATGACGAAATAATAAAAAAATATTATACACAATTTTCTTTTTTTTTATATGCATGCATATCATTACAGTAACCTTACATTTCACTATCTTATCCTAAAAAAACATCATTTCCATATCCATTCTTCATTACCATAGCTAGACATATTTTTAAAAACCAAATATCGTCTTCAATATTGATTGCATACCTGTACCTTTGGTAATTTTATTTGTTTGGGTACATGCTCAATCCCATACTATTTTAAAAAACCAATAAAATTTTAATTTTTAAATTTGCAAAAATTTTGCACAATTATTGCTAAACTGTAGACACACCCCAACGCAAGTTTTCGCGTCTCTCTCCCTCGGGCACAACCATTCTTGATGTGAATTCTATAAAAAATAATTTACAAAACACTAACTTATGTTAATTAAATTTTTATTGAATTGATATTCAATTATTTTTTGTGAAATTACTCCACTAGTTTGTTATAATTATTAATACAAAGATCGAACACTCAGAAAAAATTCCTTCGATCCGGTCGGATTCGAACCGACGTCTTCTTGCATACCGTGCCAGACGCTATACCAACTAAGCCACGGAACGAACCAACGGACCTCACGAATTTTTCTATGTGCTTGCGTCGTGTCTTTGTACTTGGTCTTTCAACGACTAACTTATGTTTTTCTAAAAAACCGGGTAACCGGTTAACCGAGACTTAATAACCGAAAAACCAGTTTTCAAAATCACTCGGTTTTTGCCTGTAATTTCACCAGCACCCCTACCCTTCGAAGCCGGAGCGCAGTAATGTTCACATCACTGCTTGGCAGCAGAAATAGGTAAGGTGGCAGTACTTTCCTTTTTTTTTTCACATTTTGTTTCTGAGGTACTAAGATTCTACAAATATCGAACACTCAATGCTAAATTCAATTAAGCCTATATAAAAACAAAATTTAAAATTATTAAAATAATAAAAGAATTACAGACATTGACATAGCAAGAGTAGAAAAAAACGGCATATAAACGCACTCCTGATCTCGTAAGTTCATCCGTTATTCGTTAAAAACGGAACGTGTATCGGAGATTTCAAAATTTTTCGACTAAGCATCTCTAGTGCTACCGAGAATTCGATTTTTACAATAGAGACTTTATTGGTATTTGGAGATATTGAGGATGCGACATTATTTCGAAATCGTGAAAATGTCATAGTTTACGATAATTCTCTACCGTACGATAAATATCGTACATACGTAAGTAAGATCGTACGATCTTTTTAACGCACTAAGATCGTATTTTATTTGAAAAATACTTTTAACGCACTTTGACATACAGAATTTTGACTCATCGACTACTAAAAAACGTACATACATAATTAGGCGTAAGCGTAATTTGAAATTTTCTGTTTTATTGTACTTAGAGACTTAGAGGTACCTACAGAAGTTTGTCTCCTTTGCAGGAAAACGTATTCACATAATTTAATGTCGGTATAAGAGGAGCTCGAATATTATTTAAAAATACTTTTTTAACTACTTAGACGCACAGGATTTTAACTCCTCGAATACTGTAAAAAATATACTTACATAAATTAACGCCGATGCAAAAGGAGACAGTAGATAATTCAAAATTTTCTGTTTTAACGCACTTAGACTTATAGGATCTTGTCTTATTGACCACTGCAAGAAAACGTATTTACATAATATGACGCCGGTATAAGAGCAGCTCGTACATCATTTGAAAAATATTTTTTAACGCACTCAAAAGTACACAATTTTATCTCATGGAACACCGTAAGAAAACACACTTACATAGCTTGACGCCGATGCAACAGGAGCTAGTACGTAATTCGAAAATTTCTGTTTTAACGCTCTTAGGATCGTATTCCAGAACTCTACTCAATGCTCAATTCATGATTTGAGTATGGTTTAAAGCACTCGAAATCATACTCAAGTCCCTGCCATTAGGGTCGTATTTCCAGTGCTTGTGTTGCCAGTGCAATCCTGACTTAAGCCTTGAGTAGAGTTCTAGAATACGACCCTTAGACGTACACGATCTTGTGTAATCGACCACCGTAAGGAAACGTATTTACATAATAATAATATGACGCCAATATAAGAGAAGTCCGTACAGTATTTGAAAAATACTTTTTTGACGCACTTAGACGTACAGGATTTCATCTCATCGAGCATTATAAGAAAACGTACTTACATAATTTGAAATCCACATAAAAGGAGTTAGTACATTATTTAAAGTTGTCTGTTTTAACGCGCTTAGTCGTACAGGATCTCGTCTTAACCACCACTGTAAGAGAACGTACGTATGTACATAATATGATGCCGATATAAAAGAAGCTCGTACACAATTTGAAAAATATTTTTTTGAACGTATAGAATTTTATCTCTTCGAACGCACTAAGAAAACGTACTTACATAATTTGACGTCGATGTAAAAGGAGTTAGTATATTATTTGAAATTGTCTGTTTTAAGGCGCTTAGTCGTACAGGATCTCGTGTTATCGACCACTATAAGAAAACATATTTACATAATATGACGCCGATATAAAAGCAGTTCGTACGTCATTTAAAAAAACATATTTTTGACGCACTTAGACGTACAGTATTTCATCTTACACTTAGACGTACAGTATTTCATCTTATGAACATTGTAAAAAAACGAACTTACATAATTTGATGTCCACATAAAAGGAATAAGGACATTATTATTTAAAGTTGTCTGTTTTAACGCGGTTAGTCGTACTGGATCTTGTTTTATCGAACACTGTAAGAAAACGTAGGTATATACATAGTATGACACCGATATAACAGAAGCTCGTACACTATTTGAAAAATACTTTTTTTGAGGCACTTAGACGTACAGGATTTTATCTCTTCGAACACTCTAGGAAAACGTAGTTCCATAATTTAACGTCGATATAAAAGGAATAAGTACATTATTTGAAATTGTCTGTTTTAATGCGCTTAGTCATACATGATCTCGTCTTATCGAACACTGTACGAAAACGTATGTACATAATATGACGCCGATATAAGAGAAGATCGTATACTATTTGGAAAAAAAAAAGACGTACAGGATTTTATCTCTTCGAACACGCTAAGAAAACGTACTTACATAATTTGACGACGACATGAAAGGAGTTAGTACATTATTTGAAATTGTGTATTTTAATGTGCTTAGTCGTACAGAATCTCGTCTTATCGACCACTGCAAAACATATTTACAGAATATGACGCCAATATAAGAGTGTTCGTACACTATTTCAAAAATACTTTTTAAGGCACTTAGACGTACATAATTTTATTTATTCGAACACTCTAAGAAAACGTACGTACATAATTTGACGTCGACAAAAAAGGAGTTACTACATTATTTGAAATTGTATGTTTTCATGCGCTTAGTCGTACAGGATCTCGTCTTATCGACCACTGTAAAAACCGTATTTACATAATATGACGCTAATATAAGAGAAGTTCGTACACTATTTCAAAAATACTTTTTATGATATACTTAAGACGTACAGGATCACGTGTTGTCGAACACTGTACGAAAACGTATGTACATAATATGACGTCGATATAAAAGGAGTCAGTACATTATTTGAAATTGGATGTTTTAACGCGCTACGTCGTACAGGATCTCGTCTTATCGATCACTGTTAGAAAACGTATTTACGTAATATGACACCAATATAAAGAAATTCGTACACTATTTGAAAAATACTTTTTTGAGGCACTTAGACGTACCTACGGGATTTTATCTATTCGAACACTCTAAAAAAAAGTACTTACGTAATTTGACGTAGATATAAAAGGAGTTAGTACATTATTTGTAATTGTCTGTTTTAGCGCACTCAAACTTGATGCCGGTATAAAAGTAGTTCGTAAATCATTCAAAAAATACTTTTTTAAATCACTTGGAAGTACACGATTTTGTCTCATCGACCCCTGTAATAAAACATATTTACGTAATTAGACGTATTTTAAAACATAAACAAATGTCCAAGATTGTGTTTGTAACTATATCTAGACTATAATTATTATCTCTATAGTCGCGCTAAGTATTCCTTCTTTACCTTTACCCAACACGTGTACCTATATTGTTTCTTATACCACGTAACACGTGAAATAGCGTTACCTTGCTTACTCTATAAATTAGCATGTCATTGGGAAACGAAAACTTGTATTCCGTTTTGTCAAAAACCTCTTTAAAGTATAGTGACATATCTACGAATTACTTTCATTATGTTATCGAGGTATTACTTGGCTTGAAGCAAATTTATGATAATAATATTAAAATACTTAAATTTTTATTGAATTGACTTTCAATTTTGTTGTGAAATGACTTTGTTATAATTATTAATACAAAAATCGAACAGTTAAAAAAAAATCCTTCAATTCGACCGGATTCCAACCGACGTTTCCTAGCAAACCGTGGCAGACGTTATGCCAACTAAGTCACGGAACGAACCAGCGGACCTAACGAATTTTTCTATGTGCTTATTGTCGGATCTTTGTATTTAGTTTTCAATTTACGAGAAGTCTATGAAAAACATTGTGGCTCGAATCGAAGTCATTTTTTCTGTGTTCGATCTTTATATATATTCATAATTAAAATACTTATTTATTTTCTTAATGAATAATTAAAAAACCAAAGCACATGAGTCTAGCAGCAGTACAGAAAGTTTAAGAAAGCGAAATGTAATCATAGCAATGAAATTATTCAAGACAGTGAAATTATTCCTGTACAAGTTAGGCATCTTGTAAAATTGACTGCATCTTAAAGTTTACGAGCGCGCCACGACGTTTTCCGTCCCCAATAAAATTAATGGAGAGCGCTCAAGCCGCAGCCGCCAGATAGCGAACAGGCTGTGTTTTCTTGCTTGGAATTTTCATCAGCTGCTTGAGCAAGATAAATTCTACTGCGGGTTGTTTGCTGTATATTGCACAAGCAATTTCTATATTACTAACTTACTTTTTTAATAATAACTTTATTGAATATCACGATGTTTTACTACCGCGATTTTCAATTATTATTTGTGAAATTACTCAACTAGTTTATTCCAATTATTAATACAAAGACCGAACACTGAAAAACAATTCCTTCGATCCGGCTGGATTTGAACCAGCGCCTTTGCCATACCATACGTGACGCACTCCCAACTGAGCTACGGAAGGAATCAGCAAACCTTGTGTTTTTTTTATGTGCTTAATGCAGATCTTCGTTTTTGGTTTTTAACGACTTTTATGACGTAGCGCCATCTGTAAGAAATCTAAGAATGTATAAAACCAAAAACAATCCGCAACGAGCACTTACAAAAATGCTGAAGGTCTGCTGGTTCGTTCCGTGGCTCAATTGGGAGCGTACGGTATGCTGAAGGCGCTGATTCGGATTCAACCAGGTCGAAGGAATTTTTGTTAATAATTATCGGTCTTTGTATGCATAATTATAAGTTACTTTTATTTGCAATTATTTAGCTTCGCCGCTTGCCTTCCATCCATTAGTCAATTCCAGATATGGCGTAATAGAGAGGCAGATAATTTGAGCTGTTTACCATATCAAAAGAACAGTGTAGCCACATCTGGAAAGAGTATTTTGATGCAAAGTCGCGTAGTAAAGGTATTTGGTATAAAACGTTGTAGCCTTGCCTCTTTCGGACCCCATGGTATGACGGAGCCGATATGCGCAGAGCAAATTTAATCGCAGTATTTCGGGTCCGATCCGGACACATGCCACTAAACAGCTTCTCATACTTAATGAGAAAGGTCCAATACCCCAACTGCACTGAATGTGACATAGTGCAGGATGTATACAATATCTTGACGGAGTGTGTACGAAATGGAGCCGAAAGAGAGAATGTTTCTTACAGCTTGGATTGTAATTTGCCAGATTTGGGTGTGTGTAACATTTTCTTATCTTCCCCAAGATCAAAGGCAACAAAATTGTTATATAGATTACTTGACGTGGGAATTAAGCAAAGACCGTAGATGATGTTTAAGGAGCATTTATCATTATGGGGTGACATTTTCTAATCAAGAATAAAACCATCCCTAAACAAAGATTTTAAAAAAATGGTGTAATCGAAAGTGAAAAATTTGAAATAACAATTGTGTTAATAAAAAGTGTACACAATTGTAAATTTACTTAAATTTTATATTACATCTGTGTCACGAGTCTTTTGCAGACCTTACACTTAATCGTTAATTACGAATTGTTAGTTCAATCATACGCATACATGTCAACTATCATAGCTTATCCATTCTCATGAAACGCTGGACATTCCCCGAAATCGAAATGCTACCTATTTACGACAACCTATTTTGAATCAACTTCTAGTTGCAACTAGATCGATATTAAAACAAAACAGTTATGACGTAATAATACACGTAGGTATTGACGTACAATTTTAATACGTAGGTAGTGCAACAGGCAGGTGATAAATGTCTCACTATACACGAAATTGTACATCGAGAGCTTAAGCTTGACATTTAGGACTTAGTACCGTAGTCATCGTAAAGGTGCTTTTCAACCGGCGAGACGAAACTAAGCGAGGCGAGACGAGAATTAAAACTTATATGGAAAAATCTCAATTCTCTCCCAGCATATCTTCACTGGAAGTCGTCTGGACTGAAATATTTGTTGATCCAATAAATTGAAACGTATTGCAGTCTGCATAGAGGTATGAACCCTGTAATGGAAACACGATTTACGCCGTGTTAATAATGCCCTTGACCCTGTACGTGAGTGAATATTTATGTACACGTTATTCGCAACATTTTTGCAATAAAAAGTAATAAGTACCAGGGTTCCATGAGCTCGTTACATTTTATTGTAACCCCTATTCATGGTGTATCTAACAGTATTTACAGACTCACTACACGTATTGCATACGCACAACCAACACATAACCGCGCACATTTACAGATACGGTTCAAATGGCTGACCCTGACGCCTTAAGCACGTCTATCTTTCGGTAAACGGAATTTATGTCCTAATCGACGGTTAACGTATTTACCTTGTATAACAATTCGAAATAAATTGATTATGCCTACTAAAATACTACAATCACTATTATATGGGTAGTTTTAATCTTGTTTATTTTCATACCACATACAAATACAGTCGATTGGCTGTACCTAATAGACAGGATAATATAAACCAAGCATCTGTAGGCGTCTTGTAAAATATGTGATAAATACATGATTACGTTGATTTGATATACACGCAATATATAACGTTTCATTCAAGAACAAAACTCAATTTGTATGGTTATTTCCGTCTCTTTACAGAGCGGATGAAAGGCCGGAAATCGGGAATGCTTTTTATATCGTTTTGTAGGATCGATCCATTAGCGATATTTTTATGGCAGTAGAACAGGAATATGTAGTTATCGATCGACTACAGATAAATAAAGGTAATGTATCACAATCATTAACTAATGTGATGATTCTAACCATTTGAGTTGTTATTACACAATCACACACACGCACAGCCATCCAGACACATCGTATCAACCCAGAATATGCCTACTGCACTACACAGGCCTCCAATACACAGAAAGATCTAGGTCATAATCTTCCAATCTGATCTCGTACTGTTTAGGGCACATTATTTATTTATTTATTTATTTGTTTATTATAAATGCATTTACACGGTATTACAAATACGAAACTAATGCCCCGTGAAACTAAGTTAATTCAGAAATTACAACGAGAGAGAGAAAAAAATACATTGTAATAGTCCTAATAGTCGATGCCCTATAATCCATCACTTTCCAGAATCTCAAGCATTCACAACACACAGCCGCCCATCGCCACGCAAGTAGATCACACTCCGGTGGCGATGCCAAGAGTTTAATGAGTAATGCGAGGGCACAGAGCAGCGTCGACTTCCTACGCAATACTGTACGCGCCGAAGGTACTGCGAATAGTTCACGACGTCGCACTCTGAGGGTCGTATTCTAGAACTCTACTCAATGCTCAAGTCAGGATTGCACTGGCAACACAAGCACTGGAAATATGTCCCTAATGGCAGGGACTTGAGTATGATTTCGAGTGTTTTAAACCATACTCAAATCCTGACTTGAGCATTGAGTAGAGTTCTAGAATACGACCCTTAGGACTATTTTAGGGACATCTGGAACAAATAATCTTACAAGTTGCCACAATAGATTAAATTAGTGATAAAAAAATTAATAATTTCAAAAATTGCCTGTCTGTGGTTTTCTTTCTAGAATATATTTCGATGAGAATGCCCATGAGGTCCGACAGCTCATCCAGCCATTCAAATGTATGGCTGGATATCATCATTACTTGGTCTATATTCCCTTCAGGCGTACTAAGCACTTTTCATCATCTTTTATTATGCGCACTGCCCAAGAATGGAATTCAGTGCCTGCGACAGTGTATCCGAACTACAACCAGAGTATCTTTAAGGTGTGACTGAATAGGCATCTTCTCGGCGAGCTCGTTCCATCGTAGAGTCTATCATTGCTCCAGAGCTAGGTAGTGGTCAAGAGCAATTCCATTTAAAGTAAAAAATAATAATGGAATTTGCATTATTATACATAACGACTGGCAAGTTTTAATTTATAGGTCTTTTTCGCATAACTATTGATGAGAGAGAGCAATGCGTATACATATTATATAGAGATACTTTTGAAGTTGACAATCCCTACTGTGTCAAATCGTAACACGATTGTATGAGAAACACGATTCTTTTCCCTACAATATGATAAATAGTATAAACTCTAACCAGAGCAGCGAAACTGCCGAGACCATTGTTATTTACGAGTATTTACGTATTTATAAATTTGTATTTAAAATTTTCGGACTACTTTAGTACACATACCTAATTTGATTGTAGAGCAATCCCTCCAGTTTATTTACTCGTTATTTAAAAGCATCTCTACCTTACTAATGAGTTTGAAATGTTTATTGGCGATTTCAATTCAGAAAATAAAGACATTACGAATGCGATTCGAAGACACGGATAACAGCTTGTCGTCGTATATAGAATTACAATTACGGATCCAGATAAAGCATTACTAAAACCTCCGTTTCTCGACAGAAGTTTCAACCAGTGGATGCTGTGTAATGATAGCAAACTAGATGTTCTTTACTAGATGTTGGCAATATATATCATCACAGCTGTCTTTCAGATAGAATACATGAAGCTCTCATACTAGGATATTTATTTTACTTTCTCCTTTCTCATTCATTGTTTTCACGAGCGGTCGCCAGGTACTAAACTTTACAAACGATTAGTTTAATTCTTTATGGTCTATGTTACTTATTGGCGCGCCTAGTTATATTTCACAAATTGATTATCACTAATTATTTACATAATTAAAAACTTGTAATCAGTGATAAACATTTAAGCACGAAATTCTTAAATTACTATATTTCACAAGTTATGGTGATATTTCAACTTTGATAGAATTCTTTTACTCAATAAAAACGGTTTTATCTATCCTTGATATTCCACTTAATACCAACATCGACCAACGCCGACCTTCTCAGATGGAGTACATTTCACTTCGGAGATGTATCTACGACAGAATTTTGACGACAATGCATCAACATTTACTGTTGTCAAATAAAAAAAATTCATGAAAGTCAATTTTTGTTTGTTTACAATTCCTTAAACAGGTTCGCCAAAGATTACATCGATGACACAAAGAAAGCATCTAGTATGTAAACACATCATTATTTAGAAGATGCTAACCTGCAACTCTTCGTAGCGGGATCGCGCGGGTCCATTATGTTTCTCCAATAGCAGGAATTCTGTAACCATTATCACACCGAAGACGGCGAAGAACATGATGAAGATGAAGAAACTCATATTGGCGCGTTCCTTGGAGCGGGATATCGAGGAGCGCGAGCGCCCTCTCATCATGCAGGCGGTGATTTCGCATGGGCTCGGGCTGAACAGGCAGTGTCGAGAGCGCGCGCGCTACACGACGCACGATTGCCACTTTAGCAGTCACCAGGCCGGTCCGCCATAACTACGAGCGCCCCGCGCCGCGTCCGCACCCACACTGCCGCACACTCGCACTATCATATAGCGCCGCCCGCCCCTGTCTCGGGGTTCCACCCTCTAACAAGCTTCCTGCTATCGAAACGAATCCACTTTTATTTCTCTCCGGCTCAAAACTTTATTATGCCTGTCTTTGGTTCATAATCGTAACAACACTTGAGTTAAGAAATACATTCCGGTTTATTTTGTTTCTAAGCACTTACAGATCACATTTTAAAATTGATAAATTAAACCAATATTTGACTATTTAGTACGGAAATTGCTAACGATTGCAACCCCATGGGGGACGCACGCCGAGCCGCATGCGCGGTCGGCCGCCCACGTTCGATGACTTGACATCACAGAAGCTTTTCTCCAATAAACATTATGTTTGCCCGCGAACCTCATTTTGATTCAATATACCTACTCCAAACATCTATGTGGAGGAAACCGACACAGCACTACAAGAAACCAATTCGTTAGTGCTTTAGCACCTTTGTTCTTACCAAATTAATATTACACTTACTAACCACGTCCACGTACCTCCAAATTAGTTAATACCCAAAATTAGTGGAACATTTATTGTAGCAAAATGGAACAAACGAGATAATTTATACTATAACATTCAAAATTGTGAATCAAAATAAAATTACATGAATAAAAAGAAACTATAAATTTATATAAAGTAGACGATCAAAACATCATCAATCAAAAAAGGCAAATGTCAAATGGGTCTATGGCTCACATAAATACTATTAAACATTATTTAAGCAAAAGAACAACAAAAAAAGAGAAAAAAGTATTTGCTATTGCATAAGGCTCACAAGTGGATGTAACGCTAACCGCGATAAACCACAAACAATAAAAAAGGGCCAAAAAACATAAACAACAACACCAAATTACCTTCTCTGAAACTAAAAAAATTCCTTTATATTGAGGAACAAAGCTACGGAATTCACTATGGGGCACTACCCAGAATACCCACACCAGAACCAACTTAGAAAAGCTCATTTCTGAAATTGTTCGACTTCTGTGACCTTTTTTTTTTTTTTTTGACGGGGGAAATCTTTATGGATACCCCTGAGCCTAGGGAGAGACCTCTGTGACCTAACGATTTACATTGTGGGCGCTGGATGCGGAGATCCCTGGTTCGATTCCCGGTAGGAGCAATTTGGGAAAAAACTTTTCTAAATAGATTCTGGTTTGGACATTTTGGGAAGTGCCGCAGATTGAATTCTGGTACTTATCTGGTACGTACTGGACCAGGCAGTTGGAATTGTCTGGCACATATACACATTATATTTATTACCATACTATTATAATTTATACTTAACTCTTTTTATGTCTATAGATCATGATGGCCTTAGCTGAAGCCCGACCTACGGTGTTATCACGATTTAACTCTACTACGACGAAATAAAAATTTTAAGTACTCAATATTTTGACACTCCAAATAAGTATGTAAGCACTTAAAAAAAATCGTTCAACCTGTTCTAATAGCAGACAGAATAGTAGACATCGAACAAATTCTTAACCATTTGTTGATGTTTATTTAGCAATACCTTCGTATTATGTTTTGTAGATGCATTATATTTTTTAGTTTTCTTATATACATATAAATTTATTAAACCTATCATTTTACATTTCATTATTCACATTACAAAGTGTAATAATCATTGTTAATTAACTTGAGCCTAAAGCATCCAGTGTAATTTGTTACCATATTTTTATGAAATATGTTGTATAAAGACGTTACTAGTCTAAAAATAACACTAGATATAAGATCAAATATTAATTGTAAGACATTTACGTGTAACTTTTTTGTTAATAAAGACATTTCAAAACCAAAAATTACTTAAGCAAAATACTTAGAAAAAAAATGCCTTCGATCCGGCCGGATTTGAATCAGCGTCTTAAGCTGGCGTTATCGCTAAGCGATAAAAGCTCTAGTTAAATAAAAGATTTTAAAAAACCAGCGTCTTCTAGCATACTGTGCTAGACGCTATGCCAACTTAGCCATGGAACGACTCTTTTCTGTGCTTGTTGCAGACCTTTGTTTTTTAGACTTTTGAGACTTAAGTCACTTAATTAAACAGTATTAAAAAATCTTGTAAACCTGCAGTCATTTTATTATTCTTGTTACATGGAGATAGCTATAGAGGATATAGACAGGAGCTTAGTGTAACCGGTGGAGATTGAATAACGGTACTAATAAAATCAGGTACTGAAATTACATTAACGTCCTTTATTTCTTGTGCCCTAAAAAATACTCATAAATAAATTATGATTGTATTATTTGAGCTAACACTTGATTTAGTTCCATGTTTTGTGTACGGTGTTTCTATATTAATCTTTTAAAACTATAGTTTGTTTACTGTTAAGGAGGTTTATTTGTTTGATAGCTAATAATGATGCAATTTGATAACTTTAATAAGTACAATGCGCGATGGCTGATTGTCAACTGATGTAAATTACAACAATAAGGCGTAAAGTGCTGATGGAACGCATTGTCTGCTTAAACACCTTACCAATAAGTATGAACATCTACGTTTGAAAATTCTCGAAAGTCTCCTTTTTTCCGAGATTTTCAACACCTCGCAGAGTCTCGATTTATTACGAAAACCCTACCCTCAACGGCATATGATCGAAAATAAGACATTTACTTTAATTTTCGATTTATATGTATACACACTTCGAAAAGCCCCAAATATCAATTTTGAACGCTCGAAATTTTTAACTCCATTTAGAATTCACCATATTGTTAAATTTTAAGTGCTCAAATAGGCAACATTTTGAAAGACTATATATACTCACTAAAACTTAATCGAACTATAAATAACAGAAGAATCGCACCCACGTGGAAGTATATAATATGTGAACTACCAAGCGAAAACGGATGCTGTCTCATAAAAAAAACATGTGTGCGAAGGACGGTTAGGGAATGCAATACCGGGATATGGGATCTCGAAATACCGGGATCCCGCACCAGTTTTGCGGAATTGATCCCGCACGTAAACTGAGCGGTAGCCCGCAGTATTTGCGGGATTGCGCATAAGCGGATTAAATGTGTTAATCTGTGCGCTTGAATCTTGTCAACGCGTGTCGTCTGCGTAAAAAGAGACAAAACATAAAATTTATACCAAGTCAAAATATTTGGAAGATTTATTTATGAACCTCTCTAGATAGAGAGATTCCAGTACAGCCCAGATCTCGAACATTCGTTCGAGATCTGAGCTTTCCCGCAGTTCATAAACGCTAAGCACAAACAATATTATAATTAAATTAACATAAATATGCGCCAAACAACCATACCAATTACCTGGTCTCAAACTAAGAAATTCCCTGTACTATGAATATGTAACACATTGTTCCTACCAGAAATCGAACCCGGGATCTCTTCATCGAACGTCCACGATGCAAACCGTTTGGCTTTCGTAGTCGTCAGAACATCGTTATAAAGTATGCAATTCGTCAAAAATTCTAAACTTTGTTCCTTTCAACACATAATACGAGCCGGCATCAGTATCGTTTGAGATACTTACTAACAAAAAAATCAGAACAAGTAAGTATCATTCCTTTTACACGTTTTGTGAAAATCTCTTACTGGGCCCCGTCGACATGCGTAGATTATAATAGTGTTTGCCCTACTTGCCAAACTATGAGAGTATAATCAACACCTATTTTTCACCTCAGACTTAACTTTAAGAACTCTATGACTCTATGCCACTTATTATATGTATGGTTGAAAGTTCCTCGCTGACTGACGTCACAAGATAATGCTATCTATAAAATCCTGTAACATGCGTGGCGCGATGCCGTTCCTGTAGGAGTTTCACAATATTTATGACTTATTTTCTCGAAGACGAATAATATATTCAATTCAATTCAATCTGTTGCTCCATTTACAAGTCTTAAATAACATATAGATCCCTTATTATATGATACCCTGTAAGGGCATAGCAATAAATAACATCATACAAAAACGTTAAAATTGTAGAGGTAAAGAATAAAACAAAAATGCATCCGATCATATTATTCTGAACTAAAATTCTCATGGCAGTCAAAAAGGTATTGTAGAACGGTGTAAGTATTATAATCAATATTTTTTTCTTTTTTCACCTACTGCTTTTGTTTCCGTATACATTTTCCGTTCGCAGACATAATTTTTTGCCGAAATCCATAATGATTTTTATTTCTATGCATGTCTGATTTAGAAAGCTTTGCACTCCCAAAATCAAACAATTACCCTTATAAAATATGGAAACTATAAAAAACCGTTGTGTCTGTAAGTTAATAAATACTGTGCAAAGATCACATCTTGCATTTCTTTCCTATAGGATTGAGCCGAAACGTAAGTATTCCAAGTACTCAATATTACAAATTATCCAAAGCCAAAAAAAGTATTTTCCTAAATGCCACTATCATACTATCAATAGATCTAAGAGGATGGAAAAAATAAGCATTAGATAGACAATCTAGCGGCCTCATAAGACGACAGACAGTGCGGCTTCACAATCTTTCTATCTTTTCAGCTTAATGTTGACGATTTGACGACTATTAGGTACTTATCTTATGAGTTAACCATCAAAAACTTGAACAATAATTAGCCAGAATAGCAGTACCTATATCAATGCCACAAAGGTGTGTGTCACCGCACGCGATTAGCCTACAGGTTCCCCGCCCTGACCTCCGGGCACCCCACTCTCCTACTGTCATCTTTGGATTGCGATTTATATGGTTGTTTCTAACTAACGCCAGGGCATCCGACATACCAGCGCTGTCAAAGCTATACACTGCACAATTTTTTTTTATTATAACCCAGTGCGCCAAGAATAGAGCCTGACTTAGGCCACGTTGCCATGTCCCCTGTGTCGTTAACCGAAGTGTGTGTACAGACAAGAGCACGTCAAGCTTGACACTTTGTACTTTGGGCCGTTCTTATCGTAAGCGGTATAGAGTTGGATTTAAGTCTTAAGTGTCAAGATTGATGTGCTCTTGACTTGTACCTGGACTGGTACTTACACTTTGGTCACTGAAGCAAAATCATACGATTACCACATTTTTGGCATTAATGTAGAATTTTTTTGTTATTTACGCAAGAATGAAATTAAGACGAAACTTTGAGTTTAGTCTTAATAAAAATATTCGTTTCAAAAAATAATAATAAATGACGCTTGGTCAACGCTGTATTTTTTTATGGAATATATCTAAATCTAAACACATGAAAAATATCCAGAATATGAAAAGATTATGAAAAAATGTTTAATCAGTAACTAACGTATGACGTAATATCACTTATTTCCAGTTATCACCACTGGCTGTATTCCCACTGGCGACAAGTGGGAAAAATCCAGTGGTGATTTCCAGTGGCGACAAATGGGAAAAAAATCCCATGTGTTACCAGGTGGTGACAAACGGGATAAAAAAAATCTCAGTTGTTGCCAGTGGTTTTCTACGGGCGACAAATGGGAAAAAAATCCCATAAGGTATAAGGTAAGGTATATATAATATAGGTGTATTTTGTTTTTATATTGTTATGTATGTTAGTCTATAAGGTATGTATACATGGGTATTTTTGTTACCTGATATAAATAAATAAAATAAAAATAAAAATTAAAAAAAATATGTTGCCAGGTGGTGACAAACGGGATAAAAAAATCTCAGTTGTTGCCAGTGGTGTTGGTGGTGGTGGTAGTGTAAGATGGTGAGAAATAGGATACAAAGATCTGTTGTTGCCACTGGCGACAAATGGAATTTAAAATGTCGCAGTAGTTGCCGGTGGTAAAAAAAAAACAAATGGAATAAGAAATTCCAATTCGAATTACTGTTTATTTATTGCCGCCATCGAAAGGGAATAAAATAAAATTCGAATTTAATGATATAAATATAGATCTTATTCAAAAAATCAGTCTTAAACATCAGGTATTTCAAATACCGTATGAAAATTAAAAATCACAGAAATAATTACATCATTTACAATAATTCAAAAACTCTGGACACTACAAATATAAAACAACAGTTAAAATTTAAAATAAAATGGAAAATTAGATGTAAACTCTCACTTGTCGCCACTGGGAACAAAATCAATGGTGACAACTGGGAATAAGCGCATAATATTGACCTTTTTATGCTTAATTTATTCTTCATATGGAAACTACTGAAATGAAAAAATGATTCATTAGACCAATGTAGATGTATCGTGCCATGCCAGTTGAAGTTTCCGGAAACACCTATCAAAGTAAATTAGCCATAATGTAAGCGACGTGATGTACAGTGCCAGTTACACAAAAAGTACTTTGTGGTGCCAGTGCCCGTGGCACTTATGCATGTCACTGTATCATTGTTAATCACTGGCGCACGACTTGTTCGTCACTTGGTGTAAAAAAAAACAGGTATTGATAGTGTGGTACGGGCCACAAAAGACATTTGACGTCTTCTGTCAAAAATTTCATGACAGAACGCATGCAGTTGGTGGATCATATTTTTTACTTTTACTTTAAAAACCATGGGTCACAAGGACGATGCTGAATGTCCACCAGCTGCAAGTGATAACAATCTATTCAGGGCGTTTGCCAATGCCCTTGCGGCCACAATAGACACTCCCGTTACCTGGTTCCGCGGTAGGTGTTTTACAGTTTGTGTATTGTTATGTAAGCTAAATAGCCCATCCTGATCTGATTTTTGGTTGCAGAATCCGTAGTTGTTCCCAACCAGAAGAAGTACCCGTGGTACCACCAGCAGTTCCGTCGAGTTCCCACCATCGACCAGTGCTACACAGACGATGTCGTCTGCGATTTCGAGGCGAATGCACAGTTCAAACGCGATAGGTTAGTTGCTTGTTTCCTTTTTGTCTGTTAAATACCACCATGATTTGATGACCAATTGACCATGTTGTAAGTAAGTCAATTAATTAATATTGGTTGTATTATCAATATAGTCGTTAAATTAAGGAAACATTGACACAATAAGGAGAAAAAAAAACTGTTGTAAATATAATAATAATAACAACGCACACACTCAACATAGCCCTGCACTAGGGAAACCCTATGTCGCGGGTGCTATGGACACACACATAGACAACCACAAATTACACCCAAACTCACGAGAGAAATAAATGTAGGCCAAACAAATATTTTTCCAAGGCTGGGAATCTAACGTGGGACCTCTGCATGGCAGTTCGGCATAGTAACCGTTCCGCCAAGGAGGCAGTGAAATAACAAATGGATGCTTACACAATATTTCTGTTTCATTAATAATATTAGAATAGTACTTATTACCTAAAACAATGTTAGCGCACATATTCTTGCATGCTACTAGATGATCCCCCAATAGCACTTCTACCATGTTAAATCAATAATACACTGTAATAAATCAAAAACAGCATTTTGAGAAAAAGTTGCAAAAGAGTTTTCAGTTTTTTGTAGTTTTTGAAGTTAATATAAAAAGATAAATGTTTAAATTACTTTGTAAAGTCAACAGCACATCAAGCTATATACTTTTATTTGAATATCACCTTCAGTGCAACATAACAAAGTCCATCAATCTGTAGCTTGAAGTGCTGCTGTCTGTACATTACATAATTGTATTTTGCAAAGTAAGCTATTTCTGTTGAAAAAGTAATAAAGCCTTGCCTTAATAGCAGTAAAAGAGTAGTAGTAGTAGTATGATTGCACACAATACCTTTTCTGCAAGTAAATTAAAATAATGAAATACAACCAATATTTAAGTCTGTGGAAATCCAGTTCTAACGTGCTGTTTTTTTATTTTGTGTAAAATCGGTCTGTAACCACTTTTCTTATTATGAGTATTGGTACTTTTGTTTAAACTTCTTTAGAAACCCGTGCACGGTAATGAGATACAATTTATCTGTAATACATAGAACAAATATGTACATAAAAATGTATCATAGTATGTTTCATTCATCATTATGGTCAAACAACAGTATCAGACACTAAAATTTGATAAAATACTTGGACTGTTGGGCTTTGTATCCTTATTCGTGGGAGTCAGAATGGCGGGTGTACCTTAACGGATCCTGACAAATTTGATATAAAAAAATGTACCTAATTTGTACTATTTAGTACCTCTGTTTAAAAAATTTGTACCTCCATCAGAACGACGTTATAGCAATATCAAAGGTACACCCGCCGTATTGACTGTCAATATGGCGGATGTACCTCGGATTACCAGTATTTATTTAATAACTATAAAAACTTCTTATTCCAAAAATTTGTATCTTAATAATACTCTGAAGTAAAGGAAACTCGAGCTCAATCTGCTGGCTAGTTTCTGAGAAATAAACAAATTTTGTTGAGATTTCAGAGCGCCGCTGTGTGCATCTTAACAAATCCTGACATATTTGGTACCAAAAATGCTTACCCTGTCCTATACAATTAAATGGCATCAACCCTTCATGACATATGAAATAAACTATGCATAATAAGGACACGCGCTTGTAACCTTTTCAATCAAAACATGTAAAGATAGTGACATATAAAGAGGCTGTATGGTGGAACTTTTGCCTACCCAAATAAATGGCGAAATTTTATTTTATAAAAATTACGAAAATATTTACAATTTTGATTTCGCTTTATCTTCGTTATGATAGAGGTACAAATTTTTTAAGAATGAGTACTAAATAGTACAATTTTGGTACATTTTTTTGGTACAGTCAAGAGCACGTCAAACCTTTGTACTTTGGACCGTTCTTATCGTAAGCGACATAGAGTTGGTAAATCCAATAGTTGGATTTAAGTCTTAAGTGTCAAGCTTGGCGTGCTCTTAACCCTGTACCAACTATGTCAGGATTCGTTAAGATGCACACGGCACTCTGAAATCTCAACATATTTTGTCTTATTTCTTAGAAACTAACCAGCAGATCAAGCTGGAGTTTCCTTTACTTCAGAGTACTATTAAGGTACAAATTCGGAATAACAAGTTTTTATAGTTATTAAATAAATACGTACCTGTCCGAGGTACATCCGCCATATAGACAGTCAATGCGGCGGGTGTACCTTTGATATTGCTAGACCCTTATTCATTTTTATATTAAGAAACAAATAATTCCCAAAAAACAAATTCTTGAATTAGTTATAATTAACTGACTTCTGTGGACAAAGCTACGTTAACGTTATGCATCAATCGTAAAATAAATATCTTGTGGGTAGAAATAAAATCACGCCATAGGGCTCATGACCGCGACTCCCGTGGCTAAAAGGCGCCGGTCGTTTTAGCCCTATAAATAAGTCTTTTAAGCTTCCTAGTGTTAAAAGACATCGACTTGAATTATTCTTCAGTTTTAGTCTTACGACTCAAGACTTGAGGGTTAAAAGACTACTAGACTAGACGTGAGACGTTAAAAATTAGTCGAGGTTTTTTAAAAGGCCTTAAAAGTCTAGTCTCTTACATCACTAACCATAAACCGCCATATGTCAAGACTGTGATGATTTAGTACAATAATTATGAACTATTTCAGAGCTGTAGACAGTGAAATCCTTAACATCTTGCGCCAACGTTATGAGGACTGTATGATGTATGAGAACCCTGATCACCTTACTGTCTGTAAGCCTCTTTGGGACAGGTACAAGGACGCCGAAGAAGCATGGTTCATTAAATGTGAGTGTTGTAGAGAAATTTAAATGAAATATAATTTCTTTAAAAAAACAGTTGTGGACATTATTTTTCCGTACTTTTGCTATATTATTATTATTTATTTGCATAATTTTGTCATGTAATGCATACATATTAATGCATGTTACCTCGACTGCCCAGATATGTTGTCTTTCATGCTCGTCAATAACTGTAATATTTAAAGTATTTAAAAAACAGTTTATGCATAAAATGATATTATTTGCATGATTTACTTTACTCTTTATGACAGCTTTCTTTCTAGCAGTCATGCCTAACAATATTTTGAAAAATTTTGTAGATGGTGATCTTGGCGCATATGCTGATGCGAAGAAAGCATACATGAAACAAAAGCACCGCATGATTTGGGAAAGACGTAATGGCAAGCTGTCGGAGCAGACATAATGAACTAAGAGATCAACTTGAACTCCTCTCCAATAAGTAGTTATATGTTATTTGTGATTGCAATAAATACATACTAGTAAAATTTTACTTGATGTAATTAAACACTAGTTCAAAAAATAACATTTATTTTCCAACACTACATTCATTTTTCATGCAATACTGACAAGATTCTACTTCCATACATTGATTTACTAGTTGGAACAACAAGAAATTAATGATCACAGAAATATGAAGATGTAGATTTATAATAATACTAATATTTCACATCTTCTCTTACTGTACTTGAGATACTTACAAAACTATCTTACTGTTACAATTTAAAAACTCCTTTATTGGTCACATAAAAGTAAAAACATTAGCTTAAAATTACTTAAATGTAGTTGCTACAGTCTTAAGAAGTTCAATGGATTTTAAAATGTGTAGTTTTATAATCTTTAGTGGACACTGTTTCAGTATGTACTTTCTAACATATTTGCTCATTGTTAGTTATTCTACTCGTACTTCAGCAAGTAATTTATGCTTGGCTATTTGAAATAAATTTCATTGAAAATGCAGAGTGGCAGGTAGGTAATACACAAAGATAATTCCATCAATGAAATTGCATTGAAACAATACACTTGCAAGGGCCTGCCTTCGTAAAAAGTGTTCATTCTGAATATTCAAAAACATTTCGAAGCTTAAACAATCACATTCCACAATAGTAGTGTAAATAGTGCCAGTAATATTAAGTAGTTTTGTCAGCGGCAAGCTAGGAGAGATATGCAACAGGTATATGTTTGCAATTGAGAAACCTCTCTTTGCCAGCTACGCTACTGAAGAACCTAGCTCACAACCTGTAACTCCATGTAACTATATAGTAATCCTATTCACAAACTGTTAGGCGCTTTTGAAAACTTTCTACAAAATGGGATTCTCCCACAAGTAAACGACTTCTTCAAATCTTAACAGTATGTTTCTGAACAATTACATTTAAAATATAATATTATTGCTGTACATCAATTTCCTTCTGATACTAATATGTACACCATAGATATATACACATACGATTTCTTAAAACTTGTGTACTTGTACAGCGATTTGTATAATTATAAAATAAATGTATGGCATTCATTGGTACACAAGTATATCACAGAATGCCTTTGTGCAAGATAGCTTACCAACACTATTTACATAATATTTCTAAATTTAATTATCATTTTTAACTAAAACTGACCATAATTTTACCTAATAATACAATTTGTGTGTTGAATCTGACAGTCCTTTGGAACATATATCGGACTGGCCATACATTCAGCTTCGTGGCATAAAACAAATTATTTTAATTATCTATGCCGAATTTTGAAAATGGATTGTGAAGTTTAAGCTGTTTTGGTAGATGAAGTAATTGCACTTTCAAGATACAAGCATATTATATCAAAGCAGTGAGACTTACCTTAAAAATATATCAAAAACATTTATCTTATAATTGACTTAACATTGTTTGATTGCACTGTTTCTTGTATCAACACACTGATACAGAAACAAAATTTAATGATATACATGTCTAAATTTCCTCAAAACTCTTGATATTTTAAATAGGACAACATTAATTACAACAACATCAGCGAATACGTACATCTTAAAAGCAAAACAAATGTTTACTGCACAATCAAGTACAATTAATGGAGATCAATATCAAAGGATAAAATTTATTGACAAAAAACAACATATGATTATTGTACTCTAGTTTAGCGTTCGGAAAATGTTACAGGAGCTCGAGAAGTACTATACATCACCGTAAAAATGTTTACGTAAACTTATATACTAATTGTTTTGAGTTTGAGCCTCAAATCGCAAAATGATATGTGTGACATTGTAGTAATTCCAAGAAACTAAAGCCTTATTTGAAGCGTTCACTAGAAATGAATAAACCAATAATCTTTGCTTCCTGAATTTGCATTTACACAAATCAAGAAACTTTCGAATGTTTTGCGTAATTGTCTAGATTTGAAACGGGCACTCCGTATTTAAAATTTATGCATTTTAAGAAAATGACTAAAATCGGTACATATTATTTGCAACGCAACTTCAATGCAACGCGATCACTATATAAGGATGGTACTGCGCGCACTCAAAATGTTTGTTTGTCGAAAAGCCGACAATCGACGGATCACAACACGCGTAGAGAGCGCACAGTGTGTTCGCGTGCATTTTATTAAAATGTATGAGAAATATTGCATTGCATATTTTTGTTTTATAAAATATAAGTACGCATTTGACCTCCATCTCACGTGATGGAAAGTGTAGTGTATACGTTGCAAATAATCTGTACCCGGCTAATAAATTTGGCAAAAACATACAATATGCCAAAAAATGTATGTAAGTGGATGGTATTAAAATAGAACCTGCTTTTATTCAACACTTTGATTCATTAGACTCAAGACAGTTCCAGTTCAAATCGCAGTATATTCACATAAATATAATAAATTATGTCTAATTTATGTTTCAGTCCTTCAAAGTAAACCTAAGATAAAATATATACAAATGTCAAAAAGGTAAAATAAAAGAAATAGTTGACTAAGGGTTGCACCCAATTTATCAGCCACGCATCGGCACTATGCCCATTCTAAACGTGTATGAAACACACGTATAGTATGGACGCAATGTAGAAAACACGCTGACAAGTCGAGACCAACCATAAATACACTTATCAACCTCTCCAGACATGTCAACCTGGCACTAATTTATAGCAATAGGAAAGACTAAAACATAAAAAGGAAAATAAACTAAATATCACAGTTTAAACTGAATTATCACGTAGTCAAGTTGATAAAAATTAAAAAAATGGAGGGTAAAAATATAAATATGATGTTTCAAGATCGCGAAAAATCAGAGCTCTCTATAACATTTTAATGAACGCTCATAATTCTTAAACCTAAATAAACACACAAAAATATAGACAATCTAAAACATTATTGTTATAGACATCACATTTAAAGGACATTTTGTAAAATAGTCTAGTTGATAAAATTCGTTGCGACCCTGGGTAATATCCTCAGCTTCATGTGATATCGGAACACATGCAATTTTTACTTTCGAAAGGAATGGTATTCTCTTACTCGTAGTTTAGGTGGGTATGGAATATTAGACCGAGTCGAACGCCGCTGCCAGTCGAGTACGACCTGTTAAAGAAATATATTTTGGAATTGAAAGTTGTTATCATGGTTTTTTTTATAAGAATCAAGTTGTGCGACAAACCAGTCGCGCGTCTGATGGAGAGCTACACGCCCGTTTAACATATATTTTATTTATTTATATACAGTGGAATTTTTTATTACTCGGGTTATTTATAAATAGCACTGCAATCTTTACATTATTAACACTTACTTACGTTTGACAATCGTACCTGATGGTAAATGACGACGTTTCGCCAATTGTGTGCCCTTGTCTAGTCTAGTCTTAACATCAATCTATTCACTCTTACCTTGGAAGTACCCTAGTTATTGCAGCGTGTAAAAAGTAGTTAAAAATGTGAAACTTCTAGAAATGTTCTATAACCACATAGCAGCCAAAAACCTAAGCATCTATAATCCTAATGTATAGGGTCCTTGTAGGTACACTTGCTAGTTATTTAATTTTATAAGAGAAGTGATCTTACGTTTATTGTCGTGTGGTAGCAGGGCGGTAGGCGCCGGCAGGGCGCTGGCCGGTGGAGAGCACCACAGGCTCATCTTTGGCGAATCGAACACACTGGATCCCTGCACAACACAATTATAACTTTTAAAACTTACTACGTATCAAAGTACATGATCCACTAAATCAACACTCGCGCGAAGAACCAATTAAATAGCTACCCTCACAGGCACCCAGTACGAGTTGACCTTTATGATAATGATCACGGATTACTTATAAGGGATATTTCGACCCCTCTCACGTAAAGTATCGTATGTTGAAATTGCCAAGTTTACAGAGGAGCGTTTTAAAGTTCTGCATTCACTGAAGTGAGCATAACACGTGACTTTAGCATTTCTCAGTTTTATTCGGCAAAGCTCGTTACTCACACAGAGTATTATAAAATCCTAGATATCGATTAGACATCGAGTATATAACTAGAAATAGGGACGAAATATGGGCCATATATTCCTGGTAACACATTAGCGATACAGCTCTTATAAATATCAACTCTCGTTTGCACTGAAATATAGACAGGCCAACTACTGACCTGTGTGTACGTCCCCATATATCCCAAAAAATATTCTGTATTTATTGAAATAAAGATAATATCACTAACAATGCCATGCTGTTCTATTCGGTGGTGTGGGAAAATCAGGAAAACATCTAATTACAAAACAAACGAAATCACATTTCATTGGTAATTAAATATGTAATTTTGCAATTTTCGTCCATTATAGCAAAGCTCAAGTTAACTGATCGATTTGAAGTGAAACCGTTGAGGCACACGTCTATTGTTTCGAACTCGGGCTAGCCAATCGGAGCGCAATTGTCACAGTAATGATAAGGCAGAATAGTTTTCAAACAAATTAAACATTTCGTCTCTATTTCTGGTTACATAGTCGATGCGGTTAGACGTCCTATAATGATCTATTAGATGATCATTCTTTCAGTGAATTCAGAACTTTAAAACGCTCCCGTTTAAACTTGGCAATTTCGTTGGCAAATACTTTACGTAGGAGGGGTCGATTTATATAAAAGTGGTAGTGGCGTCGAAAGTTTGTATTGTAAATGATTGTAAATCCAACATCAAGAATGTAAAATGATGCCCTACTAACTTTTTGACCAGGCGGAGTGTCATGTACGGAGTAGTCCTCGTTCGGACGCAGCTCGCGGCAACGCGGGACAGTCACGCCGGGGCATAGCCCCCACCCGCCTTCCACCTCCGTGAACACTGAGCAGTACGCGCGCAAAAATTCCACCGTGCCTTCTAAACCTGGTGGAGACAAAGTTATTGGATGTACATATTTCATAAGTATGTCAATGAATTTCCTATCATATAACATGTTAAAAAGTAATCTTGTTGTGAACAAAAATACTGACCCATATCAGCGCAGAAATTGGGCTCATATCGACGGGTGTACTCGGAGAGTATCTCGGCAGTGGTGGCAGTAGTTCGCTCGGTCAGTAAGCTGGCCACGCGCCACACCGCGCGCCAGGTGGGCGTCAGCTGTACACGCCGATCGCACACCTCTATGACTTCAGCTGCCGCCAATTGCGCTACCTGGGGTTCGCTGCCTACGAGTCTACGGAATGCGTTAGCGAAATACTCCTGAAACAAAAATTACTTGAACCTTAATAAAATCATTTAGCACCTTAATTTTTTTAAGAAATAGATTAACTATTTTGTTACTATTATTGATCAAAGATCTTACACAAAAAAATTCCTTCGATTTGACAGGTCTCGGAACAAGTGTCTATTGTAATGCCCGCTCCTAACAGACTGAACTTTCCTAACAGACTTTACGAATTTTTTCATGTTTGTTGAGATCTTCATATTGGGTTTTTTCGCCGTCAACGCACGCACCAGTGAGAAAACTTTGAAGTTACTCTCTCAGCAAGGTACCTTTACAGTTACAAAAAGTTGACGAGAGATGTCGCTGTCTTAATAATATTAATAAAGTTATTACATTTTCAAGTTCTAGCAATAGGATTGGGGTAAAAAATTAACCACCAAAAACAATTCCTTTTTTTAATGCGGTGGGTGTTTTACCTGTGTGGAGCCCTTCGCGACGCTGCGGTCGGCGATCAGGGCCGCCGCGGCGGCCAGCGCCTGCGTGGCCCAGCGCGGTGCCTGCCCCGGCGCACGCACCACGCCCGCCTCGACGCAGCCGCCCGCCGACAGCACCAGCGCCTCCAGAGACGCGGCCCCCAGAGCCGCCGGCAGCGGCGCCGCGCCCCACATCGCCGCGTACGCAGCGCTCAGGTTCGAGAGCGGGATCGGTGCCAGGGCTTTCATTCGCTGTGCCATCACCTGCGAGACACGTCATCACTCGGTTACAATTTTTATCGTAAGAAAATCGAAACCAAGACCACTCGGCCAATCGGTTTTAGTCGCAATATTCAGGAAGACTAATTCTAAAATTTTGCGACTAAAAACGATTAACTCACGACTTTTTTTTTAATGGAATCAGATCTAAGCTAGATGCTGTGGGTCTCGAGATTGGGCGTAGACTGTAAAACGCCCTTATTACTTTTGAAAAGCCGGACCGACTAACCCTAGTTTTTTGCAACTTAAACCGACTAAATGGCGACTTTTTAACTGACTCTGGAACAAGAGACGTTCGGTTGCATTCGCGGTCAAGAGACGTATCCTATGTTCTAATAGAGATCACATACATTATATAACTAAGCATCAAGATCTGCTTAGTCAGAATATACTGCGACGTAACTAAATGACCTCGGTATTTAGACGGGAAGGTTCCTGGTTTCACGATATTTTCTTAATCGATTATGCTCTGGGTGTCCTGGATAGAGTCCCTATAGAGAACTCCCGTTACACTCGTACTAAAAGACTTACTTTTTACCAGTTCATTGTTCAGTGTGATTAGATTGGCAAAAAAGAAATGAGCTTACCGCTCTCGCAGCGAGGGGGGCAAGGCGTACACTGCGCTCGCCACTGGGGTCTACGCCCACCGACACGGCCTCTGGAATGAGCTCGAAAAGCTCGACGAGCTTCACGCAACCATAGTGCGCTACTCGCAGCTGACGGCCGAAGTGCGCGTGGTACGCGGGCACGAAGCGAGAGAACTCCATGCGTAGATTAGGGGTGTAACACAATAGTTCCACAGCCTACGAATATAAATGAAAATTAAGATCCATTATACATTAAAGCGTTAAGTTGAGACACACTATAATCGGTATTTTATCGGTATTGGAGGTAGAGGTTTCGGTGAAACCTCTGCCTCCACTACCAGGGCACGGGTCACCTTTAAGGGTCAACTTTAAGTTCGCCATGCTGTCCCAATGAGTGTTTGGGACTGCCTACTATATACAATTACTAAATATACAAATTAGCTGTCCTGGCACATATATTTTCTGCACCACTTTGAGTATAGTCCTGACATTCTATTTAGCGTCCGAAGAAAATCATTCACTTGGAAAACTACGTTTTATTTTCACCACATAACTACATTACTGGTTGCGTACAAACCCAATTTACTATATTTCTATAAATTGTATAGAGTGAATATTTTTAATAATAACTTTAACAAATATTGCGACACAGCACTAACACGGTGCACTTATCTTCACTTTTAACATTAATGAACTTAGAATTTTAACGGAAAAATTACATATCGTCGCCTGACTTTCTCAAACTCGTATCTTAAAAAACAAAGTAACTGAAATGCAAAAAATGCATTGTATATACATATTTGCAGGATGATTTCATATCAAATTTCCTTCATATTCACACACGGGCTTTTACCTAGTCTTAAAGTAATGCATCCAAATTAACATCCTTGATAAGAAATTTAAAATAAATATAAATTTTTGCCATCTCCTGAATAATCACTCTTTATAAGATACGTGTTTGAGAAAGTAAGGCGTCGATATACTCCGTCCAACCATTTAAGTTTTGACATATGCATGCCTCCGAAGTTCCGTAATTATTGACTGGCAACCATCCAACTACCAGACAAAAAAAATGCAATACTTCCTGGATTCTTATTTTTTAATTTTAGTGAAGCGACTTGCCCTTTAGTTCCGATATTTATCGAGCCAACAGATTATGTAATGGAGATTATTTAAGTTGATAAATTTTAGTACCTGTCTAATAAATTATAATGAAATGAAATAAATAATTATAATAAATTGTTATTGTTTATTACTGTAATTCGTCGTCTTCTTCTACATGAACGTGAATCGTCACTTGAATCCTCATTAACATTAATTATTCATTCTTGAGTACACAAACTGTCAAACGCAACATCACTATCCCAATCAGACAATATCTTCTTTTTTGAACCCGGTCATATTCACGATTAAAACTTCTTCATACATAAAATCTATTGTTATAAAAAATCGAATCGGAAATCCATTAAGACATCACTAATTGATTAGAATTCGAGCTGTCAAAAGTTAAATAAACGGTTGGAGGGAGTATAATTAATTTTTCGAAACTGACACTAGCCCAAGCCTAGTGGCCGCCATTAAGGAAATAGAATGTAAAATATAATTTTTTCCAATATTATACCTTAAACAAAGCTCAATACACCAGTAGTGTTGTGTGACCACTCACCTGCATAGCAAACTGCAGCAAACGAGCACGCTCTTCAGGCGTTGGTGTACGACGTGGCAATGAAACAGTGCCATCCAGAGCAAGCAAGACAGCATTTGGAGCAACGCGTTGCATTAACTCATGCAAAGTACACACGCCGTAATCCGCTGGCGAGAAGGGCTTGCCAAACGTTGCCTGATAGAGCTCTGCGATGTCTAGAGCAGCCACCGACCGGCCAGGCTGGCTTTTAAGCAATTTGACGAGGTCGGAGGTCCAACGGCGGCTTTGGGCTGATGCAGAAAGCGTGATCACGCGGGACGAGCCTGACCCTAACACCTGTAGAAAAACATTACGTTTCAAATATAGCAAATACACTTCTTCTTACTTTCTGAAGTGAAGTATCTAGGGCAGGCACATCTCAGCATGGCCGTGTTGGCAATCAACGCCACCTAGCGACGTAATGAAGGATTACTCAAGACATGTCACGAAATTATTGAGAACGAACGCCCGAGTGAAGGAAGTCTAAGAACACGTGTCGATCGTTTTGTCTCTATTCTTGTTGAAACTGTCAGCATCTTTTTAGTATTTGTGCTTAATTACAAATTAATTAAGCTTTGGAGTGTCCGGGGTGTGCACAAGAGCCTAGTCCTGTCGGTGGAGTAATCGTCAACCATGTCAGTTCAGCGCACAAATTTTAAATTTAATGATAAGACATGACATTAACTTTTTCCTCATCTGATTTAAATAACTTTGTCCCTTTCGTCATCTACTTCTCTTTTCGTTGATCTTCCCTTCTATGATGTTTCTAAGAAAACTGTTGTGACGTATCAGATGCTCAATCATCTTTTCCCTTTGGTTGTCTGTCTTTAATAAGCTTGTCTTTTCTTGCATTACTCTTAACACGTGCTTTACACATTTCACCAAATAAATTTCTCACTACTGAGCACATTTCTAAGGTAAGTTAAAGGCAATTTCATAGAGATATAAAAACCTAACTGTACATAATTTCGCATACAGCCGACTTGTCTAGACGCCAGCACGTGGCGCCGCGCGAAGGCAGACCTGCGCTAACGCATCACGCGTAGGTTTAATACTTTATTGTCTGTCAAATACATCAACTCGCGCGCTGACTCCGCCCACTGCCCAACACCGTTCTTGTTGCCATAGCAACGGCGTCTGCTTATCATCGAGTGTCAATACTGTTCACAATTTTTCGGAAAACTTTGAAACGTCGTAACTTATTTATTTGTTAAGTATTTGAAAAAAATAACCGGACACGTATTTTTTATTTCCATTATACAGTTGCTCCTATAAAATGGTCAGTGGTTTTTTCATCACCCTGTATTTTGGGTAAAATACTTCTAAAACTTACGATCACAGTATTCCCAAGAGCAGCCAGCAAATCAGGCAGCTTGGTGAAACCGTAGTCGGCGACGCGGCATTGTCGGCCGAAGTGGTGATGGAAGGCAGGTATCAGCCTATGGAGAGCAAATATTATGTATACATGAATTATAAAACTGTTAACTTAATTGCGTTAGTTATCTCGAAAAGGGGTGAATTCACATTTCATTAATACGAACAATTTTTACAAAGAGAATGCTTTGAAATCATGAAATAAAATAGATGTGCCATATATTTTGGTTGTAAAACAGTTAAAATTAGTTAACGTGTTCGTCTTACAGGAACTTACCCTAACGACGCGTAGCTGAAATGTCATTAAACAATTTCAATATTTTAAAACTGGGTTATGATTTTTTATGATAATTCAAAAAATATTTTGTCACTTAGCCACGTTTTAGATATAGTTAGCAGGAGGCATTATTATGGGAATGATATTGATAATGATACAATTTATATACAATAAGTGTTGGTAGACAAGTCCACCTGGTCCAGGTACTTAGTTACAGCATACTATGAAAGCATGTTACATAATGCTATGAAATAATTGCTATGAAAGAATTTTTAAGCAGCTGTAAGCTGTGTGTGAGGTCATTGTGAAAGAGTTCGTCCAGGGAAGTACTGCCACCTTATCTATTTCTGCCGTCAAGCAGTAATATTAGCATTACTACGTCTCGGTTTCGAAGGGTAAGGGTGCTGGTGAAGTTACAGGCAAATGGGACTTGTCAACTTATATCTCAGGGTGACGGGCGCAGTGGCAGTACTCCTCAGATTTTTGCGATTTAAAGCTCCGAGTTGCACTGCAACCAGGCACACGACTCGATCGTCCCGTCACTTGATATTATAAAAAAGTAAGTAAAACATATTATTAAAAATACGTCTATTTGTTGTAAGAGTTATTAAAATAAAATTAGATATGACTTAATAATTAATAAAGAAAAACAATAAATAAATTAGTAATATGTCTAGTTATGTCGCAGGGTGCCGGGGGCAGTGGCAGTGCCCCTCCGATCTTTGCAATTTAAAGCTCTGAGTGGCACAACAACTGCTGTGGACTGGCGTGTCGCTTAGTCACTTGGTATCATAAAAAAAGTATGTATACTCCAGTGTGCGATCGTATATACAAACAATACCAGGTAAAATTACTGACTTGCTAAAGGGGATGGTGCAACGCGTCGCACTACGCAGCAGGTCGACAAGTTCCCTCTCGAACAACGCTAGCATTGGTTCTAGAACAGGTGCTGTGCGAGGGCGGTCCCGGTCTGCGCTCGAATGAGAACTTTCACCTGGGGGAAAACATATAGCGTAAAATAAGTCATTTATGACGTCCTAGCATTGTTATGTATATCATACATACGCCAAAATAAAAGGCCATATGTTGTCGCTTAACAAACAATATCGTTAAGTCCAAAATGGTAACTTTTGAATGTTACTCAAGTTAATAAACATCATAATCACAAACACATTCAATAAATAAATATCATGCCAGTCTCCCACCGGGATAGGCAGAAACTACGAACCTCCGCCTGCTACGCTTCTTGAAAAACCTCCTTCGCCTCCTCCACTCCCATCAGTCACTTCATATATAGGGTATATAGTTTATCTTGGTACTTTCACCCCAGCCTTTTTTAAAACAACTTTTATACAATCATATATGAGGTTTTTCATTTTATTTTCATTACGCGAAATACTTAAGCGGTGTTTTTTGCTAAGCGACGAAATGTTTAATAAAAAATTTAACTTCTGACAAATGAGAAGTGATTAGAGTACATACTGAGGTGGTCCGGTGGAGAGACGGCGCGTGCGCCTTCGGGCTGCCACACAAGATGGCGCGAGGGCAGGTCGCGCACGGCCAGAGACGGTGCGCTGCGCAGCAGCAGCTCTAACGCCACGCCGCGTCGCGGCTCCGCCACCAGGGCCGGAAACCGCGCCTCGTAGCACTCCACGAAGCTGCACATGTACGTCACGAACGTCAACAAGACTTCAACTGCCGTGTAGAGTTTACATTAGAGTTGCAACGAATATTAGGTTACTATGCTCGAATTCAGAGTATTAAATTAGACAGAATACCGAATACTAAAAACAGGAGGAAGCAAGAAAAAATATACAGTAAATTATCATGTACCTAACTTTATGAACGCAGAACGCTTTCGCTCTCAAAGGTCAAAGAATAAATTGATAAATTCCAATTATAAACATGAAAATGTACCTTTTAGTTTCGTTATTCGGTATTTTCCGAATATTTTTATTTTGGCCGAATATTCGGCTATTGCTTAAAGCCGAATATGCTATTCGTTGCAACACTAGTTTATACTCCTAAACGGACTTGTATTTTCTAAAACTTTGTATTTGAACAGTAAACCAAAGTTTCTTTCTCACCTGAGCAGTGGCAGGATTCCGCCGTGACTCTCAAGCAGCACCTGGACGCGTTTGGCCAAGGTATCTATCTCCATATAAACAGGTTGCAAGATACGACTGCCATCCTCATGACAAGTACTTGGGCCGGCGTGCAAGTGGCATTTCCACGGAGCTTCCTCCAGTTCCGAGTCGGTTGCGGGCCGTAGGTCCACAAGCTGCACCATGCGTCCAAAGCCCTCGTGAGTTACTACAGTGTCCTTTACCTGGTAAAAAGCTTTTTATTAAATATCAAACATACAACAGAAATTACAAAAACGGCCACATCGCCAAATAGAAAGCAAATAATAATAAAAAGCTGATTAGGGTGTAAGGTCGGGTCATGTATCTTTGTTATAGAGCTCCTATTAATAATTTGGAAGAGGTGAAGTTTCTGTTATCTTTTGGATATCCCTCAACAGTAGTTCATAAGAGATGCCCTAAAATCGAGTTCCAACAGTTTAACGCATTTTAAAAGACCTATTATTTTTTGAGTATTATATGGTATATTATAATACTCAATAAAAAAAAGTCGTTTTATTTACCTTCGTTTTTGGGTCACGTTCACTTCAAATTTCATGACACGGTATACATATAGACAGAAAGTCCCGTTTGCCGACCTCCATGGTCGAGGGGCTTGAACATTAGTTTTCATGGTATAGCCATCTCAGAGGTCCCGGGTTCTATCCCCGGCTGGGTCAGTGTAGAAACTAAATTTTCTATATTGGCTCGGGTCTGGGTCTCAAGTGCTTTAGTTACTTTGAGATCAGAGCAACATATGTGATGTTGTCTAAATTATTTTAGCAGTAACGCTCCTTGTGAAGGAGTTCGTCCAGGGAAGTACTGCCAGCTTACCTATTTCTGCCGCCAAGCAGTAATGTTTGCATTACTGTGTTCCGGTTTTGAAAGGTAAGGATGCTGGTGAAATTAAAGGCACATGAGACTTGTCAACTAATGTCTCAGGGTGACGGGGGCAGTGGCAGTGCCCCTCAGATCTTTGTGATTTTAAGCTCTGAGTGGCACTGCAACTGTTTCTGCTTTGTCTAGGGAAACCCGAAATTATTATTAATTACTTAATGTTTTATTATCCATTTAACACTGAAACTCCCTGAACTTAACATACCTTAGCGAGGTCAGAAGTAGTGAGAGCGCAGCAGTGACGACTAGCATAGGCATCACGTAAGCGCAGTAACGGCAGGTTATGATTGGGCTGATCACGTAAGATGGCACGCAGACGAGCACGGAGTACGTCTAGATTGGGCGCAGGTGAAGGCCTTCCCAGAGACAACTCCAGACGGCGTCCGGACCATTGGCTATCCAATCGGCGTTTGTGTAAGCGAGCGATGGCAACACGTGCGTCCCATTCGGAGCGTACTACTACGCTGGCTAACGGTCCGTCGCTGCCTGTCCACACGCATATGCGAACCACGCCAACGTACTGGGTGAACAGACGAGTCAGCATTTCCTAGAAACAGACTAAACGCTAGAAGCACGCTGTGGAGAGGTTGAATTTCCATTGCTTAATCGGGCAAACTTAAAACAAACAGTCTGTAGTATTCGCTCCAGTCACGTCGTAAATGTTTAGAGTCGTTATGTTGGTGCCACAGGGGTGATTCACGTAATCAAACCGTTACGATATCATAGCGATGTCGTTGAACTGCTTTTTCGTATTCACGTGTGACAGTGAACGTCAACGAGCCCAATTTTAAAGTCGTTCGATCCATATGTCGTTAAAACGACTCTAAACGACAAGACATACGTATTCTGCTAAATTTTGACAGTTCTTTCAATAGACTTTCGACGACTTAATGTCAAATTTCACATTCCAAGGTGTCGTTCATTAGTCGTTACGTTTCGATTCTACTCATATCAACGTTCGTTCAAATGATACGTGAATACCCATTTTGGATAGGACATCGTAACTTCAACGATATTTTAATAGCTTGAACTTACGTGAATCGCACTACTAGTATTGACAAATTACACGATATTATTTTCAAAGTGAATGTAAAAATTCTGCCGTCCGCGAACTAAAAGAGGGCTAAGTGACAAATGGTCAAAGATCCATTTTAAATAGAAAAAGTCTATCTTTTTCTGAATGGATATGCTGTTGCACAAAATTCTCTATCTAATAAAATATTCATTAAACAATTTCAATATTCTATGCTACGCGGACGGCAGAATTAACGAAAATACCAATCTGTACTTCATTCTGTGTTTTGATCTACTTTCATTGTTAAGTAATAAATAAATAATAAAGCTATCATATACATGGTGACACACAAGGTGATTGTTTGCCAAATATATGAAATACAAAAGGCTATGTGAAGCTGTGTCCATAAAGGGTTCCTCCTGCCTTGCCTGCCTGAGATGAGAAAAAAAATGCAATCGATGTTCTATCGTTCTTTGTTCTTCAGTATTAATGGCTTTGCCTTCGCATTTAGCCAATGAAAGAGTTAGGAAAGCAGAATAACAGATCATGGAAGAGGTACAGAATTTGAATGAAAAAGGATATGGTAAGTCGGTAACTGATATAAATCGGCATATACATTAAAGCTTGATATTATTATTTTCGGTAAATGAGGCCAGCACATTGTAAACATCTTTGTTGCATAAACATAGTAAACTTGTTATCAAGGTGGGGAGTAGGACATTGATTGCCACGAGTTCGGATATGAAAGTATCCTGGTCAATTGAGGGGCAGGAGGAGAAGATATGATTTAGATCCCCATAGGCCCTTGTTCTCATGTGAATAAATTGACAACTATAAAAATCATATATGCTAGCGACACACACGGCAAGGAAAGGAACTTCAAAGAGACCAGCGCCGCCTATGCTGCTGTATTAGAACTAGGTAGTGGGTTAGAATACGTAGTAGGAAACGAGTGACAAAATCCAACTAGTTAAGCTACGCAACCGATAGATGGCGCCGTCTACCTATATTAATAATTAGCCTGTCCATTGTTGAACACTGACTAATTTAAGACCTATATAACATGTAACATTTTCAACATTATGAAGTTCAGTTCCTAACAAACTGGTGTAAGAAGTAAATAAATGACGCCAATATTTTTAATTCAGAAGCCATGACATTTTATTTGCAAAGTTTGTAAGTAGAATTTTACACTAAAAAGTTTATTTCATTTGAAAGTGGCAAGAACTTTAACGGGGAATTCATACTGATATTCTTGTCTTCCCTTCATAACGGACGGACAAAATTGATTCGAATATTACTAAGAAATCGATCTAAATCTTTCATCGTCAAGGTGAAAAGGATGGAAGTGCTCACCTGCAGCCTGCTGGGTTCATAAGGCGGTAGATTGGAGACGGTCAGTTCGGCAGCAACATCTTCTCCCTCGCTGTGTTCGCTGAAACTGCCCGAGCAGTTCCACGGAGACACTGCACGGCTACTATTCTCGCGCCGGTCATCGCCGCTGTTGCTCGACGAGCAACCCGAACGGTCCAGATTCACTGAACCTACGAGACATAAACAAATGTAAAAAGAGCGGTTAGTTTTATTTATTTATTGTTCATTAAAAATCTTTATTTGTAAAGAAATAATGCACCGTGAAACTAAACTAATAAACAGAGCCGGTATATGTACATTATACTAAAACGCTACATTCGTAGGATGGCAGTCAAAGTGAAATAGCACTACTTTGTCTGTGCATTGGACTTTGTTTGAACCGTCCCGTTGTAACTGAAATAGAGTTTAATATAAATTTTAAATGTTATATTAGCAATCCTTCAACGATCAATGAGAAATGGTATATTAGTAAGAAGAAATGGAAATTAAAATGATCAAACCAGTTTTATTGACTGTAACTGAACTACGAAGAAAAACCTCTATTTAAGGAGATGGCAGAATTTGATGGAAGTAATAGAAATTACAATGTCAATAAATTATGTCGGTTCGTTCCGTAGCTTAGTTGGTATAGCGTCTAGCACGGTAAGCTACAAGACGTCGGTTCCGATCCGGCCGGATCGAAGGATTTTTTCTGAGTGTTTGATCTTTGTATTAATAATTATAACAAACTAGTGGAGTAATTTCACAAATAATAATTGAATATCAATTCAATAAAAATTTAAAAAATGTCAATAATAGTTATAAATGATCAAATATAAAGGGAAAGAAATGGCAAGAAATGAAAATGTTAAAGACAAAATATTTCATAATAAATAAAATAAAAAATAAAAAGACATTTATTTCTACAAAATATACAAAACACTATACTTAAGAACTAATAGAAAAAAAAATTGAATGCTGTGGACAAAAAGGGTAAAGACTTTGCTGAATTTCCGTCTTCACCTGTAGCTAGCTGTTCGCTTGTTGCATCAAGTTAATATGCGGAGTGTACACCAAGCAATAACCTACCTTAAGTAATAACTAGTAATAAATCAAAATTTAATGGGTGTACGTGTACTTTTTTTTTTAACCTACAAATTAAATTTTTGTACTGCTAAGATAAGATAGAATAAGGGTAAACCATCACTAACCGTGGGTGCCTCGAATTTTACGCGGGCGCGGGGCTGGTGGCGGGCAGTGCGCGAGCGGCGGTGGCGTCGGTGCGGGCAGCTGCTGCAGTGCTAGCGCCCATTCGCTAGCCGCGCACTGCGCGCCCAACGCGTCGGTTACACTACCCTCGCGCGGCGACTCCGATTGCTGTACGATACGAAGCTCTTTCAATACACTTCAATTACCAGTGGCCGAACTGCCTAACTTGAAGATCAGGCTACCGTACAAAATGAAAAGTCAAATTCTATTAACTTCGTATGCCTTCACTGTGTCAATTTCGGCAGCTCAGGGATCGGGTTTTAAGATGTTTCGGCATTTGACAGTTCACTTAAATATGTACGTTATAGGATCGAACACAACCTGCAAGGTTTGCTTGACTTCACGAGAGGATTTATACGAAATTGTGTAAAATGTTGTACCGTTTTTGCTCAGGTCCGTGACACATACACGCACGCAAGGGTACGTGCATGTATGTGTCGTGTTAGTATGTTCGTAAATATAATTCATTTCTTTGCTTCATACACACACAGCCTATGGCCAAATGTCAATCAGGGCTATATGTACTCCAATGTTCTTAGTAACTGAACCATTTCAAATATTTGTTACTGTTATTTTTATAATTTGCTGTAGAATTATTATTATTTGAAGAAATTTCAATGACGCCTCAAAATTAAACAAATTTGTTAGCTACCAGTGCTGGTGATGTCGACTGCATGAATCCAGGTCTCTGCGGTGGGAGTGCGGCGGTCGCGGTGCCATAGCCCTCATCACTGGAATACGCGGGCTGCAGAATGCTGTGCACGTAACGCGTGCTGATCTTCCGCCCGAACACATCCTCGCCGTCCATACGCTTCAGTGCTCTATCCCCAATAAAAATAAACAAAAATAAATTTTAGTAGCAGTAAAGCTTCTTGTGAAAGAGTTCGTCCATAGTTCGTCCGTCTTCTGCCACCTTACCTACTACTGCCGCCAAGCAGTAATGTCAGCATTACTGTGTTCCGGTTTTGAAGGGTAAGGGTGCTGGTGAAATTACAAGGAAATAGGACTTGTCAACTTATGTCTCAGAGCGACGGGCGCAGTGGCAGTGCCCCTGAGATCTTTGCGATTTATACCTCAGCCACGTCAGTGTCGCTTACCATCTATTTAAAGTTCTTAATGGCACTGCAATTGTTATGGACAGGCGTGTAGCTTACCATCAGGCGCACGACTCGTTCATTCCGTCACTTGATATTATAAAAGAAACCATACATATAAAATGTGGGTACTACATCATACACTAATTACATAATGCCTATTAGTAATATGCCAGGCGTAGACCACCACCTATACCAAATTAACATTTAGCTTTTGAGATATTCATTGATTTCAAGCTTAATACTAAAATTAACTCCTTATAAAAAAATCTGATCACTTGGCCATTGATAATTTCCTCACATGCAAATGTACATATCTGCTATGTAAACGAATATACATTTACAACATACAAATATAATAATCATTTAGGTACAAGATATGACTGACTGCTGATATGATTGACTGACTGACAGACTGCTTGTATGATATTTGAATGGCGTTGCAAAAACGAGTGGTTGTTTTTTACTTGTACATACTATGTACCTACCTATAAAAGAGATATTAAAGGGCAAGGAATTACAAACAAGTCTATAATAAATACTACTATTCAATCTATAAGAAATATACATGAAATTTCAAAAGTTGTAAGTCAATGGTCTTTCTTCGTCTAAACTAGAGTAATAACTAATAACAAAAACGTTTTTTCGCAAGCACTTTACTGAATACTTTGTAATCAAGTGCAATAAGGTAGTAGATAATCCAGTTCAAATAGGTACAGTTATTCAATTTGTAACGGTCGCAATTCAAATTTTAAAGTAACCGACACTAATTCGCGCACTCTACCGTGCCGATGCTTCCTCAACATAAACAAAAAATAAGCACAAATAAACCAAACAATAAAGAAAATCAGAGATTAAACTAAAAACTTAACTAAAAATTAAATACGTTACACTAAAATTTGAATGATAACCGTTTTTTGAAACAATTAAAACCGGATTTTTCCGCCAATGCCATTAAAATACTGATTATAATGCCTCTACATTTTATCGCATTATAATACCAATTCAATTACGTCTACAAAATTGTACTTCAAATCACATAGCTCGATAAAATGGAAATCTACATCCACGGAAATACGCCGTTTCACTGAGTAATTATTTTTTATTTTGCCAGAAAATGTATTATTACTAGAATGGGATTATGATATTGTTGGCTAATTTACAATACAGTACGAAATATTTCAACAAAGGTGAGAAAGAACAATCTTACCCGGATATTAGCATTGTTTGCTAATCGCAATCGTAGCTATGATTACCATTAATTGTCGAAATAAAATGAAATACAATCACGATAAATCACTTTTCATGACCTTTTTCCGGAAATTGGTAAAATAGCATGTGTTCCGTGCTTGTCTGGTGGTGCAATGGCAGATTGCAAGGCCAACAGGGAACTTCATAGAAATCTAAATAAAAATGACGGTATTGGAAAATATCCCACGATTTAATGGACAGATTTTTTTTTAAATATACCTCCAACTTCATTTCTTTTTAAACAGGGTGTTAACGTGATTCTGTTAAAACTTATAGGAATCCATTAATACGTGAAACGCGATGAAATTTTACATGATCTACCTACTTGACTAAAATACTTGGGAATGCTTTTTATCACCATTTCTGTGGATTTCTCGTTATAAAAGGTGTTCTTTTTAATTGATGGAATTACCTCCTTCGAATCTTAAGGCAATTAAATTATCAACCTATGTGTTTTCGTATGTAATAAAATAATAACTTGCAATAATTAAGAAGTATGTCATAAGTAAGAATATTTATATAAACAGTGATGACTATTGATCACAAATATCAAGTAACCTGATTAATTTGATTATGTAATCTTTTAAGAACATCGTTAAATTCAACATCTTTTGCAAACAAACATGCAATAAATATTTTCAGTAGATCGTGTTCGTGTTCAAAAGATCGTGTTCACTCCAGTGATTGACCCTTGAATAGCAATACAACAGCTCTGGGTATGTATCACTTCAGTCTATGGTCCAATTATCGGTTAAAACCAGTTGTTTCAATCTTGGCGCAACCAACTCGTTAATAGTTGCCTGCTTGTCGATTTTCTCTTTACAATATTCAACTTTATAATATTTTTTTAATATTGAACTTTACAATATTACACTGTTAATCCTTCGTCTACTAGACAGTCCGGAATACTCTATACTTATGTTATTGACTTACTATCGATCCGAACGAAGCGTTTTGCTTCAATCCTTCTTAAAGTAAGTAAAAGAATGGAAAACACTATTGGCTAGTCTGTGTTTCCTGAAAGCTACCATTTCGGAATCAAGTCTAAAGTAAAAAGGCATTTACCAGACAATCGCGTAACATTGTCCTGCCACACCGTTACTTAACATCTTCAAGAGTTCGTTTTTTTACATAATGTACATGTTAGGAGAAGATAAACGATTTATTTATTTAAAACAAACTAAAATAAGGGCTCGTGCAGCGTGCCGGCGATATTTCGCGACTGCGGTCACCGACTCGCTGCGACTTGTTTTAACATGTAGAACTAAATAGCTTGCTCGCGACCGGCGACCGTTGGTCGTGAGACTCGCGACGCGAAATGATCAATTAATTTTCCTATTTTTTATTTTAGTAGATTAGATTAGATTAGATTAGATTAGTAGATTATTACATAAGTAATTAAAGTTATAATAATGGACCCAGATAAGTTAACTGATGCAGTTCGTAATCGCCGCAGAATATTAATTGGACGAATATTAAATCTCCTTCTTATGTCACGTACCCGTAAAACGAAATTTTCCAACAATAAAGTTCTGATACTATATCCATTTTCCCTGTAGGTATGGTAATTAATCGAAAACTGAGCTGTCTGTCGATCGCCGGTAGTGTTACGTCGCGTCGCTAGTCGCCCGCATGCTGCACTGTATTCCGTCGTTAGAAGTCGTTACGAGTCGATGCGACTGCAGTCGCGACCTATCGCCGGCACGCTGCACGAGCCTTTATTTGTGCTAGTATGCAATGAGAATTAGCCAGCAGTTTGTGTAAGTTTGTATGCTACACAATTATTATATTCTGTAAAATTTCGTTACAAAAATACATTTCCATTCCATGAAACAAATGTAAATTGAACCTTACGGAATCTAAAAGTGATTCATAAAAACACAGAACAATTTCCTTATTGTGATAAGGCCAAATGATATTACAAATCAATGTTTGTTGTATTTTGAACGCATTATGTACGTGTGTATTACTTACTAATAGTATATAATTTGTAGCATAGTATAAGATTTGGATGGCATCATACATTCTATGGCAAAACACTTTTGAGTGGTATGATCTAGATAGAATCGGAAACGAAGCACATAAAATCCAAAAACCACTCAAGTTAGGCCCATTGAATTGAAGTGAAGAGCATTAGAAACTTACCGTGAAGCATGGTCAGGAGTGGGGAATCTCAGCATGGCAGTATTGGCGGTTACTTTTAAGACCTTCCCGCCGCAGTTGTCTGCCAGACGCCGCAACCGCCGAGACACCCGCTCCGCTGGTTGGTCCATCGGTAAATTCGCTACTTCCATTTCGCATGTTGGCACTTCTTCTTCTTCCGTTTGGCTTAAAGTCTACAATAAGCCATCAAAAATCACTACAGTTAATTAACAAACCTTAAATCCAAAGCCTTCAGAGTAACAATAATGGCAATTTGGCACTTGCTCGCAATGTTGATCTATTCTTTGACACCACAAACAATGACAATACAGTGCCATCATTTTAAAATTAAAAACTAAATTGACAGTCTTAATATCCCTCTAAGAAAACAAATCTTAAAGGTATATAATATACCACTAAAGTTAAGGTTTCCTTTAGAGATATTACAACACGCACAAGAATAAAACGGGATATTAATATAATATGCAGCTGTGAACACGCAAATAAACTTCATTTCGATATTTATTCAGCACATAAGTAATTGTTCCGTAAACTTTCTCAAAATGTAGCACTTAGTGACATCATCACAACTATTCAAAACCAAAATATGTGACGAAAAATTTGAGGGAAAAACAAAGCCATTTATTATTTGTCAAGGTGTAAGATATTTTCCAAGATTTTTCTTATTACTTTTTTCATTACTCTTTAAGTACTTTACCTTTGGATTCCTTGGCAAGTGTGCGAGTAGTTCATTAAAGCAATAATGAGAGGAGGCACACGCGATTAAGGCAGATGACGTGTTTTGTTTATGCACCAATATCACTTCCACGTTTTTCCTGTCAAACAAATGCCTTTCGTATAATTTGGATACCTACCAACACATGGAAATTAAACTGACAAAGACAAAATGCCAATGAAAGACGAAAAGGGGATGCTTTGCATAAAAATTACAAAAAAAAACAAACATTCCTATCGCAATGTATGTCAAAGCAATAGGGTACCAAACTACTGCAATCAATTAATACTATTATTTAATTAATAACAAAAAAATAATACTAACCTATGTCTAAAATCACTCAGATCGGCAGCAAAGTTAATATCACCCGAAATTAAAAGTAAAGCTGCTGGGGCGGAATGTAGTTCACCAAATCTCCTCATGCATTGCCTTAGTTTTTCATCTGCTGCATTCTTTTGGGTCCCACATACATGGATGAGGTTTACCTGTTTTAAAGTGAAAAATGTGAATATAAGAGATTCTTATGACACTGCAAAAAACAATATGTGAGGGTTGGTGTTGAGTGAACAGTATTGATATGGCGTCACCGTGACGTCAATACTGCTCGCCAGTCCAATATGGACTTAAAAGATAGTATACATAGTTTTCGCAATCTTATCTGTACAAAATGATCATTGTTATTGTTGTGTATACTGCTGCTGTTGTTGCTTAAAATCTTTTAATAAACTCTCAATTGCGCCCATTAGGAATAAAAACAACATGTTACTTATTCATAATATAATAATTACAAACAGCATTTGTAAAAATTTACTTAAATAACTTATTTCATATACTGTAAAAGTAACAAGTTTATTAAGTTAAAACCGGCACATTTTTATAAGTATACAAGATAGTATTTGAAACATTGCATGATACTTGAATTGTTCTGTATGTACTACATAACAAAACATAATTAATATAAAGATCCAAGTTAAACAAATCCATGATAAGTAGGTATAAAACATGATAGGAAAAATGTTATGATTGTGAAATATATGCAATGACAAAGTAATATAAATTTTAAACCATAATAATGCTCATGAATAGACATTAATCGGGATAACAGTTGCTTTATCAAAGTAATTCCAAACAACTATATTGCAATAGAAAATTTTAAAAGTAACAGATGAAAAGTTTGTCAGACAATGGAGAATATACAAATGAAAACCCCATATTTACTACAAGTCTTAAACACAATAAGATTAAAAGTTTGTCAGACGATGGCGAATATACAAATGAAAACCCCAGATTTAGTACAAGTCTTAAGTTGTTGGAAAGTCAGTCTAAAGTTCAGAGAAAAGTTAAATTCTATACATTTCGGAAACCATTTTAAACTGCAGAACTTCACACACAATAAATTAGCCTGACTAGACAATATTAACATTTTCTTATTACAACTTATGATATATATGTGGGTGCGATATTAGAAAAAGGCTTTGCAATTACCTGAGCATCATTTAATTCCTGAAGTCGAGTAGGGGCTTCTTTCCTAACATCACATACTACAACAAATTCAGCTTCTCGTCTGCCCTGCAAGAACTTGGCTCGGATTGCTGCTACCACATCTATTGCAGAACAACCTCGTGGTACCTTAAATGTAAATAGCATCAATTGTATAAAATACAGCTATATTTCATAATAATAATAATAAATAACTGTACTTTAATTACGGAGTTGAAAATAGTTTCACAATTAGCTTATTTATACATTTGGTACAAACAAACAGGATGTTATTCATAACAATGATTATATTTTACATATAATTTTCCAAATAAAGAAAATTTATTACATAATGTGTTTGTGTCGACTTCTTAGGTTTTCACAATTTCTACATCACATATATTTGTTTTATCGAACAAACAAACATAGTGGGCTTTTTGCAGACCCTATGGTTTTGACTGACAGTCAGCCGATAAAAAATTTCATTTTCAACATTTTGTGATTCAACGCAACATGAAAAGATTAATTACATGTTTGATTTACTAGTCATCACCATAGGTGGGCAAAAGGTGTTCCACATAATATATATAATTCTAATGATACCATGATAACTGACAGCATATTACTGTTACTGTTCCGTCAATGTGACTGTACTGTACTGTCGCTCTTTGTAGCTATATCTATACATGTATCGATATATGTGAAACACATTTTTCCAACCATTGGTCACATATTTCCCTATTATCAACATACAAAATTGTTTTTGAGGCTGGGAAGGTTACAAAGTTTGCTTATACATACACACAAATGAAGTAGTAAATACATATTAGTTCAAATTACATAGCAATAACTAACAATAGCAAGGGTAATAAAATTATTTAAAGTAATAAGCTAGGTACTAATGTGAAAAGTAAGTAAATTTACACTGTGGAAATGAGTAACAGTTGCTACCTCTAGGACATTAGGTAATTATAGCTCATAAGTATGTTTTTGCCACCTTCCATTTCATCCTAGAGTGCACATACTATAAATATTATAATGTGAACACAGTGTGAATAAGCAGTGATAATGAAACATTGAGAATGAAACTTTAAAATATTTACATAGTGCTCAATTTGCAGCACTGAAAAGCATTGTATTAGTATACATTTACTTCATTGTGTATTTGTAAACAACATTGGTAGGCATTGAAACTTACCTGACAGTTCTCAATATCCCAAAAAATGCCAAGAGGCACAAGAATATTTGACCGTTGTTTATAATGACGAAATCTGGATCTGACACGAGCCCTCTCTATTAGAACTCCACTTTCACTAGCATCTGTCCCGTCAGAAGACTCGTCTTCCACATCTGAAAATGGAACACCTTTATCAAGCAAATGCCACGAAATATGATTGCTATATGTGGGATCAGTGACCCATAAATCACCACGTATATTCGAAGTACCACGCTAAACAATGTTCTTTTTTCATCGTACATCAATTTACACGTTTACATAAGCACCACTGTTACAAACAATTATTACCTGTGATCCACAAACGAGGAGGAAGAGGTATTTTCATGGCAGGACTACTCATAAGATTACTCAGACCTTGAGCTGAATGGCTCCTAGCTCCCCTGTTACCACTGAGCCCAACATCTTCCATCACATATGCTGATCTCATATTAGATAACATAACAAGTCACTGGTAGGTATAACTCCGATTTTCAAGCATATGTTCAAAAAAACAAAGAGAAAACTAGGCTACCACTGCTGTACCACGACGCAAATCCCAAGCACACAAAACTACAAAAAGACCCTTACGTCACTATATAAAATTCTTAAATCCGTTAGATTTGCGTCTTAAAAGTAAACTTATTATTTACAAAATGTAAAAATATCAACGAACGTAGCTACGCCATTTCAATCTTCCACAATGACCAAAAACAATCCAGATTAGTTAGAACTAATTAGACGTCTATGGATTAGCTCAATGTCATCAAAAAATCGAACTTGTCGTTGATTGGTTAGAGAATGTCAAACTCGACGCTTATTGGCTACTTTTAATGTTGCTATTAACATTTTTGTGTTACCTACCATTTATATGAATGTTTTTAAGAACAATAATCTTAGACTATAATGTATCCGAACAAAAAAAAAAATTGAATTTCGATCGACGCTCAGTTGTCAAATACAGTGAGTTTGCAGGTTGTCGTTGTTCAATATATTTAGCCGTATTTGCAAAGAATTTGTGTAAATTCGAAAACTGAATATCTGCAAGGAGTTGCATTTTATAATTTAAGCATCAAGCACACCGTGAGTACCTTTTTAAGTCAGGCCCTTAACCAAATATCTAAACCTTTTCAATGGTCAACTTTTGTCTGTCATCGTCGTCTTTTTTTCCAGTATTATCCCAACAAAATGACTACAAACGGAGATAATGGAAGTCTGGATGCCAGTGGCAAGATTGTAAAAATGGAGGTAAATGAGATACACTAATTCCAAAGAAGACATTTAGGTTATGATCCAAATTGAACTACGTAACAAAACTCGTAAATAAGTATAAAAAAACCTCAAATAGGTACGATGGATATTAGACTACAGTAATTTTCGTTCTTAAAAGTTGATGACACTACATTTTGCGTACTCATGCTTCTTTGTTATCTTTAGGTGGACTACAGTAGCACTTGCGATGAGAAGATCCCGCAGGCAAAGGCCATGGCTGCGAAAGGTTCTATCACACAGGCCATTGATCAATTACTAGCTCTTGAGAAGCAGACCAGAACAGTAAGTACAATCTTTATTTATGCACTGTGTCTGATTAGTATTCATTCTAAATTGTAGACAAGGCAAATCTAGAAAACTCGGAGCCACTTCGAATATCGCTTGTGGACTAAATTCGATTGAATCTGAGGAAATACAAATATCACCTGTACACCTAGAGATAAAAATTATCCCTGTGACATTTTGGACTGTCATTTTTTGGATTCAGAACCAATATGAATTGGACGTAGTGCAAGAAACACTCTAATGCCGAAAACTGTGAACTGTGTTTTGAACCATCTGTTTAGGATGAATTTAGGAAATTAACCTAGAAAGGCTAAATTCCATGATCAAGAAATGGTGCTGATCTAGATGTTCTACATAGTGTCCTGGAGTTTCCTAGCTTGAGACCCATGAGTTAGTGTGGTTTGTCCAGAGTTGGAAGAAATCTTGACTTTTTGAAAAAATGGAATAAAGCACGATTTAAAAAAAAATCCTAATTAATCACGATTTTTTGTTTTTTTCATTTTATTAAGCAGTTCAAATATATTTTTGCATAAAACGTAGTAATGTAAAAGGTTAATTGACCGCGGCAAGCTAGTTTTTTTGTTTAAATATTATTTTATTTTATAATAATTAGAGATGCACTGAGTACTCGTTTTGTAATCCGTACTCAGTGTCTCAGTGTACTCGGCCATTTTTTTACTACTCGTACTCGGCCGAATAATTTGGTTCATGAAAAGAGTACTCAATCAAAATAAAGCATTACAGCTATAGACATTACTATTATTATTATTATTATTATGAGCCTATACTGTCCCACTGCTGAGCAAAGGTATTAGACAATAAAGTGAAACCAATAATTTATTTAAAATAATCTTTAAAAAGAAAGTTTACATTATTAATATTTAAAATTTAACAGAGCCAAGTTATGATGTAGGAATACAAGACTTTCTGCGCGTTCAGGTAGTGGTCTGTTCCTTTTTCTTTTTTCATACACATTACCCGCCTCGGAAAATAACCTCTCACTATACACAGTGCTTGCAGGTGCACATAAAAACACTCATGCTAACTGTACCAGTTTTGGATATCTTGTTTTATGCCCTGCCCACCATTAGAAAGGACTCTGGTCTCGCGACAATAACCTTTCATTGACATATTGACATATTCTAGAGCAATGGGACTTTTAGGATCATCGCGTTCCGGTTGTAGTGAACTGACTAATTCGGCTGAGTACTCGGCTCGGCAAATGTTAAACCAAGTATAATCGGTACTCGGTTACTCGGTAAAACTTGTACTCGGCGCATCTCTAATAATAATTATTTCTCAGATGTAAAGGACCCCCTAGTCTTTAAAATATAATTGTCTGATTTTATGTTGATTTCTGTGAAAGAAAATAAAATTAAACATATATCTAGCATACCGTGCCAGACGCTATAGCAACTAAGCCATGGAACGAACCAACGGACCTCACGATTTTTTCAGTGTGCTTGCGTCGTATCTTTGTATTTGGCTTTTCGACGACTTTTAGCCGTAGCGCCATTTATGAGAAATCTATGATATTTCTATTTTCTTACTCTTTATCATTTTTTGTAAACCAGCTGAACTACAAGCAGACCTGTTTGTTACTACAGTAAGATGTAGTGTATAGGTACTTCCTACTGCTCAGTTAGGCACAGTACTTTACAACCTTCTGATACTTTTAGGGTGCTGACATGGCGTCCACTGCAAGAATTCTTGTAGCAATTGTACAAATCTGCTTTGAAGCCAAAAACTGGTCTGTTCTCAATGATCAGATTGTTCTTCTCTCCAAAAGGCGGTATGTATAAAAACATTTTATATTTGTTACATCATTATTGTTATTAGAAATTTATTATTAAGGGATTTAAAATATAAGTTGAACAACATAACATTATAACGCGAGAAATCTCACATCTTGCCGCTCCATGTATGGTGGTTTCCACCTGGGAAGGAGGAAGGAACCCGTCCTTTGACTCGCGTCGTGACGCGCCACCAAAGCCCATGTTGAGAAAATATATGGAGCGTGTTCCTGTTTTACCAGAACGTTTTCACTCATAAACTAGTATAGATTCTGTACTAAATGCTTATTGTGAGTGCCAAAAGTGTAATAAATACCTACGTACTGGTAATGAAGTATCGCTTTTTTTCATACAAAGCTACAGAAACAAAAAACTATGGTGAACACAAACACTGAGCACAATATTTATTTTCTAAAATATTTCTTTATAGGTAAGTAGTACTAACTGCCACTAGAATCTGTTAGATTCCTCTCTGTTATGTCTCTGTATCTGTTAGATCATCCTCAATTGGCCAAGGAATATGAAAAAATGTCCTGTATTTTGTCAACATTACTTTACAATGTTTAATGTCAAGTTAACGATATACCTATGTATTATCTAATAAGTAATTTTCAGATCTCAACTGAAACAAGCTGTAGTGAAAATGGTCCAAGAATGCTGCACTTATGTAGATAAGACACCAGATAAGGAGACAAAAATAAAGCTTATTGAGACTCTAAGATCAATTACAGAAGGTAAAATCTATGTAGAAGTAGAGAGGGCTAGACTTACACACATTCTGGCAAAAATTCGTGAAGAAGAAGGCAATGTCGCTGAAGCCGCTAAAATCATCCAAGAGCTGCAAGTTGAAACATACGGTTCCATGGACAAAAGAGAAAAAGTAGAACTTATTTTGGAGCAAATGAGATTGTGTTTGGCCATCAAAGATTATATTCGTACACAAATCATTTCTAAGAAAATTAACACAAAATTCTTTGAAGAAGATAATACTTTGGTGAGTGTCTTTGTAATGTAACCACTTAGACAAAGAAAACGAATGTCTTTATAATTGAAATAGTGCTACAATAGGCTATAACATAAAGCAGTGCCTGTTTATGTGGCGCAACTTCAACCTTCTTTTAAAACGTGCTTATATAGTGATCAGTACAAATATGAAATAAATAACAAAAAATCATACTTTCATTGTTTTCTGTTGCGACTACTGAACTTAGCATATCCTCGGTACTAGAAATTATGTGTGTACATTGTTACTTCAACACCCATAATAAGAAATTTCTCTGCTTATGCTCAATTTACACTGCGACGGTAAAGGAATGGAAGCGAAAAATCTTCCGCGGAATGTGCGAGCATTCTCGAGCATGCGCGAGAAAGATTTTGGTTCGTATATAGTTTGTATGTTACACCATTGACCATAAAGTTCATGCTATGTACAATATCGTTACAAAAATTCGCATTCATTCCGTTCCGCCGCAATATAAATTGGGCCTTAGATTTAAGTCTTTTAGAACAGTGTGTGCTGTAAAATAAAATCCAATTTAAGACACCCGTCTGTTTTTATTACAGGAACTGAAAGAAAAATTCTATCGCCTTATGATTGCTGTGGATCAACACAATGGGCAATACTTGTCCGTCTGCCGGCACTTCCGCGCGCTCGGCCCAGTGGCTGGGTCGGATGCCTTAATTGGCAGCGTCGTGTTTCTTATCTTAGCACCGTATGACAATGAACAAGCCGATTTAACGCATAGGCTCAATGAGGACAAAGATTTGGACAAATTACCTGATTATAAGTAAGTATTTAGGATTCCTATATTAAGGCTGCTTTTTAAAAAATACAGGAAACTTGGAAAAACCTAAATATTCCTTGTATGTAACCAATCTGTTATACACCAAAGGCTGCTAACAGATTGACTGCATGTTTGTATTTTATGCATGAAATCGTAATCAACTTCATGCAACCGAGATCTCGACTGCATGAAGCAGACAACGGCTTCACGCATTCATCGTATGCAGTCGAAACCGACTTCATGCAACCGAGATCGACTGTATGCAGATTTACGAGTTCACGCATTAACTGCAAATATCCAGTCAGTACAGACTGACAATTAGGCTGCTAAGAGTAGCAGCCTAATCGAGCATTTCATTACTAAGATGAAAACAATTAGCAATTTCTTGAACTTAATAGTGACTTTTGGACTGTGAGAAACTGCAATTTTTAATTTCATTTTCTAATGTAGCACATTGACATTGATTCGGATAAAGGCAAACTAAACTTAATTTAAGTTCATTAGTTGTGCCTTAGGGCGCGTTCCCATTATGTCATAACGTTTTATTTATTGTTGGACGACTGTCGCGTCTAGCCTGTTCCCATATCACGACTACCTGTCGTGACTGTGTCGTGGACGTTTATCGTTGAACGACTGTCGTGTCTAGCTACCACTAGACCGTGACGACAATTTATCGGTTCACAGCAGCCGCCTTGTCGTTTGTATTACAGAATCGTTTGAAGTTGCGATTATCTGTCGTCACATTTTTATCGTGACGTTTTATTTATCGACCGACGACTGTCGTTCTAGCTCTTACCATTGTCACGACAGTCTGTCGTCGTAACGTCAAAAAAGTCGTGAACGACCGTTAATCGTGTTGTAGTATATGTGAACAACTTCATTTAAATATACAAGCCACGACATTTCTATCTGTTGTCACGCCGTAATGGAACGCGCCCTTATTCATTTATCAAAAAAAAAAGGGGCAGAAAAAGTAATTTTCATTTAGATCTGACTTTAAGTTCACTCATACATTTTAATTATTATATATAGCATAACAAATAAATTTTTACCAATAACAAAAGAGATAGACACGACTTAAACTTAGTTTAAGATTATGGGTGTTATCCTATGTTATCTTTATAACGATATAAATAAATTGACGTATCTTACACCAAGTGTAGTCCTAATATAAGCCATTATTGTCAACAGACAGCTATTAGGCCTGTTCATAAACCCGGAGATCATCAGATGGAACACGCTATGCTCAATGTATGAGAAGATGCTCCGAGCCACACCTTACTTCGATCAGGCTGACGAGAAGGGCCAGGAGCGTTGGAATGACCTTAAGAACAGAGTTGTGGAACATGTACGTAACTATTATACCTAATGTTGATTCATGGAAAAGAATCCATAAAAAAAATATTTATAAAAAATTTTGAAATAATTTTCAAATTTCAATATTATATTTTTATTTGTTTTGTCTGAAAAATGTGATAAAATTTCACCATTGGAATTTTTTAGACATTTACGTAACATTATTTTATACTTCAGTACTCATAAAGGTATCAAAATAAGCCTTGGTGCGCATCCACACAAAAGCTTATTTTTCTGCCGACTCTCTTCATCGTTTATACGATTAAGGACTGTCATTTACTCCCATACACTTACGAATATTCCATGGCTATAATTTTATGTTCTATTACCCAAGTGAACAGGATAAAAGATGTGCGTAATGTTTCATTCCTTTTACGTAAATGATATAACAAAATAAAGCGCATTTTTTGTTTAAACAAGCCTCTGATCCTTCCTGCTTTTGGATGCACCAAGTGGGCCTTTTCATTTAAACACTTTTTATTAATTTTTTATAATATCAAGTGACGGGACGAGCAAGTCGGGCGTCTGATGGCAAGCTACACGCCTGTCCATAACAGTTACAGTGCCACCTAAAGCTTTAAATCGCAAAGATCTGAGGAGCACTGCCACTGCGCCCGTCACCCTGACTCATAAGTTGCCAATTCCCATGTGCCTGTAATTTCACCAGCACCCTTACCCTTCAAAACCGGAAAACAGTAATGCTGACATTACTGTTTGGCGGCAGAAATAAGTAAGGTGGCAGTACTTCTCTGGACGAACATTTGGTCTAACGTAACAGATACTACGTATCTACTATACCTGCAATCCGATTTCTTGTTGCAACGAAAAAAGTAATTAGCAATAGGCTCATTCTAATAATCGTTATAATTTCAACAGAATATCCGCATAATGTCGATGTACTACACGCGTATCACATTGAAGCGAATGAGCGAGCTTTTAGGCCTCAGCGATGTCGAGACCGAGGAAGCACTAAGTCAACTGGTTGTAAGCAATGTTGTACGTGCCAAGATCGACCGCCCTGCAGGAGTTGTGCACTTCAGGTAACTTGTCTTTACTGCACTTTATATGACATCTAAGGCCTAACCGCCTAAATTGTAGGTCAACCTGACATTCAGCTTGAAATTTGAAATGCCACCTTTACAGCTAGTAGTAGTAGTTGACAAGAGACGTTGCTTTATAAATTATGTTGATTGTAAATTATGATGTTTTATTTTGTGTTTGATCTTTGTAAAAAATGGAAAAATAATATCACAAAAAAAATTAATACCATGGTAGTGAAACATCATAATATTCATTACAATCAATATTACAACATTGATGAAGTTCAAAAATTGAAGACTAGAAAAATGGATTTCAAATGGTCAGATTGACTTTCGAGTTGCACGTATAGGTTGAATACCTGTTGAAGGTGGCTGCGAATCCTACGTTATGGCAGGTTTATATATATCAACGCTATCAACGTAAGCTGAACGAGACTTATACACATTGTAGATATCTATGTATAACGTTGACTCGTTTGTTGGGCACATTCTTTAAAAACAGGAAATTTTTTCAATATGTAATAGTAATGCTGTTTTACATTAATTGGGGAATACCACGAAAAGTTTTGAGCAATAAAAATATTTTATGATTATTATAAAGAAACTATTTTTACCGGAATTAATTTACGTTATTTGATTTTTAATACGGGACTTAATCACATAAAACAAGTTACCGACAAGTAACCGACAAATCAGATAATATTGATTAGGCACCTTGTATGGGAATTGATTCGTAGGGCGTAACTCAAGTCAACTCGTATTAAGTCTATATTTTCGTTCCAGCCTAAACATGGACTCCTCAGACCGTCTGAACGAGTGGTCTAATAACCTAAACACTCTGATGCAACTTGTGAACAAGACCACCCATCTCATCAACAAGGAAGAGTGTGTCCACAAGCATCTACTCGCTACAACGGAATAACCTACGGAACCACGTCCATCAATGTATCAAATATATTTTTAAATCTTCAAATGTGTTAATGCATTTACGAAACGTAACTTTGGTACGTTTAAAAAGCGAAAAAGGTATGCGAAAGAAAGAGAAAGTAATATAAAGTCTTATTCAACTTCAACTTCAACTTTTGTATCTATGGCTTTCACAAATCAAGTGTGAGAAAGAAAAGGCAATACTTATTAATTAAACCATATACAATAGTCATTTTCCTAAAATAAGTCTGAAGATCCCCACACCTATGACTAACCATTATTTTAATTTAATTATGGAAAAAGTAATTTAATATTCGTTCTCATGCTCACGTGTATTGATCGAAGCAGTATTTTATCATCCTGTTCGCTTTTTTCACTACTTAATTAGTTAGAATTTGGAGTCGACAAGAGCCTTATCCCACCCTGTTGCATAGCTGAATCTCGCTGTGAGCTGGCTCTATATTGTTACATTATTATTAACATCTGTAGTATATATTTGACAATAATTTAAGTACAGATCTTGCATCTCCAGTTGCTAGAAATTGCACATAAATAGAATTGAGATTCTTAGAAAAATTGTTACTCTTGAAACTTAATATTTAGTGTATCTTAATACGAATTACATTGATGGACAATGAAAAGCATATAAATGTTAGGAAATAATTAAATTAACCATATTATAATTCCTTTTAAGTTTTTAATATAAAATCTGGTCTAAAATGTTTGTTTCATTTCTTCAATGTCATTAAATTTCTAAATTGAGCCACATCTGAATATATCTCTAATTTTTTATTTCTTTATGATTAGGTTACACAGACCTATAAATACATACCTTATAATAATAATATAACTTTATTTCGGACCAAAAACAATTATTCATAGTTTGTTAGTAAAGAACTTAGGAATAAGGTTATTATGATGCTATTCAAATGCTAAAATTAAAATAAAAAAAGATAATATTAAAATAAATTAAAATTATACAATTAAAATTCAAAAATATACAACCGCCATTGACTTTGTCAATGACAACCGCGAGTAATTACAACATTAAATATAAAATTGAGATTGTTTAAATATAAAATTGAAATTAATCTAACACACTTATGTAAACTTTAAACCGCCACATGAAGTTTCATCCAGTGGGCCTGGATGGAGCAGTGAATTTTATCTGCCACAACTTTCAGAGTGCTGTTGGGGCACCCACGCACACATCGCCAAAGTGAAGAAACCTGCTTCCTCAGAATGGCATGAAAGCCATCTGTTTGTGTCTTAGCGAACATGCCTGAAGCGCTAAAGTGTCGTGGTAACCCCAGCAACATCCTAAACGCGTTGTTATATTGTACCCTCAGAGTATTTAGGGTCACCTTATTATATTTCACCCACAGGCTACGTGTAGAAGGTTTGACAGTATGCTTTAAAAAGCGTTAATTTAACTTCCCCACTACAACGTGCAAACCAGCAGACGAGCATATTTGATCTGACTGCAAGGGCTCTCCGTTCTCTCTCTCTCTCTACATTCACCAGATCGGACTGATCATCTGTCACCCAGTGACCCAGGTATTTAAATTTAAAAACTAGTAAGCTCACTGCCACAAAAGGAGACCGTACGCCCACTTCTCCACCTCGCGGCTTAAACACAAGGAGCTCACTTTTCTTTGTATTATACCTGAGTCCTTGGGCAACAGCATAATTCTCACAAATCTTAAGTAGCTCGCGGAGGGCACATATTGATGGGCTCAGCAGCACCATGTCATCTGCATAGCTGATATTGTTAACTATAACGCCATCCAATGAGCAGCCAACATTAGTACTGCTGAGCTCACCAATCAATGCATTTACATACAGGTTGAAGAGCTTAGGTGACGTTAAACCCCCCTGGCTCACCCCACATCCCAACCTGCATGGTTCCGACAGCGACCCAGCCCACTTATAGATATAGAAGATAGATAAAGATTAATTTATTTCAATATAACTTAATCTAATACAATATAAGTAAAAACAAATGTAAATACAGCTATTGTAGTATTGAAATAAGAATTAACAAGAGAATCTAGATTATACATTCTTCATAGTAAAGCTATTATATATTTTACAGCATCTTGTTATGCACTTAATTTACTTAATTTAACATTGTTGATCTGTATTTAAAATTTTTATTGAATTGATATTCAATTATTTTTTGTTTGTAAATTACTCCACTAATTTGTTATAATTATTAATACAAAGATCGAACACTAAAAAAAATTTCATTCGAACCGACGTCTTCTAGCATACCGTGTCAGACGCTATATCAACTAAGCCATGGAACGGACCAGTGGACCTCACGAATTTTTACTACGTGCTTGCGTCATCTTTGTATTTGGTTTTTCAACGACTTTTTAGTCGTAGCGCCATCTATGAGAAATCTATGAAAGATTTATCATATTATAGATTGGTGTTGATCTGGTTTCGATACCAAAACTCGAAACGACCCATAATCTCAAACGGGGGATTTGTCTCACAACTCAGCTTATGCCACAGATCATGGAAGCACGCATACCAGGCGTACTGCTGTCCGTGTAATACCGAACAGTATGCTTGAGGCAAAGCACAGCGGACTCTGTAGAAAGTCCAGGCCTGACCCCGAACTGCGCATCATGAATATTCAGGCGCTTAGTTAAAATGCGATCAAGCAAACCGTCCAGTACCTTTGCCATGATAGTGGCCAACGATATAGGTATGTAGTTGTTTTTGTCAGACACATCCCCCGTTTTGTTGTCATAGACTAATATTCAATTTTAATTGCGGCGGAGCCGGAACGGAATGGAAGCGAATTTTTGTAACATGATTGTACATAGCGTAATGAACTTTATGGTCATTAGTGTAACGTGCAAACTAAATACGAGCCAAAAATGGGTCGGCGACCCAGGTGCCGCCGAATTACTACAGCCTCAAGACCGTGCGCGCCGTCTCGCGTAGCGAGGCGAAATTGACTCTTCCGCTCCATTCCGTTCCGCCGCAATGTAAATTGAGCCTAACATGTATAATAATATAATAACACTATTTATTTATTTACACGTATGGACCGCGATTTATTTTCACGTGTGAAAATTTTATTTCAACGTGGTTGCCGGTACCCGTGCTCGGAAACGCCGGTACATGACACCCGTCGGTATTAGTCCTCCTTCATGAAACTCGACAGATATTGAGTTGGTACTCTGACTACAAATGAATTATGGCGGGACTGCAACTGCTCCCAATAGAAACCTTTCATCCACGTACCATAACTGTAATTTGTAAAAATTTTTCAACGATAACTAAGTCAATGACGATAACGGAGAATGCGACACGGAGGGAAAGTACTTTAAATATTATAAATAGGATTTTTTGCTTCATAGAAAAAAAAATGCTTATATTATGTGGTAATCGAAGTCGCGTCCGACCGGCTAGTCTGGAAATCTGGAGGCCTATGTTCAACAGTGGACGTCTTCGGGCTGATATGATGACAATGAATCGAACAGACGAAATGTAAAAATAAAACACCCTGTATTTTATGACCGATTGAAAGAGTCAACTTTTCCATTTAAATAACATACTATCTTCAATTACAGAAACCATGAAACTTATTATTAAATAACTTTTACATTTCAAGTTTAGGAAAATGAATTATAATGCGTTTTACTGTCGATATTCGTACTTTAAGATGGGGCTCCGCTCATAATAATAAGAATCGGAATACAGCCCAGTCTCTTAGTGAACAATCATAAAAATACAGGTTGTTTTTTTCTCACATTTAGTCCGTTCGATTCCCAGGTGAGGCAAGCAACATTTTAAAAATCTTTCAATGCAGTATGAGTTAGTTTTAGAAATAAAATAATGTCTTTATGAAACAAAGTATTTTGCCTATAATATTTATAGTACCTACTTTCCGTCCGAGTCGCATAGCCTTGGGACACCCCGTTATAGCGGTTTATAAGAGTGACAGTTTCTTGTGACTAAGTTTACAGTCAACAACACAGGTTCGCACTTTTGACTTTGAAACATTGTTATCATAAGTAGATAGTCGAAATTTAAGGTTAAGTATAAACCTATGACGTACTGTCGTCATATCGATAAGTGCAAGATTTAAAAAAAAAAATATCTTTCTGTAATAGTTTACAAATGGTTGTGATGTCTGTTTCTTAGATTCTCTTCTGAGTGTAATCTACCATCGGAAATCACCGGTCAAATTCTGAGAAATAAACGTGAATTTTCCTTAATCTTAACGTTTTTGCGGAATCGATTGTATCCATCGATTTAAATGACACTTAAAAATACAAGATTATAAAAAGTGTGATTCAGTTCAAAGTACGACGTGAACAGATTACATTAACATTGCAATCTGACCGGACCTATGTTGATTACAAGACTATGAATCAATGTTTAAACCTCGACGTATCCACGATTACTGATAAGATAAAAGTTATATATAATAGAAGATTGAATATGCAAACTAACAACTCGCATAAGCCACAGTACAATAAGACAAATAGTGTAACTGCCAACTGTTCAGCGGGCGTGTGAATGCCTACACGTCCTCGTAACTTAGGGTTGTCACCACAGACATTACATACTGTATAATACGTGGTTATCACATTACTTTAGTTGTAGGTTACAAAACATAATTTGAAAAAATAAGAATTCATGACGGTATTTTTAACCTTTGTCAAATATTAGAATTCATAACCTTTGTCAGATGCAATACTTACTGATATTTTATACCAGCATCCCGGATATGGGGGTGAAAAATGAAATGTGAGTTTGTGTATAAGTGCATAACGATATATTTATAAATAAAAATATTATAAATATTTACAAAAAAATGGCGTGAGCGACCCGCGCTGAGTGTACCGCGTAATTATGAGATTGTGTGCACGGATGCACGGCGAGCAGAGGGTGTGCACACAAGACGCGCTGCTATTTTTATATGTAGTTACACTACTTATTTTTATCGTAAATTCGATTACGTAACTTCAGAACTGTAATTTCTTACATTTTAACAAAAAACATGGCCAAGTGCATTTACGGATAATAACTAAGTAAAGAAAATAGAACAATGTTATTAAAAATCATTATTATGAGTCGCTATCTTTTTATATGTATAGGTACCCTTACACAAACTCGCTTTTTTATACTGCAAAATTGAATGGCATAAAAATAATATAAATTCTTTAGTTATGGCCTACCGGACATACACGGCTTAAACCTTGTATTTAATAATTTGGTAATGTTAAAAGTAAAGTCGAGGTTCCTGATAGTGATAAGATACCAATAAATATAAATATTTATAGGTAGACTTCGTCGTAACAGATAATTTTAATTATCGTTTTTAGGTCCTGTTTAGCAACTGTTATTTTCTGTATCATTCGTATTGTTCATTTATTATTTGGCCCAAACACACGTCTTTTCGAACTATGGCGTTAATAGCATTTATACCCATAGCAATTTCGTTTTGCGTAGTGTTAGTTTTTAGGTTAATTAATAAGAAATATAACCCGCCTATTTTCGGTGTGTATCAGAGAAGAAACAAATACTTTTGGTTCAAGTTTGTGTTTATGTACATTATATTGAGGTATAGACAGGTAAGTTATATTACTATTATGTAATGTCTACAGCGTATTTTTAAAGTTAGGACTATATTGTGTACACAGACGGCAGCACATGCAGTTATTGTATATTACTACACTAGAGGCGATATTAGAACAAAAATGTATAGCTTCATGTGCTGTTAGCTGTCCTTACTTAATTTTTTTATGGTTATTTAAAATACTCTACACATAATTTAAAATACTCTTGACGTTAATAGAATCCATTTCATTGTATATCAATTTACATAAGGCGTCTTGACTATGAGTGTCCTCTAATGAAAAAGTAATAACGATAAATCTACATAGCTCGTGTGCATATAGTGCTCCAAAACATTTATGCATTGAATTTAAACCTATATTTGCGTTTACAGCTACTGGTTCACATAAAACGGATACTCGCAGTCGAATTGGGCTACAGCTACGATGGTACAGTGCATATCCATGAACATGACGTTGCTTTAGAAGAAAAGTTTTTCCACGGGGACCATCCTTTGGTAAGCCTCAGGTTTCTCCTACTCAACCTATTATTCTCTGTTTTCTTCTATTATTCTACTGTCCAATATTTGCATATTTGTTCAAGCCACAATGCCCTGTAGTCAGCTTTCTAATACCGTTCCCTACAGTGTTTAGCACTGTGGGCAGCTATCAGAACTTTTGAATAGGTACTCAAAATCTTTCAGGAAAACTTGTGAAATAAAGTTGAGTGATCGAGTGAAAGATGTGGCTTGAAAGAGGATGTAGTGGCTAGAATAGAGAAAGGTTGTTGAGGTGGTTTGGGTATGTAGAGCGGATGGATGTAAGAAAAATTACCAAATAGATTTATGATGCTAATGTGGATGGAAGGGTTTTAAGAGGACGTCACAGAAGGACTTACAATGCCAAGTTCAGTGATGTCCTTACAAAGGCTGGGATCCGAAGTGACAAGAACAAAAGAAGTTGCATGAAAAGGGTAGTTGATGTTTGTGAGGCTCGACAGTTGTGTCGGGATATAGTAAAGTGGCGTTCCGTGGTCTCTGCCTACCCCTCCTCTGGGACTAGGGTGTGAGCTCAAGTATGTATGAATGCTCAAGACCCTTGTCTGCAGCCACATGTAATTAGTAAATAATAAAATAATAATGTATAATATATAATAAATAGAGCCCATATAGTTCCTCTGCTGAGCATAGGCCTCCTCTCACAATGGGGGGGCTTGGGCTGTCGTTTCCACGCGGGTCTAATTCGGATTGGGAACTTGACACACATAATTAAATGCTTTGCAGAAGTTACTGGCACATGGGCCTTGTCAACTTACGTCTCAGGATGACAGGCGCAGTGGCAGTGCCCCTCAGATCTTTGTAATTTAATGCTCTGAGTGGCACTGCAACTGTCATGGACTGGCGTGTCACTTACCACCAGGCGCACGACTTGTTCGTCCCGTCACTTGGTTTCATAAAAAAAGTACAGTTTCCTCACGATTTTTTTCGAAAAGGTCGTGTAACTATAGCGTTAATCATAAGAATAACTTGTGAGCCTTTACAAACATACAATTGTCCACTACTGGGCATGAACTGCTCAAAACATGAAATTATTTACCCGTCACCATGCTTGGCAAGTGGAATAGATAATATTGGATGTATCTTGTGGTTGTCTATGTGTGTGTCCATGACACCCCCGACACGGGGTTTACCTAGTTACCTAGTTAGCGTTATTATTATTACAATGTAAATAGACATCAGAAATAGACATACATTGGTGGCTTATTATCGATAATAAGCTGCACGTGTTGCTAGTTTCTACTATTAATGATTTATGGCTCAGGCACTCAGATGATCAGATCATAATTGGCTATAAAACAGATGTCAGCTGCAAACTGCCTCAATCAAGGTGTTGAAGTCGTTGACAAATTAAGGATCAATTAAAAAGACTATAGTTAAAAATAAGTCCCATTATTGATCCATCCTAACCTATGTAAACGTTCTGGTATGTTATAGGCGGTGGACGCAGTATACTTTAATGGAACAGCCAAAGATACTTCTGTTATCTGCGGGATTGCTAGGAGACCTCAAAGTATTTGCGACGCTTTTCTGTTCCTCAAGGTAACACACTGAATACATCCCTCAAATGATTAATAAGTATTTGATTGTAGGTTTCTATACAAGCTATCTAAACGTGTTGTAAAAAAATGGTTTTTTATTCAACACTTTTGAAACCCCTTCCCTGTTGGCAAGTCATCTATATCTGCCCCCGTAGCATGGCTACGCATGATAGTCGCGACGCGCGCGATAAAATTGAAATAAGCGCGAATTAAGTTACTGACACTAGTTTTGATTTAAAAAAATACTTTATTTCTAAATCACCAACACCGTTAAGTACTAAAATGACAATCAAACGTTATTCTAACTTAGACTCTAATATATAGTATTTAAATAGCGAAGTCAGCTCTGCGTCGTCGCGACACTTGTCCTAATTGATTATTGCTGTCGTAGTGGCTTCGCAGGGCTGACGAAGCTGATAAATGAGGGTTTACTACCCTTAACACCTCCCTCCCTAAGAGAGAAATTATCTGGAGGTGACGAAGTAGCTTCCAGATGATTTCGTCTGCAGGCTTTATATAAATCAAATCTCATGCTTAAGCCTATAATAACTATAACTACAATAATTACATAGATGCTTATGGTCCATACACTAATTTTGTCACTAATAATATAGTTTTCAAAAGCGTCGTTGCTAACACTGAATTTTGCACTATTTGATAGTTCCCTAATGTCACAAAGGTCCACTCCTCGCAGGTCGATTGTGCTCGCTTGCTGTATGTTGTCTGGCGGTAACTCTGGCATCCGCAACATGGTTGTCTGGAAGCTTTGTATGGAGGAGTTTGTTACACCGTTGATGTAGACATCTCCCAACATTGTCACGCAACCCTGCGATGGTGTAATGATATATGTGCCTTGTAGATTCTGTCTGTGAATCTCCTCTTTGCAGGATTCGGTTGCCACCACATTGCTGCGAGAATATAGCAGCCAATGTTCCTTTGTAAGCTGTTGGATCTTAAAATTTTCGATTTTAATGAAATTCTGGTGGCATTGTGTAAAGTTATTTCGTAATAACATTAATTGCTCTATGCACGTTTCTTCCGCAAAATGTGCTAGGTTTTCGTCTGTGCATAGAAATCGTTTGTCTTCTATCTCGTCGCATGTTTTCACTAACGGTCTGTAATTTAATCTATTCACCGTAAGGAAAGGATATTGAGGTATAATTGTGTAGGTTTTTTGGTTTGCTGGACTGTATATCGGAATAGGGACGATCTTATAATAAATGTATGTGCTTTTCTCTATAAGTGGAACCTCTAACACAAATACTAACTTATTACTATGCATATATGATTTAACGATCATATTGTGCTCTAACTTAAGAAGATTTTGTTTATTTACTGGATAGATTAAATTGCCATGTTTTTCTACTTCTAATAAAATGTTAAATAATTCCGTGGAATTAATAATAGATTGATGTAGAGTATATAGCTTACTAAATGCAATGGCAGTTTCGATTTCCTGAATTATATTGTAAATAGTTTTTAAATTATGCAATATTTGATATAAACTGTTCATTATGGTGACAAGTTTATTAAGTTGAATTTCGCTATTTTGAAGTGATTCTAATTGCTTAGTTTTAAAACTTAATTGTTTAACATTAAAATTAATATCATCCGTTACATTTACTAGTTTGTCGAAGGCTTTTTGCATCACCGATAATCGATTTTCCTTTGAATGCTCCTTATTACTAATGCTGCTTATTTGTTTATTATATCGCACAGCATCCTCGTTATCAAGGTTCCCCGAAATAACTTTTATCAGCGATCCCAATGGGTTAAGGATACCCCTTTTAATTCGAATAGATGGGAGGATTTGATCTAATCTACCCGTTGTTGTAACATCTCCGTGGGGACACGTGTAATGCCTTCCATTTTAAATTAATAATTTAATAAATGCGATAGAAATAATAAAAAGTAAAAATAAGAAAATAGTAAACAAAATTTACCTAGAAACGCTATTACTAAGGCTTTGTCTAATCCCTAATAATGCACATAAATTTATAATAAGAGGTACATGTAGGAAAACAGGAGTACAGTGAAAAGATTTACTCACAGACCCGCAGCTACTCCCATGTCTCCTCTCTGATGGTGGATTGTCTGACTTGGTTCGTCGGCGGTCCTGGATCTCAGGAACTCTGGTGTCTCGTTCTTAATAAATTTATTTTTTCGGTGATACCCGTCTAAGCGTAGAAACGCACGATGCTCTATGTACACACAGGAGGATCTACGGGTATCCTACCGGCTGCGCCAATTAAGTTACTGACACTAGTTTTGATTTAAAAAAATACTTTATTTCTAAATCACCAACACCGTTAAGTACTAAAATGACAATCAAACGTTATTCTAACTTAGACTCTAATATATAGTATTTAAATAGCGAAGTCAGCTCTGCGTCGTCGCGACACTTGTCCTAATTGATTATTGCTGTCGTGGTGGCTTGGCAGGGCTGACGAAGCTGATAAATGAGGGTTTACTACCCTTAACACGCGCGCTGTTGGCAATCTAAATTAGACCTGATTGAAACAGCCGATAGCGCGCGCTTATTCCAATTTTATCGGGGCTGGTCTCCTCTCAGGTGAGTGTTTCTTTAGGCCACAGACATATATCTATGTCTGTGGCCTAGACACTGTAGGCCATGGCCCAATACTGGTTGGGGACATCACACGTTTTCCGAGGATTGTGAATCTTCTTCGACGTGCAGGTTTCATCACGATGTTTTCGAAAACCTCAAGATTTTCAAATTCAATTTCGTACATAAATTCCGAGAAACTCATACGACCTTTGCTTATTAAATGTTGTATCCCTTGTGAGAGACTGGAGACCGTACTAGGCAACTAAACCTGTATTACAGCTAACCAGGCCCACACTCTCAGAGTAGTCTTACGTACAGCCAATAATCTTAAAATAACTATAATTGTAAATACTATCTTAATGCTACATTGCGTGTTAATTTACGTAAGTTTGTGAGTGTTCGTAGAGTATTATACAATGGTATTATATTCAACAAACACTGCTTACCTTTGGGCGCGTTCCCACTATGTCGTCACGTTTTATTATCGTTGGACGACTGTCGTGTCTAGCCTGTTCCCATATCACGACTATCTGTCGTGAACGGTTTTTTACCGTTGAGCGACGGTCGTGACTAGCTGTTCCCACTAGATCGTGACGACAATTTATTGTTTCACGACAGCCTTCTTGCCCATCTCTAGCTACGACCCAATGCTACTGCAAACCGAGCAGAGGGCGCGGGGTACGAGAGGGGAGGGCAGGGAGCAGAATACGTGCTGACAGCGATAAATGAAACGTGACGACAATAGGAGCTGCGACAATCTGTCGTCACGTTTTTATCGTCTGACGACTGTCGTTCTAGCTGTTCCCACAGCGACGACAGTTTGTCGTTGTAACGATAAAAAATCGTGAACGACAGTTAATCGTGTCGTGCTTTATGAGAACAACTTCATTTAAATATACAAGACACGACATTTACAGTGTCGTGTCTTGTGTCTGCACGACAATCTGTCGTCACGACATAGTGGGAACGCGCCCTTCTCCTTATCTTCTCAGTATTGTTTAGATATGAGAATGTGCTAAAAAGAGTTACCGCGTACTCAGTTGGCAGGTAAAGAACGTCTGCTAACTCCTAGTCTCCCAGACACGTACTTGAAACAAGAGGTCGTGGAAGAGGGAGAATATGCTGTCAACGGCATGTCCGCACACAACTTTATTCCCATGCGAACTTGGAAACTCTCCTACAGTGGCGAGATGAAGTGAGTATTAACATTAATCAGTTTTTCCACGCAACTTTATATTATCTCCTTCTTATATTGTCGATGATTCTGTATGGGCCACCGTACTCCATACATGTATTGTAGTGGTAGTACGCAGAGAAAAACTTCCAAACACAATGGTAAAAGTATACCTATTGTTATAAAATATGGTATGGTAGCAAATATTTCCTTGATGTAATGGACAGTTGGTAACGTACATACTACGTAAAGTAAACAATGAATTACGCGTTTGAACTAAAGTGCGGCACGTGGCTAAAGTAGGTCACCACGTACGAAATTAGTCAATAATTTTAGGACAATTGTAAAATTTCGCATATTATACATAACGTAGGCTGAATTGCCTCTGTGGCCCAGCGGTTACCATGCTGGACAGCCACACAGAGGTCCCGGGTCCGATTCCCGGGCCGGGAGCAATATTTGTATGACCTACATTAATCGCACCCCACATGGAAGAATGGTATAAGTGGAATTACGTCAAACATGTCTATTGCTCCATTATATATAGAAAAATATAACCCACGCATCCTCTCCAATTCTTGTAACTCTATCTACAATATTAGTCGATACAGTTACAAGAATTGGAGAGGGTGTGGGTTATATTTTTCTGCATCTAAGGCTCAATTTATATTGCGGAAACAGAGTGGAAGCGAACTTTTGCAACATAACATAATGAACTTTATGGTCAGTTGTTTAAAATACCTACAAACTAGGAACGAGTCAAAATCTTTCGCGGAATGCGCGAGCATTCGCGAGAATTCCGTCCGCGGAAGATTTTGGCTCGTATCTAGTTTGTACTACACGTTCTATATGCTATATTACAAAAAGTCACTTCCACTCCGTTCCGCCGCAATATAAATTGAGCCTTTTGGAGCAATAAACGCCTTTGACGTAACTCTACTTATGCCATTCTTCCAAGAGGGGTGCGATTTTATTTCTCTCGTGAGTTTGAGTGTAAGTTATGGTTGTTTATATGTGTGTCCATGGCAATTTTATGACTTTCATGTGATAAAAGTACTTTTTACGCGTACCTACATGTTATCATAATCACATGTGGTCTTAGTTATACCACAGATAATACAATACTATACTAGGTTATACCAAGATTACGATTTTTACTATTCTATATAATCATTTATAATTTCTTGTTTTCCTTCTTTGAGACAAGGAGGTGCTTACTCAGGATTACCATAAAAAAACTGTACTGTTCAATGTAACATTACTAAATCATGAATTTTTAGGTCTAGTAGTGACTCCGAGACAAAGCACAGAGTAGAAATGAGTCTAACATGGAGCGCCAGGTACCCGGTGTTCAACTTTGATACTCACATGTCGCCGCTTACCATGGCCAAAGACATGGCCCGTGAACGATGGTCTGGTGACTACTTCAAATTACTTAAGAAGTAAGTGTAGTTCAAACAATAATAAAAAACATACAAAGTAAAGAAACTTTCACAAGTTTCACACAAGTGGCGCTGACAACAAAAAAGCCTTTTAAACCTAATCAAGCACATGCGAGGTTCTCAAATCTCTCACTAGATGTAACTAGCGACTCAGCATGCCAAAAAAAAAATCAGAGCTTTTGGACAACTCGAAAACTTGCCACGTAGCTCAGTTGGTAAGAACAATACTACGGTACGGCAAAATAGGCGCCTTGACGTCGAGTTGCGGACACCAGCCCGTTACACTAAGTACCAAGTACCACGGTACAGTATGGTCGTGGGTTGAAGTCCCATCGTGTCAATAAAGTTTTTCTGTGTTCGATCTTTGTATTAATTATAATCATAATAACAACTAGTGGCATTATTCCACAAAAAACCTTAATAATACTTTTGTAAGATCTACTGACTCGGTCTGTAACTCAATTAGTAAGAACAGTCGCCCCGGTATGGCAACAGACACTGATTCGAGTCCAGTCAGACCAAAGGATTTTTCATTGCTGTACGATCTTTGTATCAATAATACTAACAAACTAATGGGAGTATTTTCATAAAACACCGGTTTGTCTGCCTCTGTGATTTTACAACTTCAGAGACAGGCACACAATGGAATTGCTTTTTGCCTTAGCAGACTGCCGCCGCTTGGGTTTCGAAGCATGTTGTTGTATGGATTCATATATTTATGTTAATCCACACAACAGCAGCAGTTAAACCACGGAGCTTTGTCTTTTGAGTTTGAGCAGTTTTTGGGATAAACTGGTGTTGACCTTAATGTTAAAGTATATGTGGGACCATGTGTTGAATAAGAACAAACCAGACACTAGGCCATCTGTTGCATTTTGTATATTTGTCTTATGGTTGAAAAACACTCACCGGTCTCTCATTAGGATCATGGACGGGTCTCGCATAAGGTGAAACATCGCGATCGCGACATTCAATAAAAATTCTTCTTCTAAAATTACAATGATTTTATTCAATACAATACATTACTTATTAAACACAGTACATTAGATATTTAAAAAATCTATGTATTGAAAAACGAATAGGTAAATTTGTTTTGCCCTGATAACAACCGTAATATTCTTGTTGTTATGAAATTACAAAACATTATACTAGGACTCGCAGAGTTTTGGTTTAACACGATAGGGTTGCAACTAAGTAGTTAAAGTTGAAAATTTACAATTTACGCAATATGGCAGCGCCGACACGGCTAACCGAAGCCCTCAGAAAGTCGCGTTATTGTTCTGATGAATTTTCGGTTGGCGGTTGCAGGGTTAAACATTAACAAAACACAAAACAGAGAAATGGAGAAAAAATATTACATTACGTTTTTAATTACCCCGATTTCAAATAAAATATGATTTACAGATTTCATCAAACTCACTACGAGCAGATGGGCCACCTAACCGGTTCTGTGTTCGTCGACGGAGAAGAGCACAAAGTGAATATCCCGTGCGTGCGCGACCACAGCTTTGGCAAGAGTCGCGAGTGGCGCAACTTCCACCGCTACGTTCTGCACTACATTTTCCTAGAGAATGGAGATTGTATAGCAGCAGGGGTTGTATGTCAACCTGCCATTCTTTCCCAGTGAGTATAATATAGGCACACTACGAAGGGATTGCGTCTAGTAGTAAGCGATGTCGCTGTATATTATCTCATTCAAACATGAACACAACAAATGTGTAGGTCCTAGATCAGTATTATTATTTTAAAGTGCATACACTTGACGCCCCTTTCCCATCGGGTTTTTTTTATTACTGTTGATAAGCGACAAACCTGTCCATAACAGGTGCAGTGCAGTAGAACTTTAAATCGCAAAAATGAGACATAAGTTGAAAAGTCACATGTACCTGTAATTTCACCAGCACCCTTAGCTTTCAAAACCGAAACTCAGTAACGCTCACATTGTTGCTTGGCGGCAAAAATAGGTAAGGAAACTTTGCCTCTGTTGTGGCAGTATACTTCGTTCCGTATTGAACACCTATGCGACGAAAAGCTACAAAGGAACAAATCGAGAAGCAGCAACTAGTTCCTGAATAATACAGAAAATATTAGTGCACCACTATCGGCATTTACTTTGTACACTTGTAGTGTTTTTTTAGCTTATAGCATAGTATTTATTTTTCTAGTCTTACCATTGGATACATATGCCGCCGGTCGGACCAAGCGGTATTACCATTGAAGGGCTGCGATTTTGAAATGTGGCAGCATGGTGAAAATCAGGTTCTTCCCAGAGACTACGGTTTTGTATTCAAAGCAGGTGAGTTCATATTACCTATTTAAAGATAGACACGGTATCGGAATCTATCTCTTAAACGATTGAAGAAAGAACCCTGTTACTTCACTAAACAAACTTTTTACAGCGATCGAAAGCGCCATCTCGTCTCATTGGATTACTTGAGGGCGCTTAGTTTTTTGCGCGAGAACTACATAAAGCGCGAGATATTGCTATTCTCTATGCTAGAATAGCAGTCTCGCGCTTTATCTGTCTTGCTAGCCCTACTGGGGTACCTACCTACATTTTCCCGCGTTTTTGCTTGGGCATACTCGGTAAGCTCTACAGGCGTAATCACCAGTCACCTTCTCTCGCCCTGTGGCTTTTATATTTTAATACCGCGCTTGTATGATTTTAGAGCCTATGCCGACGGCGTATTTTATATGCGCCGACGACGCGCGTAAACACGCCGTAAACGCGCGTCGTATCACGCATTTTGATAAAAGATAGTTTATAGTTTTGTTTATTCATTTCAGTTAGTTTTTTGAAATGAAGCAACTACATGAAATTCTAAGTGTAAACTCCATGGGTGTATAAAGCTTCTTGCTTGCATCGCCAATGTTTGCGCGCGTTTTAATCGATTCACTAGAGCGCGTCTGCGGCGCGTATACGCGCAGATGACGCACGTATACGCGCAGATGACGCATGTATACGCGCAGATGACGCATGTATACGCGCAGATGACGCACGTGTACGCGCAGAACACGCGCGTTTACGGCGCGTATAAAGTAACCGGTGTGCGTAGGCTCTTAATGTTTCTGTAGCGTGTGACATAGGTACACGTTTGATTATTATTAATTTGTTAGCGCATGTATTACATCTTCATACGCGTTGGCGATCTGTTACGGTACAGTCATACAAACGTATTTCTGCTTAGTGTATGATGAATTTCCCAGGTGGAGAAGCATACGATGTGAAAATAAAAGTTGAGGACGAAGATACTTTCTATATCGGCAAACTTAGGGACTCGAAGTTCTACGAACGATGGGGACCAGCCGAAGTTAATGGAGTGAAAGGGTGGGCCTGCGGAGAGTGGCAGTATAATAATGTTGCAGCTTCTATTAAAGCAAAATAATGTGACCATTTCAACTTAATGGGATTTTATTTTTAGTATAAATTTTTGGTAAAATGGTGATTGATTGAACTTGAAATTATAGTGCTCTATTTTTAAAATTTTATTTATGAAACGTGGTATAAGTTGATATTATTTATTGCCGTATTTTTTTAATGTAGTGTGTAATTTCTTATTTTTGTGAATATCTCATTCAATTGGTCCTTTGTGGCCAGCATTATTTTTTTAAAGGGCATATACTGCACGCCCCTTTCCCATCGGGGTACCTACACAGAGACCACAACCCTTCCATTTGCTACTCTACTAACACAACTTTCACCTTACCAACACGCATCAATACTTTCATATACAGGCTCGTCAGTTAAAGGTACTCTTGGCCTTTACTTTTTGTTAAAGTTATGTGTTAAAAATAAACGACAGTGTTAAAAAGTAAATAATAATAAATAAAACTATGTGACATAGCGAAGAAAGTTAACTGTATTTAGCATAACATTTCATTAACTTATGTATAAGTTTTAACTTAGGAAATAAAGTGGACTAGCAAATTATGGCGTTAAGTACAATTCAACAAATTTGTAAAATATTACAATTATACTAAATATTATGAAACTATAATGTCTTTTATTTGGTATTCTATAATTAGATTGACAAATTAATTTTTAAATAGATATTAGTGTTGCATCAAATATTGTACTCGGCCTCGGACCGAATACCAAATATTCGGCCAAGAGCGTGGCCAAAAAGCCGAATTTTCGACGAAACTATTCGGCATGATTAAAGCAAGTACAAAAACCGGGCGAAAAATACCACTATAACTTCAGTTATGATAAATAATTTTATACAATGGCATAAAAAGGTCTGTAATTTTCAAGTTTATAATTTAAGTTTACAACTTAATTTTTACACTTATTATTACACGAAATTATTACACTTCCAAAAATTTAATTGTAATTTGGTTCGCAAATAATCAGTATATGTTTATTTAGCCATGAGTAAACAACATAACTTTCATTTTTAGAAAAATAACTTCGCTTTAACATTTTTTTCATCTTTTAAATAAGAAAAACTGAAAAATTGAACTTACAATTCAGCATTAATAACATTTGCATACCAATTTACTGTATTGTTTCTTATTTCTTTTGTTCTATTTTTAGGCATTCGGTCGAAAATTGATTAAATATTCAAAAAAGAAAAACAAGGCAAATAAGCCGAATACCGAATGGTAACCGAATATTCGCTGCAACTCTAATAAATATCGACTCATCCGAAGAACAATGTCCGATGTGATTATATAGCGAAAAGAGTATAAGTACGTTACGAGAATAATTTCGTTATTCAAACTAAGGCCTATGTAAATGTGTTTTGAAAATTTATATATCTTAGTTAGTTTCGGAAACATAAAATCGAACAACGGTCAATCTAACATTCACAGCGAAGAAGAACGAACGAAATGTACCACGTCCTGAGAACAAGTAGTCTTACACATAGATCTTTGTTCTACGGATGACTCGATATACATCATATAGTAAAAGTATGCAATTTCAAAATACGTAAGTTAGAAAAGTAATTAATGACAGAAAAATAACAGTATAAAATAATAATATCTAGGAAATGAAGCTATTTTTTTTTTAGATCTAAATAGTGTATGTTTGTTTTTTCATATAAACCAACATTTTCATTCTATAGATTCCATGGTCACTGTAAACAGCCGTGAAAATTAGTTTCGTTTCCAATTTATAGCAATGGCGAATACCTAAGAACTCCATAAATACATAACCTTGTTTAAAAACTGGAATCTTTTTCCGGCCGCATTGCTAAATTGATATGATTTTTCTGGGTAATAACATAGTATAACAAGACAAGTAATGGTAGCTCCATACTAAACGTAGCAGCGCGGCTAGAATGTGGTGCCCACCGCGCGCCGTGTATGAACCCACATATTCGCATAATCTCGCGATGCATAACACTGGTCGTCTCAACGCGCCTTTCATTATTATGCGAATGTATGCGTCCGTACACCTACAAGCCGTATTGTTACTTTGCTCGGAGTTACCACACTTCTCTTATTTTGCTATGGTAATACTCCGAAAGGTATAATTATATTCTCAGTACAGGAGTTTAGTACTCATAAAACAGGAATTCCTAGGCCTCTGTGTGTTTGTTTGTGAAATTTATTCATTTCCCTCTTTGACGAATCAGTAAAGAAGATTGTTGATACTATTATATCTTATAATATAAGAATACAAAACAGAATATTATGGATTTTCTAACATAATAAGACCCGTAGATATTCATATATGCATTCTATTCCATTGAAATACACAATTTTACTTTACATTTTCAGTATTTTCACATTCTTAAATCAGTATATATTAGTACAATGAAGTTTTGTGTACATATTTTTATTGTGCGATAAGTTGTCTTTTTGTTCACTTTATAATACTTTATAAAGCCAAAATAGATTGCGGGACTCAATATTTTGCTACAAATCATACAAATACTTGTCGCTATGACAATTCAAACAAACGATATTTAATATATAGCAAAACCTTATTAACGAATGTACTCTATGTATAAATACAAAGTCAATCTGTAGCAAAAGATGAAGGAACTTGTACAGTCAAAAACACAGTCAGTCATTAAAATATTTACGTCTAGAGAAGCAATTACATTAACTCACAAATTGCAACATTTGGAGGTCTGTATTGTTGACTCTACGCGGGTACTTAAAATCTTCCGGAAATATAGAAAATTTTATATGAGCACAACACAGAAAAACTAAAACATTAACTATCTTAATTTACATGATAGATTTTCTATATTCCCGTAAATAGTGGAAGACAGGATTTACTTATCGCTTGAAAAATACTTTTGAAATTTTTATAATAGTCACTTGAAATACATAATCGAATCATTTCTTTACATACAAATAATTTCGAAATGAATTATCATACTTTTGTAATAATGTAAAAAATACAATACAAATCAATGCCTACAATAGTAGCTTGAATCCAATCAAACACTTGATCTTTAGTATTTATTCGAGATTGAACTACACTCCCGGGCACATTATTCGAGCCTCCTTGCATTTGAAATATTATATAACAATGTTTGATTAACCAAAAACTATAATGCAATTTTGAAAATTGTATACTAAACATCATTTCCATAAGTCCTTATTGAAAATTGGAATGAAAGTGGAAAACTTTTTCTTCCATGATAATAACATTACTGCATTCTAGCCGTTTAAGAATAAAAATTCAAGACGGTTCCAATTATGTGTCCGGGAGTGTATTAATTAAATTTGTAGGTGTTAGGGCGTCTTCAAATTATCCACATATAAAAGCGCATCCGCGCGTTACGTCTTACTTCATTAATTGTGAACGCGCGCGTGCGCGTTTTTTTCTTTTTATAAGATCAAGTGACGGGACAAACAAGTAGTCGTGCCATACACATATCCATAACAGTTGCAGTGCCACTCAGAGCTTTAAATCGCAAATATCTGACGGGCACTGCCAGTGTGCCCGTCACCCTGAGACATAAGTTGACAAGTGTCAAGTGTCTGTAATTTCACCAGCACCCTTACCCTTCAAAACCGGAACACAGTAATGCTAACATTACTGCTTGGCGGCAGAAATACTCTCTTTCACAAGGAGCTCTACTGCAACTGCGCTTCTAGATGTTGTATGAAAATTAATATTGACGCGGTTGCCCCGCCACTGCAGGGCTTCTAGAAGCTTCTAATATAAAGACGCCCTTAATTTGTTTAGTAATCCAGCCAATTGACATTCTATATTCCATCGTTCACGCACTGTGAGGTAAACGACCGAGAAAAGAGACTGCCAGCATGGAACTGCACGTTGACTTAAACATCGTAATGAAAACCGAATCTCTAACACTCATCAGTTTAGTGTAATAGATGCCCTCGAAGTGGTCATAGATACGATGTGAGATGTATCAATATGAGTCCTTGCAATATTGTGATGACAGCTCTCTATGTCAAAGGTAATAAATACTACTTGTGTAGCAAGAGTAGGTACGTTAATTTCTACGTAGACTAGACACACTGTAACTTTTATCTAATTTATGTACTGGAATAAAAACAAGTCATTATTTCACTCATAATTTTGTAGTCTATCAGTTAGTTGATCACATTTCAAAACAGGAATTTTGAAAAATATTTACAACTTTTCAATCCTCACACGTCTTAGGCTCATTTTATATTGCGGCGGAATGGAATGGAAGCGAATTTTTGCAACGATATTGAACATAGCGTAATGAAATGTGCCATTGTGTAACGTACAAATTAGATACGAACCAAAATCTTCTATTCCAAAAAATTCGCTTCTATCCCGTTTCGCCGCAACATAAATTAAGCCGTAATGGGAGCACTCGTGCGCCAGCGCAGATACGGTCAAGCCTAGACAGTGTGAGGTCGTAAGGGTCAACCACAATATTGCGAAACCCAAACTCCCAGGTGGATTTTGGGGTTTTGGGCTCACCTGGCCAGTAACTCTGCCCTCCCTGTCATAACTAACGCATTTTCATATCGGTAACTTTCGAGATAATGGTAACGTAAAGTTTTTTTTATGATACCAAATGACTACGGCTCGAACAAGTCGAGCGTCTGGTTTAAATCGCAAAGGTCTGAGGGCCACTATCACTGCACCCGTCACCCTGAGACAAGTTGACAAATCCCATATGCCGGTAATTTCAGCAGCACCCTTACCCTTCAAAATCTGAACACCAATGCTCACATTGCGGCAGAAATAGGTAAGGTAGCAGTACTACCCTGGACGAACTCTTTCACAAGGAACTCTACTGCTACAAAAATAAAAAAGTTGATTTTGCTTAACAATAAAACTGAAAGTATTTCATAAAGAAACCTAAAATAATTGAAAAATTGAATATTATGTTGGTGATACATTCCGACATTCAATAAAAATTTAATTATGGTTAACAGTGACATCTCTAGCCAGCGCTGGTAGCTCTAAAGATTCCTAACTGGGTGACGAAATACTTTCACAGATGGCGCTACGGCTAAAAAGTCGTTGAAAACCAAAATGCAAAGATTCGCCTGCAAGCACACAGAAAAATTCGCGAGGTCCGCTGGTTCGTTCCGTGGCTTAGTTGGCATAGCGTCTGGCAAGGTTTGTTAGGAGACATCGGTTCAAATCCGGCCGAATCGAAGGATTTTTTTCTAAGTGTTCGATCTTTGTATTAATAATTATAACAAACTAGTGCAGTAATTTCACAAAAAACAATTGAATATCTAATCAATAAAAATTTATAAAACCAGTGGAGTGATTTCACAAAAAATCATTGAATATCAACTCAATAAAAATTTTATATAACTGAATCTAAATAAGATATAAAAACAACGATTGGAGGGTGTTGTAGATATCGTTACGTTGATCCCAGATGAAATCGACTATCGAAACTAAAAATAGAGGAATTGAGAAAACACGATAAGAAAATTAAAAAAAAACTGAATTGAATTAGGTATAATGTGATTATGTTTATTTATACTGAACAGTAAGTTATCCATTTATAAACGACAATATATATTTATTGGCTTCTCAAATTCACAATTTTAAGTTACGACAGTGTTTAGTTTCATGTCCAAAATGTTAATAACTCAATGTCGCGGAAAATGGGATTATGTTAGTTACGATAAGAAGGGCAGATTACTGTCTAAGTAGTAACGTTCGACGTGGGGCAAAACGCTAGTAGACAGAACGTGGTCTTATAATGTCCAGCATTTTTATCAACATGAGCAAATTTCGTTTTTATTACACCAACAGTTCTTATTTCCAATGCTATTATAACTGGAATGACCATGAGACTAGAACCAGTAAAAATCACAGCACCTAATTATTTAGAAATGTTCAAAACATTTCATAAGACGGTTAAGTTATTAACACAGTAATTAAGGCAGGAAATTGAAATACTGTTTCAAAAACTTTTTGCAAAAACGACCAGTGTAACGATGCACCTTATGTTACAAACATAATAAAGGCGGTAGGTGCCAAGTCAAGCTGGTGTTTTTTTAGGTACCTGTACATAATATTGTTATTATTGAAATAAATTCTCCCTTAGTGTATTTATGTAATATAAAGCTCTTTCGACTATCGGGCTTAACCCATCTACATGTATTTTTGGTTGATAATACTTTTATATAGAACTAAAGTTCTGTCAAACTATGACTACAACGCGATTAAAACTAAATTATCTTGTATAATTAATAAATCAAACAAATTAAATTTAGAACCAAAACAATTCGAGACTATATAATATTTATATTATAGCATTTCCCAATTTAATTAAGTTTTTAGGTACCTACATAAAATATAATACTGTTCTACACTGACTAGATTTTTCTTTATCGGGAAAGGATTCTGAGTAAACTCTAAGTATACTGTACACTTGTTCCAATTTAATTACAAATAAGTTGCCAAAGAGTTGCCAATGCATGTGCATTGTGTAATTAAATATCTAGAGTTTTTTCAAAATTACATATCATTGTTAAATTGAAATTCTATAGAATTTTCAATGTACTCTCGTTACTACGAGACTTATCGAATAGAAACTCATCATGTAATTAGTAGCTGCCGCGTGTGTTATTATAATCTGTCTTTTTTCGAGATGGAGTAAAATGACTGTTCATTGGGCAAGTGTTGCCCGTTCACAAGCAGCAAGTGATAATCGATACCTTCAATGAACATTATGCCACCTTAATTTTTGGACCTGTTCTATGCTTATTTTGTTGTTTTTTTTTTTTTCACAAAATTCGTTTTTTTTTTGTTTTCCCGTGTTTGTTTTTTTTTCTTCATTTATTCACAAAATTCGGAGAGCATAATATTAGTAAATGGATAGTTATCTGTTTACAAAAATAACAGAAAGTAACCAAAAAAATAAGTTGGCGTAGGGTTAATTGGAGGTATCGAAATATTCAATCGGCTATCAACTGAATGTTGATTACGCTTATACAATAAATACCAAAATTGGTTTCATTTTAATCATCATCGGCCCATTATTCGTCAACTGCTGGGCATAAGTTCATTTGAATTGTCAATTTTTGTAAGTTCATATACACATGTACTGCATTTAGAACTATGTCTATTAAAAATACAAAGGGAGACATATTTTAAAGTTTTCGATTTTAATTCAATATAAATAAATTAAATCCGCCTGTTTTTGTTAAAAATCATATGAATAAAAATTGAGTTGAATACTAGTAGGCCAACTGTCAAAATAATGATGAAGAAAACAATAACGCATAATCATTAGAACGTCGTCGTAACATTCACAATTCAAAATTTTGGACAAAATTTTACCTTTTTCACAATCTATCGATAAAACTGTAGACAACAACTACATGACTATTTAAATTTTATTAAAACTGCCAGCCCTGCAAATGTCATTTTACTCCGTCTTCAAAAAAAGACTATAATTTATTTATTTTCTCAGTTTTTTTTTAATGATAATATATAATAATCGCACCTAAAAATTTAATTACATAATATAACATTTTTATTCACAATATCAATGTCAATTGCACATTTCTGAGAATAACTTACTCTACTTAGGTCTGTAAACAACAATATAAAAAAATAAACACAAAATTGTAAAAAATAAATAAAATATCTTTTGGTACGCAAAAATTGTACTATTATTAAGCCGCGTAAAGTTGTACTTTAGTATTTTTACTTTCATATGTGTTTTTATTCTCAAATGTTCAACTTCTTTAAGTAATAATATTATAGTGACAATTTTCGCCAATTTCAAACATAAAACATCAATTAAGTAAAAGTATTTTTTTTTTTTTGGGGTAACTTTGTATTTAGACTTTATTTACACAACCACCAGGTTGGTTATATCATCGAAAGATTAAAACAATTTTTCAAAATTAAACATCACCCGAGTAATTTAAAACAACACAATGAGGACTATCATTATGCCATAAGCTGTACTAAAAGTATGAAAGTAAAGGCCAGTTACTTCTGGACCTTCGAGATGTCGGCGGCATTTTGACATCAACGTTAGTGTTGCCAGTAGAATAAATTTAGCTCTAGGGTCCGAATGTAGTTTTAGTCAGCCTTATATAAATCACTCGCTCTTTAGTGACGTTTACAATGGTAGACGTTGTGGACCAAAACTTCCGAACACTAAGACGAAAATGTCACTATTACCCATGAATATTTGTTTCCAACAGCATGTAAATATCACTGTAATGTGCAAACAGCGGACGTACCTGGTGCATGATCAAGAAGAGCGCGTCGTCTCTTGATTCCTTCGAGATATACTTCTCTGTTGAATAATCCCGCGGCTAATGGTACTCTGTAATACGTATATACAATGGTTACATTATGTACTAATGGTTTTTATATCAATTCGTGTTTCTTTACATTTTATAAAGTAAAGGACAAAAGATTTAATCAAAGAACATGTCTCTATGTCATGTATTAGTCAGTATGACCTTCATTGAATTTAAAGTGACTTTAATAAGTTTAATGTGATTGGACATTTGAATCTTTATTTGTGATATCACCAATGGGACGAACAAGTCATGTGCCGGTGGTAAGCGACACGCCTGTCAGTTGCAGTGCCACTCAAGAGTTTTAAATCGTAAAGATCTGAGGGATACCGCCGCTGCGCCTTTCACCCTGAGATAAAGTGACAAGTCTCATGTGTCTGTAATTCTACCAGCACCTTTACCCCGGAACGCAGTAATGCTCACATTACTGTTTGACGGCAGAAATAGGCAAAACGGCAGTACTCGCCTGGACTCTCTTTCACGAGGAGCTCTACTGCTCCTAAAACAATCTTCCATCGTATATTACGTGATATGAATGCCATGAACAATAGAATGGATTTCATATTACCAATGTCAAATATTACAATTTAAAATACAATATCAAGAGATAATATTATGATCGTCACTAATGTAAACAATAATTAATGTAAAACAAATATTATACGAACTAATATTCTATAAATTTGTGTCGAACAAAACGCAAATTATCATCAAACAAAAATAAAATTATAATTCCTTCGAAAGACTGCCTCCGTGGCCGAACGGTTAACATGCTGGACTACCACTGGAGGTCCAGAGTTCGATTCCCAGGCCGGGAGAAATATGTGAATGGTCTACATTTATTTCTCTCGTGAGTTTGGGTGTAAATTGTGGTTGTCTATATGTGGTCCATGGCACCCATTTTCCCTAGTGTGGGGCTATGAGTTTGTTGCGATATTATTATTATAAGAAATTACACTATAAAATTATTATTATCCAATAAAAGGAGTTTCAGTCGCGTAAAACATTTCGTCGTTTGTAACGCGTTAGATTTGCAGGTAGGTGTTCGTAGAATCTGGGACTTATTCGCGGGTTTCTCGTTACGAGCACGAATTCCTATACTGAAAATGAATGAATACTTACACGTCAGTGCCGGGGCGCAAAGAAGCTGAGAACAGTGCCCAGACAGGTTTATGATCACTAGTGCATACGGACTGAACGGAGTTGTACGCGATACACTTCAGACCCGAAGGAGGCAGAGGTACCACGCTTAAACGACGAAGGGCTGCAAAGTAATGTTATAACCATATAAGAGGGGAGGAATGTATTCCGCTCTAACCACTCGGCAATGTAAATGCATTGGAAACATTGCTCTGTTCTCGACTACTTCACCAATACAATGTTTTTAAATTAAAGGACTTGTAGTGACTACTTAACAACTTTTCCGTTAAGTAGTCACTATGATTTTTAATTAAACTGCCTCCGTGGCCGAACGGTTATCATGCTGGACTACCACGCAGAGTTAGATTCCCGGGCCGGTAGAAATATTTGTATGGCCTACATTTATTTCTCTCACGAGTTTGGGTGTATTTTGTGATTGTCGACGTGTGGATTTCCCTAGAGCGGGGCTATGAGTGCGTTATCATTATTATTAATTTTAAGGCTCTTCACTAGGATTGCGTTATTAAACAGTTTACCAATATGGACTGACTAATGCGAGTTGGAAATTCCACAATCTATGCAAGGAATGTTCGAGAATATTTCTTAAACGTACAGGATTCCAGGCGATAACGAAAAATATGCATACCAGAAAATGCAGATGACGAAGTAGCTGACATAGATTTAGATTTGTACAATATTCGGTCTGTATACGCGGGAGCTCGCTGTTTGCTCGATGTGTCAAACTGTTGGCTTCCTGGATCATACTGAAAAAAAATCTGATTATGAATAGTCTATACTAGTCTATACCTCTGGTGTACCTCAAGGTTCGGTTCTTGGCCCAGTACTCTTTACATTATTCATAAATGATATTAGCGAGTCTATTAAAAACTGTAAATTTGAACTTTTTGCAGATGACTTAAAGTTATACCGTACGGTTGATTCTGTAATTGATTGTGAGCTAATACAAGATGATTTAAACCGAATATGGCGTTGGTGTACGGTAAACAATATGTATTTAAATGTTAAAAAATGCTTAAGTATAAACTTTACTAGGAAAAAACATCACATGCAATTTACATATAAGTTCAGTAACAACCCAATAGAAACGATTGATGAAATACGTGATCTGGATATTCTACTGGATAGCAAGCTAGCTTTCCATTCTCACATTAACGCTATTGTTAAAAAAAGTTTTCGAATGTTAGGTTTTTTAAAACGACATACTAAGTTTTTCCACAGTTCAACAAAAATAATTCTATTTAATTCCTTAGTTCGTAGCCACTTAGAATTTGCATGTCCAGCTTGGAATCCCCAGTACGCTGTGTTATCACAGCGTATTGAGTCCGTTCAGCGCTCTTTTACTCGGCACTTGGCCTATTTTAATTCTGACATTTCACATAGATGCCTTTATAATCAAAGATTAACCTTTTTTAAACTTGAATCTCTTCAAGAGCGGCGGGTTAAGCACGACCTCATATTTCTTTACAATATATTAAACAATAAAATAGATTGCAGTAGTATTCTAAGCCAAATTGGTATGTCAGTCCCCTATAAATATCCCCGAAAACCTTGTAAAACTGTCCATATTCCCTATTGTCGTACTAATATCCGATGTCACTCGCCTATTATAAGAATGTGTAAAACATACAACGAAAGAAATGTTATTGGTTCTGATTTAGACATATTTAGTGATAATATACATTCCTTCAAAGGAAAACTAACTAAAAATAATAATTATTAATAATAAAAAGTTCCTCAAGTATTTCTCAGTGTGTTCTATTACTAACTTAAATTATTTATGTATATTAATTTGTCGAAAATTTTAATTTAGTTTGTCTGTTGTTTTGAGATTGCTGTCGATACTTGTAATTGTTGTGTTTACAATGTAGAACACCCTAGTCATATAAGCTCAAAACGTTTTGTGAACATAATGTTAGTATTGCTAATAATAAATAAATAAATAAATACTAACGACGAACTATTTTTCGGATCTAAACTCGGATATTTGATTTTTCAAACAAACCAACGTACCTGCTCAAGTTCTCATGGTCTAGGCTAGTCAGGGCCCAAAATATTGGTTTGTTTGAAAAAACAAATACACGTCATTTCATGTGTAACAATCGCGAAAATCTAAGAACTCGATATAAATGTTTAAAAAATTAATAAAGTTAGAATAGTGTCAAAGTGCAAGACCGATATTAAGATCTCACTTAAGTCATCTATATTTATCAATATAAATATATTACTTGAGTACATATCATCGATTATTTATTGATTATTTGATTTATGCGTCATTTCAGAGTTGTTGAAATTTCCGAAACATCTATGTCTAATCAAGCTACGGCTCAAAATCGTTAACCCCTTATGAATCAAGTGCACTTGAGATGGTATCATCCAAATGCCGATGATTACAGAAGGTTGAGATGTACTTCCAAATCTGAATGACATCTCAAGAGTCGCGATAAAGATAGACACTTTGTGTCTTATGTTGATTGCAAGCAATCGGAAACTATATTCTAGGGAATATCCTATTTTAATTACTACTATTCTAATAACGAATACAGTCGATGCTCTAAGACACCTGACCCCCTACTGACTATTTGGTTCTGTCTGGACAAGCGTGAAGAAAAGTGTTAAACAAACGTAGCCTTTAACTCGTGAACTGTAAAATTTTATCACTAGTTAATTACGTTTTAAGAAACTTTTTAAGGTAATTTGATCTTTAAATTGTAAGCTGGAATTCCTTTAACACTTTTCTGTTAAATGCGTAAAATGGCTCTCAGAACCAAAAGGTTGGCTAGAGGGTCCAATATGTTAGGGCATTTCGGAGCTATTTGTACAACCCTTTATATTGTTAAGCACAGTACACTTATTTTTTAACTTCTTAGTACCTTGTAGGTAGGCGGAAAGGTGATGGGTGCTTCTCTAAAATCTCTAAAGGCGGCTCCATCTTCCAGCACAGCTGTCAGTTGATCCGCATGCAGGAGTCCGTGCGGCAAATGCGCGGGTAAGGGAAACTAAAAAAGACTTCGACGTGTAGAATCCATTAACAGATATTACCACATTTTATAAGCAGCTCACAGTTAAAATTGAGCCGTCTTGACATGTGAACAGTGACCGCTGACTAATTTTAGTTCATTATTTTACACTTACAAGCACAAAGCCAAGGATAGTCTGATAGCATTGATATACATATTTATATTCTGTGTTTTCAGCTCAGTGTTGCATTTTTTCTACCAATTATTTGACAAAGTTTGACGAAGTAGTTAAAACGGCAACACTGAACCGGAAATACAGAATATGAGTGCCACTCCGGGCTGTCATTCGCCTTTCGCGGTTCTTTGAATTACTGAAGATCATGGGAGGTACCTATCTATGCCTTTAATTCGTGATGGAACCTCTTAAAGGAGAAATTTGGCCACTGGTGATAATTTACTAACCTGAGTTTTTTCTATCCATTGTAAGACGGCAGCCCTGGGCTCACCCAATCGAAAGTTTAAATCACCGCACCAAAATACGTAATCGAAATTGTTTGTCAAATCTAAAAAAAAATGTTATCTATGTCATTAAACTATCAATTCCTGTATATTAAAGATTTCGTTGATTAGATAAATTGATTTTTTGTGATACAAAAGCATTAAGTTCTTTATCAAACTGGCTTCAGAACAGCGATATTTTTCATTGTTTTCCTTAACTATGGGTTAGTATGTGCACATTTCATTTAATCGTACTCTTTCCATTGTTTCCAAGCAAAAACAATTATTCTGCGAAAGTTAACCTTATCTCCCAAAACATAAAATGATTGTTACGCTTTACGTACTAGTGATTAGGTGATAGCATTCTGATTTGCAGTCCTTCAACGGCTAAGTTGTTTGATTTAATGGAGAATTTCTTTTTGTAATAAAACTTACCTTTACTCTTATGCCTACAAGGCAAATTCTTAGGCAAGTCAATAGATCTAATAATCCTTTTTATATCTGAAACTCGTTCTTTAACTTTTTCCTGATGAGCAGTCAAATGTGCTGTGACGAAAAGGAATGTAGAACCGAATAATGCAAAGGATATAGCGACAGCTCCTTTAGTTCGAAAAGCAATCCCGGGCCGTACAGATAAGCTCGCATCTTCAGGAAGGGAACAGTACCAGATCAGGTCCCTACGTATGAAAACTGTTAAGTGAAGTGTACCTAAAACAATATAATTTTTGTTAATAAATTAATCCAAATTCAAAACATACATGACTTATGGTAAGCGATACGCCTGTCCATGACAGTTGCAGTGTTGTTCAGAGCTTTAAATCGCAAACATCTGAATTGAAAAGTCCCGTGTACCTGTATTTTCACCAGCACCTTTCAAAACCGAAATGCAGTAATATTCTCACATTACTGTTTGGCGGCAAAAATAAGTAAGGTGGGAGTACTTCTTTGAACCAATTCTTTCACAAGGAGCTCTACTGCTACTAAACTATTCCAATAATACATTGATTACTTTAGCCAGAAATAAAACGAAACGATCTAAAACATTTTTACCATAGATTTAGTATTGGGTATGTATATACTAAATCTATGATTTTTACCATTTTCATACATATCTGTCATGTTTAATAACATGACAAAACAGCATTTTTGTCTTTGATTTTTTTTGGCAAAAATCATTTTTAATCTGACTAAATTAGTATAAAGTTATAAAGCTTCATGAATTTTATTTACATTCTATAGTATGAATGCGGTTGTAAGACCCTGAGAATACAATTTTGTGTATGTAGACAAATAAAATTAATGTTTATTAAGAAAATTCTGCATTTTAGGAAAAACTGATTTAATTGAGCATAGCATTATCTGTTTATATTAAAGATAAATAATTATCTTATGTAAGTTTTGAAATCTGGCAGTGCATTGATACAATATGAGACAGAATGTGTTGTTAAAAAATTTTATGATAAACATACATACCTAAATAAGAAGAATGTAGTAATAAATGGGATGGTCCCAAAACCTCCTGAATAGTGATTTCCCATTCTGTTCTTTCCGAAAATGACTCCTGTGTGCCAATAGCAAATATATCAGGCACATGCTTCACTTGATTTGGAAATATGAAGTCTGCCAGTTCCCTGAAAAAGTAAAAATTTGATGAAAACTAAATAATGTTTAGGAAATGAAACTATTTTTCCAGATTTAAATCGAGTATATTTGTTTTTTTTTTTTTTCAAACAAACCGACGGTTTATGCAGGTCGCACAGAGGATGCAGGGGTTTAGAAGCTTGACTGTGAGTGCGGTCTCTCTTATATTGGACAAACGAAGCGAAGTATTTGTACCTGCGTCAAAGACCATATAGCTGATGACAAACACCGTCGCGTAAACAAGTCTGCAGTCTGCGAGCATGTCATGGATAAACCTATACATTCAATGCAGTTTAACAAACCCCAGGTCCTTGCAAAAGAAGGCCATTATCTACCCAGGATGCTGCGAGAGGCCATTGAAATTAAACACATCCTAATTTCAACAGGGAAGATGGATTCTCTGTACCTCCAGTTTGGGATCCAGTTTTCCTGTGATGAAAAATCCCAAATAGACATAAGACTGCAGTATTAATTAATATGTTTTAATTTATTCTAATTTCCATTATTTATTAATAATAAATTCAACTTAATAAAAAATGATATTGGAGATGAAACTATTTTTCCGGATTTAAATCACGTATATTTCACAGTCAACCATGACCATGGGATCTGTAAAGGGCCCGAAACGTCAGTTTGTTTGAAAAAACAAATGTACGCAATTTAAAGCCAGAAAAATAGTTTCATTTCCTATGTGTAACAATCGCGAAAACCTAAGAACTCGAAAATTGATATTGTTAAATTAAAATAATTTGTGAAACATAACGTAGCGTAAATTGAAATGTTCTTTATAAAATAAAAACTAAGGTATTACTTAATAACTTTTGTAACTACAGTAAAAAAATAGGGTTGTTTGCATTAATATTAGACATAACTGGTTGATGACTGTACCACCACAGGTAACCATGACAATGAGACCTGTAACAGTCCCGAAATATCAGTTTGTTTGAAAAAACAAATATATGCAATATAAATCCAGAAAAATAGTTTCATTTCCTATGTGTAACAATCGAGAAAACCTAAGAAGTCATAAATTATGATCTGCACGATAGCAATTTGTGAGGAATTCTGTAGTATGTGCTTATTATATTATCATCACAAATAACTTTCTTTTCACTTATGTGTAAATTGTATAGAATTGTTTCAATTAAAATAAATTTTTAATGTACACTTCTATTATTTTCTGTAGTATATTTCATTTATAATAAATTAAACTAAGATTGTATTTCTCATTTTGCAAGTTGCTTGTTATAAATTGCTGCTTACTGTATTTGTGTCTTTGGTCACAATAATAAATAATGTTTTGATCTGAAAGAAGTTACCTTGGTGGAGCTTGTCCATTCATATTCCAAGTACCAACAAATATCTTTACTTCTCTATCAGGAAAAACATGCTCTAACTCTGCGGCTCCTAACAAAGACTGAGATGCCAATCTTCCATATAAGAAATTTCTGCAAAAACCATAATATTCTCTTGTTAACTTATGAACATAAAAATTTTTAAAAGCATTGCATAAATAAATGGATTATAATGTTCAAAAAGAAGGTAAAGGAGCAAAAAGCTCCTTTATAATGCACTTTTTTTAATATCTTTTAGTATGTATACTCCATGCTTCAAGATTATAAAGTGAGTGATGGTCAAGTTAATATGGTACAGTATGAAAAATATTCCTGTTTTTTGATAAACACATAATGACAAATCCATTACAAATATGATTACTTAAATAGCAATTAAATGTTGAAATAGGGTGCACAAATAAACTATGTTTTGACTGTATTACTGGACCACTTAGTTTGTGTGAACCACCTAAGAACTTTATGCAATGAGAGAAAATACAATGTAAGCTACTATGGAAATGAAACAGGTAAAAAATAAAACCTCTCTCGAGCCTCTTGTGTGGGTATTAGCCTGAGAACCTGTGCAGCAAGCAGAGAGTTGCGAGCTAAGCTGTCGGTGCTGCCAGCACGGGATGCCGACCGTGTGATGGTTGACTTGGTCCTTGTGTACAAATGATTTTGCATTAGACCATATTTAACTTTATCTATAATATAATTTAAATACACATCCCTGTAAATTATATGACAATATAACATACCTTCTCTTTCTGTCCAAAGAACTACTTCTATCACTTTCAGGTGATGATGAGCGATAAAGAGGTTTAGTATCATTAGTTATTAAATGATCAGCTGACAATCTCTTCACAAATAATTTATTCTTTGTCTTAATGCCTTCAAATGATCCTGAGTGTTCAAAAGACTTTTTCATGTCATCTTTATTCGGAAATTTTATCGTAGCTTTAGCTATTTCATCAGATTTTGAATGATGTGAGTAAATTGCTTGGTCATCTAGACTGCTGTTTCCATTGTTAGCTGGGCTGCAAGGCCCAGAGATTACTTCGACTTTAGAAATGTTTCCTTCTACTAAACTTTTGGGGCGCGATCTTTTGAAGAAAGTTTTACAACATTTTTGGTTATTTTCGTCGTCTTGGTGAGTCCGTTCAGTGTCTCTACTTAAGTTGTTAACAGTAAGTTCCCCTGTTGAGTTCCTCACGGTGTCTGACAACTCACCACTATAGTTGATGTGTTGAGCACTCTGAGCCAAGAAAGGATCTACGGGAGATATTGGACGTGAAGCAGGTTGAGTGAATTCGTCTGCTGAATCGGTATCCACATAGCAGCCCACTTTAGGAGACTTTTTTACAAATAGCCGTTTCCGCAGCGACAATTTTTGTTTGGTCCGGGTGGGTGATGTTGTCATATTGTATTTTACAACACAGAAACGACTAATTTATGTTACTAATTACATTTTTTACTAATTATAGACAACATAACCTATTACGTCTCAAAGTGACATTTTGCAACAAGGAATCTGTCAAAACGATGATCTCGGAAAATTCGGATACGTAAGAAGAAAATAATCTCGTCAACTTTTGCGAAGAAGTTCTATTTATAACAAAATTTGTCAATAGCTCGTACAAGCAACAAACACAATTAACTGGCCGGGGTTGCATATTTCATGCATCACTTAAGTTACTATGACGACGATAACTCATACATGCATTCATACAATACATAATAGGCAGTTAGTGTGACTACGATTGTGTACTTAACCATTCAATTAAGCCATTTATAGCAAACAAAATACAAACAATAGAAGGTTATCATGGACCACAGTCCACAATACAATACCTTTACGATTATTATACCAATTTTGTTTAACTTCGTTCTTTAAAATTTAGGGCTAAGGTTATGTAGTTATATGTTCTATTAAATCGTGATGAAAGTAATAGTAAAGTAAATAAAAAACAACGTAACGGTATATGTGATTTATAATCATTGCCGAAACCAATACAAACAAACTGCTCTTCACAGCTACGGAGCCGCCAGTTCCAGGGACGAGTAAGTTTTCTCCAATGTATGGAGGAGTAGGAGATAGATTCCCACCTACAACGGGTTCAATACCATTACCTGTAAGACATAAAATAAACCCTTAATACCATCATATTTATGGTTGTATATCATAGTGGGATATAAACTTACTTGTTCGAGTAAAATAGTTTGAATACAGTCACACGCTACGCTAGGTTTGATATCCCGTGCAACTTAACTCACAAGATTGTGAAAGTAAGTAATACAGGAACAATGTAATCGAAATCATACAAATCAAATATTTACCTATGTTGCAAAGATCATTTGTGCAGGCTCGATAGAATGTGCGGAAGGTGTCGTCAGTTATTTCATGATTAAGATGGTCCGGGTGATCATCGCATCCTCGCATGAAGCTCGAAATCCTCCCAGCAGGGTCCTAAAACATTATATCGCTTTGTAACTGTTTGAACTAACATTAGGCCAAAATAAATTCTTAAGTAAGTATTACTTATTTCATGACATGATTTCATAAACTTCAACAACTTGAAAAAATCTTGTTTAAAAATAATTGCTTTAATCGGCAAGCAGGCATTGGGGCTAAAAGCTGTCGCTGTTGTCAACGTTTCGATAAATTAAATTGGTAGGTAAGATAACCTCATAAACTAAACTTTTCTTATGTCTCTTTCTATGATACTAGTAAATATGTAATAGTACTAATATATAGTAACTAATAACAATAACTTACTAGAAATTCCTGACGAATAATGGTGCAATAGCGAAAAGGGCAGTCAACGGAACGAGTTCTATCATTTATAGTCAGGCATGATTGGTCAGTTTCCGATGACGAGAACGAACATGCGTAGCAACGAAGTGTAGCTGTGAAACAAATTGTTATATTACGATAATCGAAATTTGAGTGTACACTACATCCCCCCACACATCAAGCTATAACGTATCTATAGGAAATGAAACTATTTTTCCCGGATTTCAATCGCGTATATTTGTTTTTTCAAACAAACCGACGTTTTTACAGGTCCCATGATCACGGTTGAAGGACTTTTGACAGTTTATTTAGTTCTAGCTATGGATAAAATAATCCAATAACATGAAGTGCACAACTCATTAACATATAGAATTGATAATAAATGCTTGTCGCCATCTGACATACGGATATCCTTCGAATTACTTAACCGCATAAAGTTCAATCAAACTAATTTAAGTATATAATTCACTTACCATTTGAATTTCTTATAAACAATGCACTAAGCACCAAGAAAACAATTTGAAATTTCATTTTATTTAACCTACAAACATTGTATATTTACAACTGTTCCTTAAATAATAAAATTTCATAATTTTATGTCGTTATCTTAATCAAAGGCGTCACGATTATAAGTATGTACCATTATCTATTTCGAGTAAAACAATTAGGTACTTATCTATTAACTCAAGGCAAAAGCAATCAACGCCACAAAGTCATTTTCTTTAAAAAAAGATAATAGAAAAAAAGAAATGTGCTTAATAAGACAAAAACATTATTAAAACATATTTTATTACGAATTTATGCATCTACATACTGCTGAATTAGAAATGAAAGCACTACATACAGTTATTATTAATGATATTTATGCAAGCATATATACCTAAGGTTTATTTACAAAGAATATAAGTGTGACACATGAGTAAAATACATTCTCGAACTCATAATACGAGCCACCTTGCGTTTTCAGTATTAAATATGTTTGATTTGCCAAAAACTATTAAGCAATTTGAAACTGATATAGTAAACACCATTTTCATTTGTCCCACCACCCGTCCCACTTCTCTCAGGCGAGGGTTTAGGCCCAAGATGGCCTGGCTTGGGGACTTCACACATTTTCCGAGGGCTGTTAACCTTCTTCGACGTACAGGTTTCAACACGATATTTTCCTTCAGCGAAAAGCACATGATAAATTTCGAATTAAATTTCGCACATAAATTCCAAGAGACTTAGAGGTGCGAACCCGCGTTCGAACCCACGACCTCTGCTTGAGGTCGTGGGTCTGGTCGATAGGTCAAACTATTAGGCTACCACGCCTTTTGTCCTTGTTAAAAATTTGAATTTGTAAAACCAAGGAAAACTTCACCTTCGATGACAACAATATTTGTGTATCCTAGCCCTTTAAACACAATATGCGGGGTGGCTCGATTTATATGTCCATACATGTATATGACCATATTTCATTGTCTAGTAAGTACTAACTACTAAGGTACATGCATACTAAAAGTACCTTACAGACGACGTTAAATTTAATAATTGGCATGGAAGAAAATGTTACTACACCTTTGTATTTTAAACGAAAGCAAATTCTAAGCTAAGGCCTTACCATGAACTCTTATTACTATTCAGTGTGAGACCTAAAATGAATCGTTGTGAGTGCTACATGAAGTGTGTATTACTATCCCGCTTTTTTGTCGTTTCGAACCTATACTGAACTGTAATAAGAGTTCATGGTAAGGCCCCTGTTCTATTATTAATTGATAACAGAAAATCAGTTGATAGTTCATTCCTTATAACGATAGCAGCCGGTAGCAGCGCTATCAATGAGAACTGCTTTAGAATTTCTCGAAAAACTGAAATCATCACGTTATGTTTGCTAATGCATACATATAATTTTAACACTTGGTTTTTTTAAATATTATTAACAATTTATAAGTCGTAGCATTATTAGTAGGTCGTATTTCCTGTGAATATGAGGTCATGTTACACTTCAGTGGGTTAAACAGGAAAATTAAGAAATATCAGTGACTTCCGACTGTGTCGTCGTCTTTTGACGTTGCCTCATTTCCCATCTATGTGTAAGTATCTCAAGAAATAGTAAGGCAAACGCCAGTAGCGCTCCATATAAAAGCATCAAAAGTAAAGGATAAACATCCACCAAGTTAACTGAAGCAAAACTACCCCTACTCGATTGGCAGACGGGTTTCGTGGAAAATAACTTGCGGTTTAATTGAGAATTTAGTCCAAACTCACGAATTCTGTATACGCTGCAATAAAAAAAAGCATATATAGTACCTTGTCTTATTGACATACATCTACTACGCAAGAATTTTCCTTCAACGTTTATATCAACTCTTCATCAATCTAGGAGCTCGACTACTTATTACCAATTTTTACAATTTATACGGTATTCGTATAGATGAAAATTGTAGGTTGCATGAGCTACAGATACTGTAAGGGCAACAAATAAAATATGACCAACTTCTTGATCTACATTTCAGACGTCAACAGTTAAAGTGCACGGCTCATACAAACTTATCCAATAACACTGTAATTTTGTTCTGATATTGTTAATATCAGTAGGAGTAAAGCTCCTTGTGAAAGAGTTCGTTCGTAGGGAAGAAGCAATAATGTGAGCATTACTGCATTCCGGTTTTGTAAATTTAGTGTGCAGGTGAAAACACAGGCACATGCATAGATTTAGTATATAGGTACCCATGGGACTTGTCAACTTATGTCTCAGGGTGACGGACACAGTGGCAGAGCCCCTAAGATCTTTGCGATCGCTTTAAAGCTCTCAGTGGCGCTGTATTAACTGTCATTGACAGGCGTGTTACTTACCATCAGGCGCACGACTAGGTAGGTATTTGTAGGTGTGTACGAGTATGTGGATACATTGTGTTATTGTTATTATAGATTCATTCTCATAAAAAAAATCTTTGATGTAAGTGCTCTCACGGATAGATATCGTTGTGTCTATTTACTACAGAGAAGATGTACTTATGTAGATACTGTACCTACCTAATAGGTATTTGCAATGCAAGATACCTAAAATCCAAAACCACTGGAACATACTAATAAGTACTACTGGGATAAACGAGCTGCACCTACGCACCTCAACTTGTACAACTGAGCGTACGGAGAGTCCTTCTTACAGGTCGCCCAAGGTGATTGAAGAGGTATGAATTCAATTTCTTGAAGTCCACATTTCTCATGTTCATGAAAAAGTTTTTCAACTACTCTGTAACCAGCGCCTAGATGCATGTTGAAACCGAAGGGACTCTGAAATTAGTCACTTAAGTAGAACATACAGTATATAAAACCAAATAATTTTTAACAAACTAAAGCGTGAAACACACAGAGAAACGGGTGGGGGTCGGGCGCGTGTCGGGTCGGGAGCACGACAGGTGTAATTCCTTGTATTTATATGTGCGCGGGTCGGATCTCGCGCACGCTCGTGGTTTGTTATCGTCCAATACACGAAATTACGCCCGCCGTGGTCCCGACCCGAAACGCGCCCGACCCGCAACCGCTGTCGGTGTGTTTCACGCTTAAACTTTGACTGCAAAAGTGGCGCTCGCGTGTCACGATAGTGGCGCTGGAATTACGCTTCTAAATATTGTATAAAAATTAAACGTGGTGCCACTACAGCATTTCTATAAGCATCTAATTTGAAGGCGCCCTTAGATAAATAAGTACTCGGCTCACGTAAACTTACGGTTTGTAGTTTTTTTATTCCTTCTTCCAAAGTCATAAAACTATTTTTCGAAGCCATTTTTGTTTCGTATATTGCCTTTCGGACGGGATCAGTAGCCGCCTAAAAATTAAACTTTTTTTTTTTAGAATATAATATATAAATTATTCAAGACACCTACGTTACATAGCCAGTCCTATAAACTAATATATAAAGGCCAGTAACCTATACCTTAAAGTGATAGCGATTATATGAAGTATCTTCAGAACCAAGTTCTAGCCTGGATTCCAGAAGGTCTTTCAAAGTTCGGATCTGTTTCGAACTTGATTGCAATAACGCGACAATGTTCGCAGAGTAGGAAGTGTATAGAAACAAAAACACCATGAATAAAATGAAAACAACGAGCCGACCTACTGTACCTGAAACATTCCAAGAGAGAAAGCGATTTATGTTTATAACTAAATATTTATAGGTACTTACTTACGTATAATACCTACTACGAATGGTGGCTCAAAGTAATCTAGGTACCTAAGTATGAAATAAAAGACGACTATAGCAACTTTTTTATAATTTGAAATGTAGGTACGGACAACAGCACAATAGACTACACATTTTTGTTCGAGAATCGCCTCTAGAGCAACAGAACAAGATACGTCAATGTGTAGCTTAATGTGCTGTTGACTGTACATATGTAGGAAATGTACAAACAGGAAATGCACTTGTTATATTATGAGTTAGCCTATTTAAAAAAAGCTAGGGCTCCTTTTTAAAACTTTTATCTTCAGCCATTATGTCCATGCGAACATGGACAAAATGGCTGAAGATAGAAACACAACAAACGACTAATTTAGAAAATAGAATAAACACCGAATTCGTCACGATAGTGGTCAGTATTATTTTTTAATTAGAAATGGTTATAAGAGATTACTTTTCAGCCACCCCTCGTAAATATTTCATTATTACTAGGTAGAACTCACGTCTTTTATTTTCACTTTACCTTTAAGTTCAATTGAACTCCCCTGCTGAGCAATGGCACTAATGACCAACATTGTCATATCACTAAAGTTGGGTTTAGCATTTTGCTTTGCTTGATTCTAAAATCAATAATTACTTAAATGATTATCATTGTTCTATTAACCATCTGACCGCCACTGACAAAAACTATAGTTTCGTTCCATGAACGCCAAGCCTATAAAGTGATGTGACATGTTATGAATTTCCACCTTATATTAATTTATTTCTCCTTAGTTAACGAAGAACGTAACTGAACATGAAATGCAGTTAATAATCCATACTTAACTAGAATATACAAATAATACAAGGAATATTTTAATGTTTATTTATTAATTTTAATTGAAAATTAAAGAGTTTCATTGAGGCGTTGGTGTCAGCCAACTCAATGTAAGATACTTTAACTCGTCCACGACGGTCAAAGGGTTAAGTTTGTTATTGCCAACTTACCTATTACCGAGTACTTACTTGCCCATCATTTTCATGCATTTTCGACTCCCAATATGAATTAATATATAACATGACGAGCAGTAGGACCACGAAACCAGCGGAACAAATCCAGACTCCGGTCCCGAAGGGTAAAATAAATAAATTGTTTTGATAAGACAGTGGTGGTTCCCGGAACACAAATTTCACTCCTGAAGTAACCGTATTTGTTATGTAGTACAGTACGTCCAGGCGATCTAGTGAAAAAAACATTGGACATCCTGAAAATAAAAATAATTCCCTATATTGACCAGTAGGTACGTACCCAATGATATTATACTTATGTGTATGTACCTTTATAAAAGAAAAACCACCCTCAAAAGTTAGTGAAATTCACGTGAAATTACATCTACATATTTGCCATGTGTTATAGAAATCGTTTAACGGAAGGTGGGTAAAATCCAACAAACCGGATTCATCCCTTCATTTACCACCCTTAGAGGTGCATTATTATCTTCAAAGTTGAACTGGACCACTACTAACCCCCCTACTAGACCTCTTCACATACCTACAAAAAATACAGTCGAATTTAGAGCCTCCTTTTTTGAAGTCGGTTAAAAATACGGTAAGATCATGACCAGTAACCTAATTATCCATAATTGGATTTATTGCACAAGATAAAAATACTTATAATACGTTAGTATATAGCTCGTTTGCGGAAGCCAGTTGTCGGAAAAGTGAAATAACAGATTATACATATATTCAAGCATTTAAATAAAATAGGTACCTATGAGACGCTTAGTAAGGCGAAAATCATGAGGTCCATTCTAAGATAGTAGTTCATAAAATCGGTGATCATTACTGTGACAATGATATCTGCAGTAGGTACATTACAATTTTTATTTATACCAAACAGAACATAGCGAATAAAAAATTAGGATAATACTTAATTATGGTAAATAGCCAACCTGTAATCATTGACCACATTATTCATTAATCGTAATAATTGCCGACTTTTAAACAAATGAATAATCAATATCTACCTAGGTTCATCTATAGGTACCTACGTCCCTGATTAAAGAAATATGTGATAAGATTAAGATCTACTTAATATATCTATATACCTACGTTAAAAGAAAGAAAACATTGTGATGAAACCTGCACGTCGAAGATTTACAGCCCTCGTAAAACATTTGAAGTCTCCGACCCGCATTGAACCAGCGACGTAGCAGACTATGGCCTACAACCCTCGCCTGATATGAGACCCGGGCCTAGTAGTGGGGCATATAAATGAGTTATTGATGAAATTACACTTGAAATCGTCATATTTATTGCATGAAAGGAGCTACCTCGCACGACGTACGTAGGTGCTGAGAAGGTTGTAAACCGCAAATGCGCCGTGATGACAACGATCGCGGCAATAAAATAGGATACTGCGATCCAGAGAAATTTATTCCAAAGTAAAATCAAGAAAAAAGGTCCGAAAGGGCCGAGTTATACAGTATTACTAGGTTACATTGGTATTAAAATTGGCACATGATTTAGGTTGGGAACTGGTAAAAGGATAAAAATTAGACGAGTAGCACTGCTCGTTAGAGCGATTGAGCAGAGAGTGACGACGGAACGAAACAAAATGAGAATGGCGAGTCAAGGGTATTAAAGAACGATTCAAAATTTTAAAACAAGTAGCCATCAGGAACCAGAGAAAAGGTGATAAAAAGGTGGGATGACGATGGAAGGAGGTCATATCGTCACAGTAGGTACTTTCCTTTTCTGTACTTCTAGTGCACCCTGGGCAGCAATCGGCGAGTACCCTACGTTGATTGGTAAATCCTTTCATCACATGCCACGCATTATAGTGCATGCCATCGATACGATAAGAAAAAGTTATATTCGTAAAGCAGATTTCCCCTGAGAAGAATGAGCACGAAATTCTTAAGGTTGCTATTTGTAAACCTAGCCAGTGCCTAATTTACATTGGCTTAGTTCATAATACTTAATATATCTAACCTATAAGTTCTGCTTCTCCTCGTACAATGTATCCAATTTGTCCATTCCAGGAGCCATTTACGAAATATCCCCATGTGTCCGTGAATATCATAGTCCTCGTTGCATTAATGAAGTCACAAATCATAGCGGTATAACGATAGCCGTGTATTGCCGGTTTATTCGAGCCATGGCTACCAAAAGATATATACATAACACAAATGGAACAAATGACCATCCAAAAAACGCCTGAAATATTACTTGTTATAAATAAATATTACTCGAAATACTTTACATCAATTCTTCCAAGTCCAAATATGAATTTATTGGGACTGTAAGCGCGAAAGTAATTGGTATAGGTTCCTTTCCCAGATTTTTACGACGCAAGAAAGTCGAGGTCGTCATAGAAATAGATTTTTGCAAGCCGAAAATGTTCGTCCAAGTTCCAAAGTATTCACTTATCCAGCCCAAGTGATTTGTTCTGTAAACTATACAATTCTGTATGTAATCATTGGTAAGGGGGTTCATTGTCACTGTAAGGTAAGATCTGAAAGCCAGCTTAGGTTCTTAAATAACAATAAAGCGTGTACGATAGTCAGATGGGAAACAGCTTCATGAGACCTGGGTTCTTGGGATTGGGATTTTTCGAGATCTCTCGACTGATATTTTTTTTATACTTACTCGAATATAACTCAAACACCGACTCGCCTACGTCTCGTGTAATAGTTACTTCAGAGTCAAGCAAAATGTCGAGATCTTGTAATTCAGTTGAAATCACGTCAACTCCGTTCATATATCCACCAATAATAAGCCAGCGCTGAGAATATCTAAACATTTTATTATCATTTGCCTGAAGAGGAATACGGTCAATTAGTTGGGCCAGCTGTTCTCAACCTTACCTACGCTACGAAACAAACTCCTTCAAGTGAAACTATTTTTCCGGATTTCAATAGCGTAAATTTGTTTTTTCAAACAAACCGACGTTTCGGGCCCTTCACAGGTCTCATGGTCACGGTTGACTCGGTTTGTTTGGAAAAACAAATATACACGATTTAAATCCGGAAAAATAGTTTCATTTCCTATGTGGAACAATCTATCGAAAACCTAAGAACTCGATAAACTCCTTGAAGACCAACAAAAACAGTCACAGTGCCCAAAATAAATAAAAACAGTAAAAAAGAAGCTTTTACACCCGAAGTGCAGAAAATGCGGAGTTGGGGTAGACATTTTGTTTGGACTGCTACAGGACTTACGTATTTTAAAAATTCGTTGCTTCCAAAACATTTTAACTCGACTACAATAATGGTTTGGTGGTTCCTTGTCATCCAATTTAAAGGACCCGATGGCTCTTCAACAAATCTTAATGTTTTCGGATTAGAATTTTTCGTTTTGGATAACATATTGGTTATGTTGTTTTTCTGACCTAAAGAATGAACATAGAAACTAAATGAAGTACATAACTAGATATACCTACAGTTACAAGTACATATGATGACCTAAGACCTTTAGTAAAACAAGTAAGAATAATCTAGAAACTTACGGGCATTCCAACATCCTTTAGCGATGACCGCTGTAGGAGTTTCGTAAGAGTTTACAATATCAACGATTAATTTTAATTCATTTTCTGTGTTACAGGCAATATGTAATTGAAGCTCTAAAGCTAACATCAGTAAAACAAAGAACTTTAACGCTTGCATTGTTAAGATGTTTAAAAAATGATCCTACTGTTCCCTTATAGAGATACAATAAAATAATGTGTGTGTGTGCATTGAGAAATGAACATCTTTATATAGGAACACCGGCGTAGTAAGCAGGCACACATTAACTAATTAAATATTTATTAATAATTAGCAGTGCACTGTAATTGCAATGTGAATGGAAACGTTTTTGTAATTACAGGTTTTATTAAGTGGATGACAAGAGTAAATGGCAGTAAAGAGAAGCAATATATTAATATTATTAGTAGAAAATATATTTTGCTAAAAATTTATAATAGGCACTTTGGAAATTGGTTTTGTAGCACGCTCATGCTCACAAGCCCACGAGGATATAAACTTGATCATGTTGCGGTTTTTTTTCGCGCAAATGGCACGGACTTTAATACTTGGTGCCTAGGGTACCTAGGGTGCGCCAGACGTGCAGGACAGCAATGGCACGTCATGCGGGGAGGGTTCCTTTGGGGCACCCCTATTAATAAAGGAAAAAGCGTAGAACGAGAAACAATCATGATCAAATACATTTTGCGTCCTCTTGTTCCAGAGTGGTCATGCTCGAAGTTTTGAAATTTGACTAGCCAGGTAAAAATTTGCCATTTTGTCGATTCTAGTCGCAAAAAATTTGATTTAGTCGGTCCGTCATTCAAAAGATATGTGTGTTTTACCATAGTATAATAAGAAAAGTAATATGACTGCATACAAACGTAGCGGTTGTATGCGCAGACGACATACGCGGCACGCTGTTACTTTGTACGGAGTTAGCATACTGGTTTTATTTAGGTACTATGGTTTTACTGTTCACGCTATCGCTAGAATAAGCTTATGCCGGCGCCACCATACCTGAATCTCAAGAACGACTACTCCTAGTGTTCCACAAATCCCCACTGGTGAGAATCTTAATACTTTATCAAATATTATACCACACAAATTCCCACCAACGTAGTACTTGCTATGCAATGGGGGTTTGTGGAGAAAAATTTCCACCACAACATTATTTTATATTAAATTTGTAGGTGACATTGACATTTGCCGTAAACACACCCGTAATAATGTTGTTCTCCCCTGACATTTTCAAGTTTCTTTTTTCATCTACTAAGCCACTACACCAAGGTCCTAAAGTAACCTTTAAAACAACATCTCAATGGATTTAGAATTAATTCTAAATAAAAGTACAAATTCTTATGTATTTAGTGGTATAAACCATGAACCCTTATGACAAATCAATTATATATTGACCAGTAAACGTAGCTTCTGCAAAGCTGCAAAGTTGCAAATTACTATATTTTACCTAATAACAGGTTCTGAGCTACTCAACAATTTAACACACACAGCATGCAAAGTAGACATACACATAGGTGTCTGCTTGTTCGGTAAAGGCCAAATTCTGGATTCAACACATTTTATGACTATTTAACTCAATATCAGTGTAATTATTCTGCAGGAATAAAATTAAAGTTTTAATTTTTTTACATTTTTATTGTCTTAAAACTTAATGTTCATTTCTTAGCCTTAGCTTCCCGTGTAGCTTTCCTCTCGGCAGCACGAGCGAGTTGCTTGGCAGGTTTCAAGTTACCCTTCTTACAAAACCGCTGGTTTCTCAAGAACTTGGGGTCCATCTGAAAATTCACAAAGGTCTTAAAGAATACAATATATCTAAAGCTATCTACCGGGAACTGGGAGTCATTGTGTACAAATATAATGAGAGCTCCAGGCTCACAGCTCTCTACATTTCATCTTGAATAATGATAGGTAGATAAAGTCATGATATGGTAGCACGTTATCCCTGGTTTGAGAAATTATTAAATAATGAAGATCAAAATTAATAACCATGAATGAATTTTAATGACGTAAATTCTGAAATAAAGCCAGTGTCCCTGCCGCTTGATCCAAGCAAAATAAACCGTCTTAATAGGGGAAAATAGGCAACAATAGATCTTTTTGTCCCATTAGTCACCATTGGTAACATATTAGTATTTGTTTTCCCCATTTGTCACCAGTTGAAATAGCCACTGGCAACAACAGATTTTTTTTTATCCCGTTTGTCACTGCCTGGTAACAAATGGGATTTTTTTCCCATTTGTCACCAGTGGGAAAAAGCCCTTGGTGGCAACTGGGAATAGCCGGAACCATTTTAATTCGAGCTGAGGTGGTATCCAATCTTAACTGGTGAGAATATATAAAAGCAAAATTGACACCTGTTTAGTTACTTCTCCCAGGGGTACTTAACATATTTAAATAATGACAGGCACATGAAATACTTAGGGTGATGAGCATGACACCCATGAGTGTGAATCTTTCATTTGTTTGTATAAAAAGCACAATAAGCAGATTAAAATGTTAATAACTGGTAAATAGTACAAAGCAATTTATTGTCTGTTTCATGTTTTGTATACTGAAGAGCCAATTTACATTTCCCTAATCAATAAAATTTACAAGTTATTAAAGGAAGGAAAATAAAATTAAACAATGTTTTCCTGTGTTTACCACTCCAAGTGGTAATGAACTTCTGAATGTGTTTTGAAGATATTTTACTTAAATTAATTTTGCAGATACTTACACCAAGGGTAGATTCGTGCCTGAACTTCGTAGGCTTCTTGATGCCATTTCTGTGAGCCTTGCGGTCTGTAAAAGTAAATTCAAAATTTAACCTAACCCACTCATAAGTAAACAAACGACTTAAAAAACATTAAGGTTGATTGGTGGTGCTCTAAGATATGGTACGGTGTTTAAGGAAATTTCAAGCCTGAATTATACTTAAATGAAATAAATCAAATCGTTATACTTACTCTGGTTGTGATTTGTGTGATTCTTTGACTTTGCCATTGCGTCGGTTTCACTTCCCTGGAAGGCAAAATAACGATGTCAATACCCAGAGTAATGAATTGAGTTGGTTTCACACTAATAGAAATTGAGTTATGGAATACGATTTATTTGATATTTACAGAATAAAGCAATATAAACACGAACACTAACCTAGAATTGCAGAAGGAAATTACAAAAAGGATCTGTCAAATTGCAACTGCCAACGTGACGTAACTTTGATCGTTCAGAAACAATATTCAATATTTTCCAAATACTTTATTTCCTTGCGCCCTTAGAATAATAACGCATAGAATGATAGTTTCATATCAAACGAACTGTCACAAGTGAGGCAAAAACCAAATTCATGTAGGCGTAAGCAACTTGTAACTACGCTCGTCGGCACGCACACAAATATACAAATAATGATGCCATGGAATAACATTTCCCTCAAAAGTGGGGAAATTGTATCTTGCTTAACTCATCATTAAGTTAAAGGTGCCTACAGATTTGCCCGACATTGTCGATCAGGTGCCTACAGATGTGCTCGGTTTTGTCGATGAAAAACGAATATAGCACTTATTTGTAAATCCAAGATGGCGGACACGATTTTTCAAAATATGCTATATGGGTATCCTTTTCGAGGTATTTGGGGATGCTCATTACGAATATGGCACTCATTTCTAAATCCAAGATGGCGGACACGAGTTTTGAAATAAATGCAATATGGGTATCATTTTCGAGGTACTTGGGGATGCTCATGACGAATATGGCACTCATTTCTACATCCAAGATGGCGGGCACGATTTTTCAAAAAAATGCAATATGGGTATCATTTTCGAGGTACTTGGGGGTGCTCATTACGAATATGGCACTCATTTCTAAATTCAAGATGGCGGGCACGATTTTTTCAAAAAAATGCAATATGGGTATCATTTTCGAGGTATTTGGGGATGCTCATTACGAATATGGCACTCATTTCTAAATCCAAGATGGCGGACACGAGTTTTCAAATAAATGCAATATGGGTATCATTTTCGAGGTACTTGGGGGTGCTCATTACGAATGTGGCACTCATTTCTAAATCCAAGATGGCGGGCACGATTTTTTCAAAAAAATGCTATGTGGGTATCATTTTCGAGGTATTTGGGGATGCTCAATGTGAATATGGCACTATTTGTAAATCCAAGATGGCGGGCACGATTTTTCAAATAATGGCAAGTTGGGTATCGTTTTCGAGGTATTTGGGGGTGCTCATTACGAATATTGCTTTTGTTTGAACTGTCGTGTTTGCCATCTTGGATTTAGAAATGAGTGCCATATTTGTATTGAACATTCCCAAACATCTCGAAAACGATACCCAACTTGCCATTATTCGAAAAATCGCGCCCGCATCTTGGATTTAGAAATAAGTGCCATATTCGAAACCTAAAACCGAAAATGCCATAAGCAAACATTAAAGAAAATAACTGTTAAAATAGATTAAAAAATCGCTTAAGAATGCTCCCCTTTTAAGAAAATAAAATATTTTAATATAAAATATTTCGCTTGAGTTACGAAAAGAAAGACATATAATAAGCTATCAAAGTTGTACTGGTGGTGCCAACACTATAGTAGAAACAAATATATAAGTACTGTAAATTTGTTGCAATATGTGCTCCAATTCAAATAAAATTAAAATAAATATCGAGTTCTTAGGTTTTCGCGATTGTTATACATAGGAATGAAACTATTTTTCCGGATTTAAATCGCGTATATTTGTTTTTTCAAACAAACCGACGTTTCGGGCCCTTTACAGGTCCCATGGTCACGGTTGACTGAGGTGGTACAGTCTTCAACCAGTTATGTCTAATATTGATGCAAACCACCCTATTTTTTCAATATAGTTACAATAGTTATTAATTAAATACCTTATTTTTAATTTTACAAAGAAAACATTCCAATTTACGCTACATTAAGTTTTACAAATTATTTTATTGAATGAATTTTTATTATATTAATTAGTACTGCACTCTTATGTCGGTTTGGGATTTTTCATTAGAGGAAATACTGGATCCCAAACTGGTGGTACGGAGAAACCATCTTCCCTGTTGAAATTAGGATGTTTTTTAATTTCAATGGCCTCTCGCAGCATCCTGGGCAGATAACGGACTTCTTTTGCAAGGACCTGGGGTTTGTCAAACTTCATTGAATGTGTAGGTTTATCCATGACATGCTCGCAGACTGCAGACTTGTTTACGCGACGGTGTTTGACATCAGCTATATGTTCTTTGACGCGGGTACAAATACTTCGCTTTGTTTGTCCAATATAAGAGAGACCGCACTCACAGTCAAGCTTGTAAACTCCTGCATCCTGTAAGGGGATGTTACATTTCACGGGTCTCAGGAACTGAGAAATCTTCCTCAGGGGCTTGAAATAGGTCTTGATAGATGCGCGCCTGAGGACTCTTCCGATCTTGTCTGTAACACCTCTCACGTAAGGTAAGATGGCAGGTCTTCGCTCGACTGTTGGTGGTTTCACACGGGACCATGGGACCTGTAAAGGGCCCGAAACGTCGGTTTGTTTGAAAAAACAAATATACGCGATTTAAATCCGGAAAAATAGTTTCATTCCTATTAAAATAAATAATTATTCAATAAAGCATGAACGCAGAGCCGTTAAAAGTATTATAAAATAATTAAGTGTCCCAATCACTTACAGGAGTTAACGAAAACATTTAATGTTTATTAAAGTAAATATTAGTTCAAGATGCGCAAATAAATCTAAATTACAGGCACCACTAAAATTTACGTAATATAATTATTTTGATACAGAATAGCAAAATGGGGAGAAAAAAAATTCGTTACTTTGCAACACTTTCGTATCTTGTTGCCGCGAAATTATTTTTCTGTTTTAGTGAATATTTACATAAAAATATGAGTTGAAACGCATTACTTACTTGTGGAATGCGATGTTAGTGTCTATTTTATGTTTGTCTGTTGTATTTTTACACCCATTTATCGCACATTTCGTCATTTTTAGCAAAAAATTTTGGAGCTGTTCGCGGTGCAATATGACCTTGAGCACTAACAGCCCGCGCGCTCCTGGGACGCGTTTGGAACCCTCTAACTTGCCTCACTTAGCGTGTGCGGGCTAGGTTTCTATGCGTTATTATTCTAAGCTTGCGCCCTTTTCAGTCTCATAAGTGTTTCAACTTAAAAAATATATAACGCAAAGAATTAACAGTGCGCTGTCCTTACAAAAACCAGGAGTTGGTCATGGTTGGACGAAGGTGGTCTAGTTTATCCAACCTAAGATGCTATCCAAATAATGGCAGAGTTAGAAATCCGACAAATAATAAACAAATCACAAAAACACACGAGGCCATCATTAAGTAAACGTCTTCTGATTAATAAGATTTTACCATATTTTGTTAGCAGTAACATTTTCATTTGTCTTGCCATTCGTCAATTTGACCAATTACCAACAGAAAACCATCTAGTAAAATTAATTAAAGCAGTTGCAAGTTCATATATTTGGGACTGGAAACGGTTGCAAAGTGGCTTAATGCTAATCTCCTTACATTAAATACTACAAAAACTAATAACATTTGAAATGAAACTATTTTTCCGGATTTAAATCGCGTATATTTGTATTTTCAAACAAACCGACGTTTCGGGCCCTTTACAGGTCCCATGGTCACGGTTGACTCTTGGTCATTTCCTATGTGTAACAATCGCGAAAACCTAAGAACTCGATAATAACATTTGCTTCTCTATTCGCAACAATACTCAACCAGACATGAACTTTGTTCTTAAAATTCACAACTGTGACATCGTCGGCAAAGACTGTGTTTGCCCAATCATTGCTAAGGTTGATAAAACTAGTCGGTGGTAGAAAGTACGTCGGTGTAGTTCTAGATCAAAATTTATCATGGTACCCTCTTCTAGACTTAGTTTCTAGCAGACTTAGGAAGTATATCTGGATTTTTAAAACGCTCAAGGACTCTGCAAATACAGATCAATCAAATTAAAAGAAGCTCAATCTAAATGATTATCACTAGTATCGGGTTTCTTACCACGGTATGACTTCTTTTTATTTTCCCGATATTTATACTAGTGATAATCATTTAGTGAATAACCACGAAAGTCTTAGAAGCTCAATCTGTACTAACATACTGCATTACAATCTGGGGTGGAGCTGTTAAATCGAAATTCATACACGTAGAAAGAGCTCAGAGATCACTATTGAAGGTAATGTATTTCAAACTCTGCAGATGTCCCACTTGTACTTCTGTTGATTTTAAGAATTCACAAAATTCAAAGTTATGACCCTTGCGTAGTGAAAAAAAGGAGATGCAATTTTGTGATTCCCTACAATACTGTAAAAACAACCTTTGTTTGTAGACAATTTAACAGACTTGCATCTTACCTGTACACTAAAATTAATAAAAATCTCTTGATTTACCCTTTAAAGCCCCACGATTGTAAAAAAGTTGTATGTGACTTTCTGCAGACTTTAAATTATGAACAGACTGAATCTCTTATGGACATCTTACAATAGATATACTGTACTCCTACATATTTTGCAAATTTACGTAAAGTTACACAAACACACACACGCAAACGCACGCACGCACGCTGTGTGCGTGCGTGCGTGCGTTTGCGTGTGTGTGTGTGTGTGGCGCATGAAAAGTCTTGTCTACAGCGAGTCAAATCCAGTTTCGTCTGTGGAAGAGTTAAAAGAAAGGATTGTGGATGCAGCAAATCAAATGAGGACAACGTTGACCACTGGAGTAGTGAAGACTGGTCTCCGTAGAAGAATGCGACAATGTATTAGAAACAGAGGCGGCCATGTTGAACATGAACTGTAGAATAACAAAAAGTTGTGTGAAAACCTGATTTAATAAATACTTTGCATGCTTACCTATTGTTTTGTTATACTTTTTAGGGCTAAGTATTAATTTTCTCCTCCACTATCGCCTATGAAACTAAGTTTTTTCAATGCATTTAAATAAAACCCTAGATTGTTATACCTTGTTAGATAGCTGATGAAACGTAGATATTTTATAACTTATCTGCCGATCAACTGCCATAATATTTTTTTTAGATATCCCTTAGAGAAAAATAAACTTTCTAATTTTTTTTTAATTTCTTAACTTTCT